ACTCAAGCCATTACTGATATTCTCTTCCTTCAAACCTATTTGGATGCTTTGGAGATTCCTGCATTCATCGTCTTTTCAGAGTTACCTCCACGGTGAGGACCCCTGCTCACTTGTACTTTACTCGGAAAAGTCAGAGAAATTATGTGCAGCGTAAGTGCTTCACGTCTAGTAATTCCTCTGTTTCTGCTATTGGTTAACGTCATTTCATTTGAAAGTATCTGCGGCAGACTATTGTCACATGGATTCGACATCATTCTTGTCGCAATAAACACGACTCAGCATAATGGCCTGAAAAAGCACTTACAAACAGCATACCCCAGGAAATATATCAATCACTTTGACGCGCATACTGAAAGCTCAGAGGAAACAATACAATTGGTACTAGACACCACACGGACACGAAATGTCACTCTGCTCGTCAGCTGTATCGATGCGAACGTGTGTTCGCCTTTAGAACGGACCGAGCCGCTTCGACTAGGACCATCCATCAACATCTTCCTTGACATCCAGAAGCTAGTTATTCCGCTTCTAACTCGAAATGAACCATCTGGGTTGCTGCTAACTGCTGGCACACTGTCACCAACCTTCTCCGCCGGTAGAGAATTTCTTGAGGTCAGTTCGTAACATAGCATCTATAACCATAACCTCACAGTTGATGTATCAATAGTCATATACCTCCGGACTTTCTCGACAGCTACAGTCTCTAGGACGTGACAAGGTGCACGTCACCCTCATGGACTATTATGGATCGGAAACGAAATCACTCGGGAAAGGGACGATTTTTTCGCCGTCTGTAGACGTACTCGCGGACTCTATTTTGCATGCAGTGGGATGGAATTCCGCATATATCATTCCTTACTGGTCTCACGAAGTCTTAGCTTGGCTGATTCGATTCCTTTTACTCTTCTTACCATTAACGTATGTTGTGCGTTTCCTTCCATCCTAAATATGCACACTAGGGTAGAATGGATTGTTATGTTCGGGTATCTAGTTGTATTCTTGTTTGCAAAATTAATGGGACATGTCGGAATAACGCAGAATTTTCATTTCATTAGACGGAATCCTGTGCCCTCTCAATGCGTATGAACAGTATTCCGTTTCATTGAAACGCTAAGTTTGGAATACGAGCGTTAAACTGTTTTGGATCTCGGTGACCGCAACACTTATATCGGAAATTGAAAATATAACCTCCGAAAATCCGTGAAGATCTGCAGCGGCACGCTTTTTGGTGTCTTTGAAAGCAATTCAAACAACATGATACATGTTTACATACAACACTGTTCATGAGCTGCAGTTAATGTCGTTAAGCTGCTCCTCTGGAAGTTATCATTCCACCACAGGATAATCTGAAGCCGCATACCGTATGCCGGACGTCCAGGGACCAGCCCATCTCCTGCCTTTCCAACGGCACATTCTTGAGGACGTTCATGACCCATCTTCATCGGATTTACTTCTCATCGCTCGAGGACTTGGCCTACAGAAATTGGTTTGTACTCTCCTCCAAATCTATGATGGGCCTCGAAATCTAGTTCTCCTTGTAAATGCGACAGAGGAAGAAGATGCGATTGGCGAAGAATTGGGGATCATGGGTTGCAGGAAGCCCGGGCTAAGAGTCGTAGGGTTTGAAATGGGAAGGAAGGAGAGGTTCGTCAACCCGGTCTTAGTAGAATAATCCTCAAACTGACAGAATTGTATTTTAAGACAAGCGCTCTACAAGCAAGGAGGACTCATTTCAGTCACTTCGCGTATCTTGATTGTCGACATGTTGCAATCTGACATTCCGATTGATCTTATTACCGGTCTAGTTGTCCTGCATGCAGAAAAGTATGACACTCGCCCACAATTATTTCAGAGACAGCAGTAACATGATCTATAGAGTGACCGCCCTTTCCCTTGAAGCGTTCATCATCCGTCTCTTTCGAGAGAAGAATCAGGATGGTTTCATAAAAGCTTTCTCCGACAACCCAGAACAGTTCACAAGTGGACTGTATCCATTGAAGGCTATCATGAAGGAGCTTCAACTACGTAAAGTGCACATCTATCCCCGCTTTCACGAAGAAGTGAAGAAGTCCCTTGAACGGCGGAAGGCAGATGTCGTTGAATTGCATCAAGAGCTTTCTGAGTCTATGAAGGATATACACCAAGCTATCGTACAATGTATGACGGCGACGCTAGCAGAACTTAAGCGCTCGAATACAAATGTAGGGGTCTCCCTAGTATTATTTCACCGGCTGATGCCTAACGCTCCGTAGCTTGACCTAGACGATTTGAATGTGGAAAATTCATATTTCCGCTCATTTGACGCAGTCGTTCGACGACAATTGGATCCTGTGTGGCACAAAGTCGGCCCTAAGACAAAACAACTCGTCAGCGATCTTGCGACGTTACGAAACCTTCTCAAGTATGTCTTACGACAATTTCACCCTTACTTTCATGTCTAATATTGTCGCCCCAGCTATCTCCTCACTTACGATCCACTCGCATTTCACGCTTATTTAGAGACAATCATTGCGTCGAACTCGACGAGTGCGTCGGGAGCGTCGCGTCAACATCAGTCCCCATGGTTATTTACGGACGCCGCAAATATTATATTCCAAACAGCGAAGCGGCGCTGTTACATCTCCTCGAAAATAAAGCCGAAGCCAGTTGAACAGGATACCCAGTTTGATGTCGATCTTATAGACGATGAAGAAGCGTGGGCGGCGCTGGACGAAGTTGAGGCGAATCCTCCATCTGCACAGGACAAGCTAAGGACAAGTCAAGGCCGGAAAAAATCTCAGTCGAAAAAGAGGAAGAAATGGCTCCCGGAAGGAATGGAACCAATACTTGAAGAACTCCCGAAGTGGAGTTTGCTCGCGGAAGTTCTTCAAGAAGTGGAAGAGTTGATGATCCAGCTTCAGAGCTCTACATCTTTCCGTAAGTAGTCTCTTCTTTGCTAGCCTGGTCACTATCTTATGTATGCGTAGTTACACCCGGGACAAACACCGTGCTTATCATGTGCTCCAGCCCTCGAACCTGTGAACTGCTGAGTGAATATCTTACCAACATCGACCGAAATAGGAATAAGGCAGAATGGGGACGTCGTATGATGGAAAGGCGTCTACGTCTATACTTGTGGTGGAAGTCAAAGTTGAATGAAAGTCGTAAAGACAGCTCTGGTTCATCTCAACCGTCAGGTTCGCGTGGTGCAGATACACCGTCTTCGAATGGAGCGAATAAACCATCCATCAACAGTGATCCGAACAATGGTATCAGTGAGGCACTGAAGAAAAAGGATGCCATCCGCAAGGAAAGAAGCTTGAATAGACGAAGGGTCCGAGGCGGTGCGCCATCCAGCTCAGTCGGGGGAAAGACACAAGGATCGGAGCAAGGGAACGGTAGCGCTGTTTCCTCTACCGCACAGGAGAGCACACTTTCGACGCGGGAGCGCGGAAAACTGGGAATTCTTGCAGGTGAAGGAGAAATGCGTGTCGAAGCTGACAGTATTGCCAACTTGTGGGTGATCTTCTCACTCTACATCCAGTCTGCTGACCTTGATCGCTGAATTCGGTCTTTATAGCCTCGCCACGCAAAAGGATGTACTCGAGATCCTTGATGACGAGGAGGATGAAATAAACGAGAGCCAGTCTGGTCCAGCTGATGGCACGTCGCAGGCACGCTCGATTAATGTAGACGAAGAACTTGCGCTTGCTCTCAGCGCAGACTTCATCTCTGATCCCAACTATGGCCTTTTAGCCCCAGAACAAACACTTATATTCCGATCGTACTCGGATGACTCGGACGATAAGGTTCTCGAAGAGATCAAACCTCGATTCATCGTGATGTACGAACCCAACCCAGAATTCATTCGACGTATTGAGGTGCCTCGCTTTGCTGCGATGCTGAATGAAGCTGACGCAATTCCTTGAAAATTAGTGCTATAGGAGCTCAAACCCTGGCTTAGCCGTGCGAGTCTATTTGATGCTGTATCGGAATAGCTGCGAAGAACATAAATTCCTCGTGGGCATTCGGCGGGAAAAGGAAGCTTTCATGCGGTTGATCAAAGAAAGGAGTGTATGTGCGAGGTGTACCTATAATTCTGTGCAGCACTTTAATCTAATTCCTGAAACTTGTAGACCATGGTCATTGCTCTCACTGAAGACAGACGTTCCTCTTCGGCTGGCGAGAGCATTATTAAAACGATTAGCACGCGCATTGCTGGTGGCAAGCAAATAAGCTCAGAGCCATCACAAGTAATTGTAGATATGCGCGAGTTTCGCTCGACGTTACCTTCACTTCTGCATGCAGCGAAGTTGCTTGTCATACCTGCGACGCTTACCGTTGGAGATTACATCCTAGCTCCGGATATATGCGTGGAGCGGAAGAGTATACCAGACCTGGTGCAAAGCTTTACGTCAGGTCGTCTGTAAGTATCAATTGCCATCCGCTGACATGTATCTCTTGTCTGACTTATTTCCGAAGTTATACCCAGTGCGAGCTCATGTCGGTCCATTACAAACAGCCAATACTATTGATCGAGTTTGAAGAACACAAGTCGTTTTCTCTCGAGGTATGATCACTGGTACTGCTTTGCTGTTCTAGTTTCTGATTCTCTACTAGAGCGTAGACGAGATAAAATCCCACGTCAAGAATACGGGCAAATATGCGGCCAAGAAGAAACCTAATGATCCATCTCAGGAGACCCTCTCAATTACATCTGTCCAAGCTAAACTCGTCCTTCTTACTTTGAGTTTCCCGCGACTGCGAATCGTGTGGTCTTCTTCACCGTATGCCACCGCGGACATTTTCAAGGACCTCAAGGCACATCACCCAGAACCAGACCCTGCAAGGGCAATAGCAATTGGTGCAGAAGAGGATCCAGAGGCGGGCGCTGGGATAAATCAGGCTGCCGAAGAACTCCTACGCGCACTTCCTGGTATCACGGCAAAGAATGTGAAATATGTTATGAATAAGGTAGGAAGTGTTCGCGAATTCTGTGAACTGAGCTTGCCAGCCGTGCAGGAAATATTGGGGAATGAGCCTGGAAAAGCCTGCTGGGATTTTATGCATAAAGGAGAGTAGTCGGAGGCCCAAGATGAATTTTTTGTATCTTATTCACGCTGCATGGCTACCAGAACCGCTGGTGCCACAGCACACGGATCTCTATCCCAACCTACTTCAGAGCACGCTCTCAGTGCATCATATTTTCGTGCATAATTTTATTAGGAACCATCAAATGTCTCCATGTTCATCGTGTAGCTTACAAGTATAGTCCAGCTTATCATTCGTACCAGGATTTAGTAAATAAATTACGATTGAAGACCAGTATGTGGCACGTGCGCCATTTACACGTCGGTGACAAACCGTGACGGCTGCCCAAACCGGTTCAACTCATTCTCTACTCCTACTTCAATGACTACTGTGGCTGCAGGCGTTACGCTCAACGGAATCTCTGGAAACAAGGCAAATGGGAAGATCAAATCCAAAAATCAATTGCGTCGGGCGAAGGCCAAGGCGAAAAAGGTTGCGGGAACCTCCGATACCGACAGAGTATGCACGTTCGCGCCTGCATCTATCAGGCTTAGCTGACAACCATAATGTTTGATTTAGGAACACTCAGCTGAAGCCCCGAATGGAGTTGTAAAGAAGGAAGAGGGAGGGGATACATCCAGAGTTGAGTACGTACCAGAGCCGTTGGAGGTCAAAGACCCTGCTCTTGAAGCATTCTCCGACGTCTTTGCTCGTTTCCAGCTTCCGCCGGATGAAACAGCAGTGCGTGCCACGTTATCTCGACAATTTTGGAGCATTCATAACTCAAGCAAATTCATCAGGCTAAAATAGCAGAACCGTCAAAAGGCGAAATCATTTATTCCGACGATGAAATGATGTCAGAAGAGGACTCTGACGCCGAGGAGAAGAAGCCTTTATCAAAGAAGAAACAACGCAAAATGAACCGACTTACGGTCGCGGAACTCAAGCAACTTGTAAAGAAGCCGGAAGTTGTAGAATGGACTGATGTGACCGCTGCCGACCCGCGAATGCTCTTGCATCTGAAGAGCTACCGGAATACCATTCCTATTCCACAGCATTGGAGCGCTAAACGTGATTACTTGCAGGGAAAGAGGGGTATCGAGAAGCCGCCATTCCAGCTTCCTGCATACATTGCCGACACTGGCATTGCGACAATGCGGGATGCTGTGAAGGAGAAGGAGGCCAATATGACGCTGAAAGCAAAGACAAGGGAACGTGTTCAGCCAAAGATGGGGAAGATTGACATTGACTACCAGAAACTACACGATGCGTTCTTCAAATTCCAAACGAAACCACCTATGACCGGATTTGGAGAGATGTTCGAACATGATTTCCTAATCTATTTGCCATGCTGACAGTTCTTTTACAGGTATTACGAGGGTAAAGAATTCGAGACCTCTCTCAAGGAAAAGCGACCCGGAGACTTGTCGCCCGAACTAGTTGAAGCACTTTCTATTCCACCTCTCGCACCTCCACCTTGGTTAATCAGTATGCAACGATTTGGTCCTCCTCCGAGTTATCCGACTTTGCGTATTCCTGGGTTAAATGCTCCAATTCCAGAAGGGTGCGTGTACTGATCAGTACGTTGGCGTTCACTAAAGGAAATGGTTATCATAGAGCGCAATGGGGCTTTCATCCTGGTGGTTGGGGGAAACCTCCGTTGGACGAATACAATCGCCCGCTTTATGGTGACGTTTTTGGCGTTCTTCCCAAAGCCGCTGACAGCCAGGTATGCTCCGTAATCAAATTTGTTTGTCACACTGCCGTCTAACTTGCGATCTTGCAGCTTGGTGAACCGGTGGACAAGAATGTATGGGGTGAACTTGAGCCCGAAGAAGGTGTGTCGAATATATATTGTATCCGAACAGGTCTAACCATAAGTTACAGAGGAAGAGGAAGAAAGCGAATCGGAATCGGAAGAAGAGGAGGAAGAAGCCGAAGCTGCACCAACAGATGGCATGCAGACTCCATCGGGAATGGAGACACCTTCTGGCATGACGAGTGTGGTCTCGACCGTTGCTGGCGGGCTGGAGACTCCCGATTTCCTCGAGTTACGAAAGAATGCTGCAAGGCCTCAGGAACCGTCAGACGCTGGGCCGCGCTCGCTGTATCAGGTTGTGCCAGAAAGGCAAACATCTGTGCGTGGCCTCATGGGGAGTGAACGGGCGTACGATGTTAGTGCCGTTGCGGGATCATCTGTTCCTGTCCTGGGCGATGAGCGAGGGACTAAAGTAAGTTTGAGTATACATTGTCTATTAGATTACTTTGCTAAGCAAGCGAATAGCGCAAAGCGAACGGAGTTGATGTATCACTTGATGCTTCTGAGCTGGAGGGCATGTCTGAAGAAGAGCTTCGGCGACGGTATGACGCAAATGCAAAGGGCAATGCGGGGGTGCCTGGGGCAGCTAATAGGGAAGATTTCTCGGACATGGTGGCCAAGGAGATGGCGAAAAAGAAGCAAAAAATGGATAGGGACGCGAAGAAGTCAAAGGAGTTCAAGTTCTAACACTAGTTCCTTTCCTTCATCGCTTTTCTAATTATTACTAGTACCCTCATATGTTCATGCTCTATTTCCCCTCCATGTGCCCCCTGGTAGCCTTTGCCTGATTGCGAAATATACATCTGATAATTTTGTGCGCGCGTCGGAAATTGATGCTGACCGCGGCACGTGCATCACCCTGAGTGATGTGATGGAAATAAGCGGAACGCTTATGTGCTCACCGCGCACCGACAACGTACACCCATCTCTCCCTCTATCTTTTTACACGTATCAGTCTGTCGGCAGACTCGTAGGTGAGCGGCAAGCCACCCTCTCCGACCATTAGAGATGTCGCAGGCTAGAATGTCAGTATTCGTCCGCATCATCGTGTGTCTGCTATCTAACTGACTCCGAACGCGCTTGCGCCCATCCCCAGAACGTTGCGTCCCCCTCCAAATGTCGAGTTTGTAGAAGGCATGTATTGCGTCGTGCCTGGAATGCAGTATACTTACATCTAAACAACAGGTTATCCTGGTATACCTGCTGGGCACGACAGACCCCATGCGGAAGTCAGAGGGGTGCGTGTTCCAGATGGCGTGTGTGAGGGAATTAGATTGCTGATGTCCATCTCATTAGACCATAGAGCTTCGACTACCCGCCCAGGGAACGAAAGCAAAATGGGTCCGCGTCGAGCTGAAGAAGGTGGAAACGTTACCAGGGGGCGGACAATCTAACACATTCTTCGACTTCGTTGGGCAAAGCCCAGTGAAGGTCTGGGAGGCAGATGGCGAATGGGGCTTACTGCAAACAGTGCGAAATTCTCTCTGGATGCTTTCCCTGCAATTTCTAATAAGCTATTAGAGTGATTTTCCGTTTGCGATTCGAATCCCCGAATCCATCCCGCCGAGCATAGCACTTGAACGAGGAGGTTCGTGTTTCGTTCCTTGATTTGATATTTTTAGCGTCGTTTGACATGTGGGACGAACAGCCGGCATTAAGTATGAGTTAAACGCGACATTGTGTACTAAAGGCAAAAAGTTAGTTTGTTCATTCATTAGTGAATAATGTCTCAACTCGTCCTGTGTAGGGGATTCTTCTTCAAGAAAAAGGACGCTACACTGTCGACTAGTCATCCGATTATTATCGACAAGCACGAATTACATTCTACATGGCCCGTTTACGCGCAGCCGGAAACCAGACATGTGATGGAAGAAATGCTTGTTTTGACGGTCGAACGAACCCACACATGCTATGGCCCTGGCGATAGAATCAAGGTTATGGCAACATTTAAGAACGACGGAATTCCTGCAGCGGCCTTGCGCGCTTTTGAGTTTCAATTAAAAGAGACTATTATTTTCCGGGCGGCTCCTCATGTATCCGGAAAGAAGGCCAACCCACAAATTCATGTAACGCCGATTGGCGAACAGAAGGTTCCTGTTAACATGTCTGTTTATCAAGGTCAGCAGCATAGAGCAGAACTGGGGTGTTTTATTCCGCAGACGCATACAACGACGACTGTCAGCGCTGCCCGTCATATGGACATTGCGTACAGCACTGTTATCAAAGCAGTAATGGGTACAGGAAAGCCCTTATTGATGGAATTGCCTGTGACAGTATCGAATTGGCCGAGGTAAGTTTAGTCTTGGTTGGGTCACTTGATTCATTACTTATCAACATTTCATGCAGAAATATGTCAATAGAGGCCGTCAGGTAAAGTGTTTCCTCATTTGCTTAGCTTTTTCATCTGATATTCATCGTTTCACCAGACGAATCGGTCCAGCCCCTAACTTGTCGTTGGTCGCACCGATGAATGCCGCTCATCAAACTGCACCAAATACGATTTCGGTGTCTCATCCTGCGTCGCAAGGACAACCAACTCAACAACCAAATTTCAATACCGCTCCGGCGCGCTCGGGACTATTTCCCCCGCAACATCATCAAATTAGTGCCTCTCAGACGATGTCGCAGACATCCAGTGCTTTCGGCGACCCTGTTACTGGTCCGAGGAGCAACTTTGATGAGTTTGGTTATTCCAACTCTGGACCATCAAATGCCGCTGTACCACGTGGTGCGTCTCCTGCAATTGGTCTCGATTATGCTGGAGCACGTCGTAATCCTGTTAACACGAACCCATCACGGCGACTTACTATCGCAAACGCGGAAACGGATGCAGAGGCAGATACCCCTCCGAACGAACCTGGGTCGCCGAAGCAGAACACGTCGTCCGTAGAGGATAGAAGGCCAAATGGTCATGGAGGATCTTCTACCACGGCTAACGAACAATCGCCACCTCGTAGTACTACTGGTCAACGCAGTACAGCATGGCCGACCGCTGAGGAAGAAAAGCAAAGGCTCTTCAACCAAGCGAGACAGCAGGCGCTTAGGACGCAGGCTAGTATGGGCAACAATCTAATAGCAATGGTTTGTTGTTAACAAAGTTAAGACTAAGACGCACCAGCTGAACCTCTTTTTAGCCAGGTCCAACGACCGAAAGACCCGACTCATCTCATCAGGGATCTCCGCCTGCACCGTCGATGCCTGTCCCAGACCCTGCTCCCGCACCCGCTCGGAGACAGTTATCTGCGTCTCTTAAGAACAATACGCCATGGCCGACTGCAGAAGAGGAGAAATTGCGCCTCTATACGTCAGCAAAGGACGCGGTACGAAGAACGCAAGGCCAAGGACTTGGTGAAGGAGCATATGCAGGTGGTTCCGCTATGAACGGCGGTTCGCCTCCTGCTAACAAGTCTTACTTTAACGACCGTCCTGGTTCGAGCCATAATTCGAGCTCAATTAGCCACGAAGCGGTTGTCCAGCCTTCCAGACCGGTGCAACCGACGGAAACGAAGTCTGCGGGGGCTCAGTTGTATCAACACGCGATGGCTTCGATCAACAGAAACCCATCCTTGCAAGCTTCTGTTTCTCAGTCTGCAAGTCCACCATCGTCTCCTCCGAAACCGGCCTATCCGAGTGCATCACAGAGGTCTTATCCTACTGCTGAAGAGGAAAAGGCAGCGTTGCGTTATCATGAAGCGAAGCGTGCAGTCGAAAGACATCAACAGAACGAGGGCTCTGATGGACCTATTGCATATGAAGACCTCTATCCGTCCGGACCTTCGTCCAGGCAGGGCGGGTCCTCTCGGGCAGTCAACGGCTATGGACATGGACCGTCTGGAGCAAGCAACGGCGACAATGACCTACCACCACCGATTTCTACTCCACCTCCTGGTATGCAATCCTCGATGATTGAGTCTGCAATGTCAGAGAAGGAACGTTTACGGCGTAAATATGAAGCTGAAGATGCAGCTGCTGCTGCGGCTAGTCCACCTACACCACCTGCGCGTGCATCGGGAAGCAGATCCAGTCCACCTGGATACGCCAGTCCTCCACCTGGATCAAGGTCGCAGCCCTTACCACCAGCAGATTATTCTGGACCGAGAATGTTGACTGCAGCTGAAGAGAAAGCTAGACTAAAGGCACAAATGGAAGCGGAAGACGCAGCGGCTGCCGGTGCATCTAGCGGGAGTGCTGCAGGCCCTTCAAACCCACCACCACCTTCAATGGCTGCACTTTCACGCGCTACATCACTATCATACGCGCCCCCCGAGCCCGTCGAGGAGTTCAACCCACCACCGCCACCGCCTCCCTTGGCGCCTCGTCCTCCCGCAGAATACATTCAGCAAACCAAGGAAGAGGACTTGCGTTCTCAGGCCGAGCATACGGCTATGCCTGCATCGAGTACACCTCTTCCGGACGAATCACGCGTTGACTTTGGGTTATCCTTCCGTCCGTTCTCGCCACTCGACCTTGGCGTGAACTTTGAGTCTTTTAATAGGAGAACGGGCGCTTCGTCTGTCCCAGCTCCGCCGCTCCCGCCCAAGGTCCCAGTAACGCAGTAATTGTTTTGATAGTCCAGTTACAGGCCAAGTCAAGTCAAGCCAAGTCACTCGTTTTTCTCATCCCGATGTGCAAACGCTCTTTATATTAATAACCTATCTATGAGTTGAATTTCTTGACATACATACACATACAGTCGTTCTTTTTTTCTTTTTCTCTTTTTTGCCGCCTATGCTTTCTTCCTAGCTACTTACTCCACTCCGTAGTTACTCCTTTCATTCCTTGTTTGTCGTCGACTGGAAGTTCGATCAGTTTTTATTTTTCCACAATCCGTTTTTTTTCCTATGGTGTATCCCTGGAGTTCTATCTCTTCTCCTCTCCCCCGAGCACTTTACTTACACATCTTATTCTTTATGTTCATCCATTCCTTCCACTTTTTTCTTTTTCTATTTCGTTTTCTTTTTCTTTTTTGCTGGCCTTTTTGTTTTCTTTCCTCGGATGAAATGGCTATTTAGTTATTTATTTTTTTGACTGCTTTCTGATCTGATACTTCTTTCTTTGGTAAAGATATTAAGACCCTTGAATGAGTTAATACTTTTATTTTCTTGAGTGAGTTTGGGTACCAAAAAAAAAACAGCAAAAAAGATATACATAAATGAGAAATGAGATGAGTGGGGGGTGAAGCGTAAAACTAAATGAATACAACAAACGAGGCGAGGCAAGGCAAGGCAAGCACAGTAGGGGTAATTGGAAGATCGGAAGGAAAGAAAGGAAGTCCCTAACTTCTAAGTGGTTGGTTAGGAGGGAGGACGAAGAGGAGATGAAAAGGAACTTTTGGTTTTGCTTAATACGAACACTGAGGGGGAAATGGAATGGTTGCTCATATAGTATGAGACTGATGATACCACTACCAGTAACAACAACCATCACCACCACCTCATTGCCCAATAATCCACAAACCTACTGGGATGGGACAAACTGGATTGGATTGGAATGACAGCGTAGAAGTACATGGTTGGATTGATTGATTGATTCAGATTGAAGACTGCTCCTTTTTTTCGCATTCATTCATTCATTCATTCATCCACTCGAAAAACAGAATCCCAATTCGTCTTATTTCGTACGTACGTTCATCGTTTACGTTTCGTCTTCGTCTGGTTCCTTACAGTAGCCGTAGCAGTACTCGCAGGCGCAGCAGCCAGAGTCGTAGCAGTCGCAGTCGCAGTCGCATCAAAGTCGTCCACCTCAGACTTCCTCTTCCTCGCCCTCCTATCGGGTGAGCCGAACATACCCCCTACAACACCTACACCTGTACCGGTAGCGTTACTCGCCGTACTAGCAGTAGTCAACGTCGGCGAGGGGGGTAACCCTGCACGAGTCATCGGCGGAGAGGATATCGATACGTCCGATTGACCTGATTGGGAGGCGACCTCGTCTACGAAGGCGCTTAGCTGTGGGGAGGTTGTTGAGTGAGTTGAGTGCCGCGCGTCAGATTTAGCGTTGACGTTAACGTTAACGTAGTCACTATATGGTGGACCCATTGTCGTTGGCCCACCTCCACCCCCGCTGTCAGCACCGGTATTGGGAGTATTGTCCGAGGTGGTGTTTTGTTTCGCGAGTTCGTTGAGGAAGAGGTTGAAGTCGAAGTCTGGGATCGTTGGTTGATAGGGGATGGTGTTAGTGTTAGTAGTGGTGGACGTCGTCGTTGTCCCACTAGAAGCGTTAGAAGTAATGCCAGTCGGTACACCAGTAGTAGAAGGATCAACCGCAGGATGATCATGCACAAACAACCCCTCACCATCCCCATCCCCCTCTCCACCAACAAAATCATCCTCCCCCTCCCGAAACCCATCCAACTGACCCGGGTCCAGCCCCAAATGCTTAATCAACGACTCAATATTCGAATCCATCATATTAACATGATCAGTAATCACCGCGCTCGCATCGCTCGTCTTCTTGAGACGTTGTGCGTTCTCGATGTATGGGTCGAAGGTCATGCCTGATGGCATGTCGTCTGTGTGAAGGAGAGACAATGTTTGTGAGTCTGGTGGGTCGACGAGGTCGTAAGGGCTTGGAGGTGCGCCAAAGGATGGGTCTGAGGAGGGTGGTGCTGGTGGTGGATGCGTCGTTGTTGGTTGTTGGTGTTGATGTTGGTACACTGTCTGCTGTTGAGAGTACGGGTCATATGTCTCCTCGCTAATGTACGGATTCGGTTTGTCCATCCTGGGGTCGTTGAGGTCAAGAGGCGAAGGCATAGGTACACTCTGCTGCTGTTGCTGGAAATTCAGCAAATTCAACAGTCGCTGCAGTGATCCAGGAGAATTAACGATAGACTGGAGCAATTCCTCCCTTGGTCCAGGTGAGCTTGACGTTAGTGCAGTCCGCGGGTCCGAATCGATGTTATTCGGATTTGGACGAGGATAAGAAGGTTGCACGGCAGAGTGGTGTTGGTGTTGGTCAACGTTTGGAGGAAGCGCGGTGTTCGAGAAGGGAAGGAAGGGCTGTTGTTGTTGGTTCGTGAAGTTCCCGCCCATGATCACGTCGGTTGTCAAGGGAGATTGCAGTTGAGGTGGGAATTGCTGGATTGTTGCATGTACGTCTGGTGTCTCTGGGACTACGGATGCAGATTTGGATGGGACTGGGGAGGGAGTAACTTCAACGAAACGATCTAACGTACGATTAGCTTGAGATTAAATCTAAAAGTAGCCAAGTTGAATCTAGGAAGACTCACTTGTGGGTGTGCTTGCGTCAGTTTCGATATCATCGTTCATCGGCTCAACTCCGTCTAAGGGCTCCTGTGGTTTGTTCTTAACGGGATCCGCGGCGCCCTCAATCATGAGACGTTGCCGCTTCCGAGGGATGCCGGCATGTGGTGGTCCACCAACCGGGCTTCCCTTGTGGGCGGCGGCATTTCCAAAGACACCCGCGAGGAACTTAAGAATGCGATTGATGGTATCTTGCTGTTTCTGATGGCGTTCACGAGCATCCAGAGCTTCCTGCCAGAGATGTTGGTTTGAAGCTTTTAGGTCATTGAGATCGGCAGATATTGTGGCTTGGTGGCGCTTAATCGCAGTAATACCATTTATAATCGAGTTTATGTCGACCATGGTCCCGGGACTGAACCCGCCAGAGACGAGCCCCGGTGTCGCGCCATCCTTGTCTGACATTGCAGTGTCATCTGCCGAGCGGTCCTGAGCCTGTTTTTTGCGTGTGATGAGACAGAGTAGATCTGGTTGCCCTCTACGGAAGTTGGGATGTTCAAAGTTCCATATTTCTGTCTCTGTTTCGGATTTGAGGACGCCTTGCTGAAGGTGGGGGATCTTGTGGAAGCCGTACATGTTGAGCTGTCGGACGAAGGAAGCGAAGTTGCTGTGTTTGAACCATCGAGGTAGGACATCGTGAGCCACGCGTTCGTGGTCAAGGACTGTGTTCGCAATACAATGGTAAATATAGGCTTGTTCAAAACATAGAAGGGGATACGGGACTGACCAAAGAAGGAGTCGCCATTTTCTGACCACCGTATTAGGTTGTCTGTTGCAGAATCGCTAACCAGCCTGTGGAGGGGAGAAAGGGTGAGCCCAACGTAAGTTCATGCACCAGCGTCTGTATGAAACGTTCGGTTGTGAATGGTACTCACTCATAGAGTTTCTGCAGAAACGGGGGCACCGACTGCCTGGTTGTTTTACTGAGCGAACCCGATGTGCCACGGGTCATGCGTGCTAAGGCGACCTGGCTGTCTGCCATTGTTGTAGGAGGAGAGATGTGGATGTGGATGTGGATGTCGATCGCAGGCAGACGAGGATAGGCGCACGAGGGCTGTGCTGAGATAGTCACGCCTCGTCTGTACTTACTTATACTTGCACTAATACTTTTATCTTTTGTTGCTTGTGTGGACACACGTCATGGGCACGTACGCTAGTCTCGCTATATTCACTTCTTCCGATCCCGAAGAAAAGAAACACGAGGGAGACAATCCAAGAATGCAAAGTTTTTATTCAATGTCATTTCTGCTTCCGATGCTCGCTCATTCTACTGAACCGTCGTACTATCAACGTCAACACTCCAGATACAATTCCGATTGGCGGTATAATCCACTCCAACAGCCATGTCCATCGCGTCTTTGATTCCAATTGTTGAACGAGCTTGTTAACCCGACCCTTGAGGTCAGTGAATGTGCCGGAATTGTCAATGACGATGTCCGCGTATCTTGCCTTCGCAGCGATTGGCATCTGCGATTTGAACCGCGCAGTCGCTGCTTCTTCGGAGAGGTTGTCCCGTCCAACAAGTCGTTGCAATTGGGTAGCCTCAGGGCTACCAGGGCATCAACGACGAATCATACTAGCAGGATGCACACATGACGCACCAGCTCACGACGACGACCAGTCCTACCCAGTTGTTCAAGCCCGTCTCAATCAGAAGGGGTACATCGATGACGCAGTACCTGTGACCGCGCACCCAGGCTTTGGCGACCTGCCATGCCATCTCCCTGCGCACGGCGGGGTGCACGATGGAATTTAGTTTCTTCCTTTTCCCTTCGTCTCCGAAGATGGCCGCCCCCAGCTTAGGGCGATCAAGGCCACCATTCGGAAGCAGTATATCCTCTCCGAAGTATTCCACTATCTCCCGGTGAGCTCGTCTGCCAGGCTGCACGACCTCGCGTGCGATCACGTCCGCGTCGATAACGGGTACATACTGAGATTTGAGTAAGGACGAGACTGTAGACTTGCCCGTAGCGATGCCGCCAGTAAGCCCGACCACTAAGAACACAGTAAGAGACTGAGCTTGAGAATAAACATTGAAAGCTACGCACCGAGCATGGCAGAAGGCTGGCTGGCCTGGCTGAGTTGAGCAGGACGCGGTCCTAGCGAGAGTTGCGTCCGTGCCAGAGCGAAACGCGAGACGCGTGATGAGCCTCAGCACTGCTTCAGCGCTTTCTCCTTTCCTTGTTCCATCCCATCCTCACAGTCACACCACGACGACGCCAACGCTCGCCGTTGGCCGTCTTGTAGGCCAACAGAATGGTCGATGTGCTCGGCTATCTAAAACACACGAAGAACACACTCATAGGTAACCCGTCAGCCAAGCTCGCACTCAAGCGTACACGAGAACCTGAAGGTCCTTTGTTGACGTCGTATGCATCCAAGCATTACTTACGGTATTCATAGTGCAAAGTTTTCTCATTACTTTTCTATCAGTATTGTCAGCTATGTCAACTACAGCTCGATCGTAGACGACGAAGAATCCGGTTCGTCGAGCACCATTGATACATCAACTGCACAAGTGCGTGCAGAGGCGGCGAATGTTGTGGCTTCACTCGCACATGGTGAGGCATATCCAAAACCCCTCTGCATTGTAGACAACTAATATTGTAAGTCACATAGGACCACGAGAAGTCCTCTTCGGTCTCCTCGAAGCAGACGCGCCCAGTGCCGTCCTTAACGCCCTCGCAGCACTTACAGACCACGATCCTCCTTTCCTCAAGGTCTCCATCGTAAGAGCACTCCGAGCATTGTTGGTTGCTATTTCGGGTTGTGCAGGTCCATCTTTATGGGAGTTGGGTGAAGAGTGCCTTGAGTTCCGGAGCGAAACGCGGTCTACCCTAGACTACGTATTTCAGGTGGGTTCGCATACACTGCCCCTTTTGCGTAGCTAATCGACTACTTAGACACAGGCGCTTGACGTTTACCTACCTCTACTCGAAAGTTCAACGCCTATGCTCAAGCTCTACATCGCCCAGCTACTAGCATTCGCCGTAAGGATCCCCAAACACCGAATCGCAGTGACGAGCTGGCTTCCACAAGCTGAGCGAGTCAAAGAAAGTAAGGGAAAGCGAGGTTGGGAAGTTTCTGCGTTGGTCGATGCGAACTCTCCTAGTAGACAGGGTGGATGGGTGATGAGGCGGTTGGCTGCGATGCTGAAGAGTCGGGACTTTGCTGTGAGTTGCCACCCTAGTCTGTGCCAGTGGAATAATAGCTTATAGTTTTTGAAGCTCCAAGAAGTTGCGCTTTATGCCATCGCTGCGTTGGTGAAGGATAGTCCGAATATTGCACTTGTCCTGTCAAAGACCATTACCGAACAGAAGTGTACGATACTTATTTGTATTATATGCTCAACGTACCATTGACGCGACATTCCAGCCTCGCAGTCGGTCTTAACAGTTGCATCTGACCTTACAAGGGACAGAAGGTCCGAGGTACGACTAGCAGCGTGCTTATGGTATGTAGCAATTCATCTTCGAAACTACGACGTGGTTTACTGACTAGGACACCGAAATAGTGTAACAAACATTCTGCGCTCCAACTCAAACCACGAGCGCCGACTGTCTAGCACCATAATACACGTACTTAGCGCAATAATCTCCAATACCAGCGAGCCTGCTCCGAATCGCGCCAAAGCATGCCACATTCTCAGTGAATATCCCTAAACATTTCTTAGAGAACCTCACGCTGACATCCCGTGAAGGTTGGCTCGTTGCGGATGACACGGGCAGATGCATCGATGCCTGGAAGTCTGGAGCGCTTGTCAAGCTTGCAGACCTTGTAAGTTCACTGACACCAACGACGAAACCTCAAGAGTGGGAAGACGGCGAAGCGAGTGATATCTCAAACTTACGAGAGGTAAGTTACTTCTTTCGCTTCACGTATGCATAAATTAACCATGGAGATAGGCAGCCTTGACATCAATCGCGTCCCTAGCAATGCTAGACAACGACATCCGCAACGAAATCGCAGGCGCTCTAAACCTCCTCCCTCTCATCACCGTCTGTCTCGGGCATCCCAGCGCAGGAGTCCGGTACGGCGCATGTCAGTGCATACGTGCACTCAGTCGTGCCATTCGCGTTTTGCGTACGAGTATCTTGGATTCTGGGGTTGGAGTTACGCTTTGTGAGATTGTTGAGAATCGGGATGAGGATAGACGGGTGACGAATATCGCGCTTGCGGGGTTGTGTAATCTTTTGAATGAGTTTTCGCCTTTGCGTCAGGTAAGTCCGTTCTTTAGCTGCAAGTGATTGTCATTTTTTGTCCCTCCTTGCTGATGGCGATGATATATAACTTTTCTAGGCTGTAATGAATCGAGGCATAATAGAACGAATCTCCTGTCTGGTTAGAGCTCCAGAGGACCAACTGAAAATCAGCGCTCTATGGGCAGTCAAGAACCTCGTTAATAAGGCGAGCACTGAGGATAAGGTGTCTATTATGAAGCAGGTGGGGTGGGTGTATCTCAAAACGTAAGTCATCCATCTCCTCCTTAACGTTTTCTTTCTTTCTCCGAGTTCATTACTTACCATTACGCCTATTTCTTATTTTCGTTTCATTTGGTTTTTGGCTTTTAGACTCCTTGTCGACCCGAAAGAAGACGTACAAGAACAAGCGCTGAACATCGTTGGGAACATCGCGTCGAGCCTGGATGATATATCTCTGGTGTTCCAGAACATTCCTGGTGAAGAACTTATGAGGATATTAGCTGACGCGTCGGAGTCTGCGAGTGACGAGGTTGTATGTCAGGTACGTCTCCCATCAATTTAACACCTCACTTATCACTGAATAAATCGGACAACTTGTTCATGCCTTGTCATGATGGGCAGGCAACAAAAGTAATAGGCAATATCTCCAACTCCCACACGCACCGACACAGCATAACCTCCTCCCCACGCATCCTCACCTCCCTCCGGTCCAACTTAACACACCATGCAGCTGACACGCGGTACGCAGCTATCTCCTGCGTCGAAGTCCTCGCAAGAACACATTCGTACAAGTTGAAAGAGTTTGGGATAGATGAGACGTTGAGGGGGATTTTGAGAGATACGAGAGGTGGGGAGATCGGGAGTCTTAGTAGTTCTAGTAGTGGGATATTGGATAGTGGGACTTTTTGTGGGACGATGGTATTGTCTTCCTTGAGTTTGCCGCCTTTCTCTTTGGAGGGTACAGCTGGTGCTGGTGCTGGTGTTGGAGGTGGAGGAGGTGGAGGAGCTGGTGGAGAGGTAGGGGTAGGGACAGGGACAGGGATAGGGATAGGTGGGAGAAGACGTTTGGGTGGTGGTGGGAGTGCAAGTTCGGTTGGGACGAGTGTGGATAACGTACATGTGTTGAGGGAGATGGTGCAGAGTGCGTTGAGGGCTATTGAAGGGTGATAAAATCACTACTTGTTAATGTCGTTCTTTAGTTGTTTAGTTTCGGTTTCACATGTTGTCATAGTAGAAAATTGTAATAGTCTAGAGAAACAGTGTTATTTTTCTCCACTCTCCACTCTCAGGTTTCTCGGTCGTCCACGCGGCGTACGGAAAACTCATTTATAAACACTACTGTAATATCCAAGATAAAATCCTAAATATATCGACATAAGAAAAATAAGTTACGATAGAGTAGTGTAGATGAGGTGAGCTGAGGTGAAAATCAAAAAACTAGAACCCAATATCATTATAGATGTATGTGAGATGAGGTGAGGTGAGGTGAGATGAGCACGAATTAATCAAAGTTTCAAAGCATTCAGGTGTGTCTATCGTGCCTTCTCCAGTTGCATTCCTTTCGGACTGAATTTGAACTATTGTTATTAATGTAGGGCTACGGACTCACAGAAACATCCCCAACAACACACGTCGTTCCCTTAGAATACGGCGCGTCGAAACCCGGTTCCGTCGGGGTCCTTCTACCGAACCTCGAAGCACGGCTAGTCGATGAGAACGGGAACGACGTTCCGGAGGGTGAACCTGGAGAGTTCTGGGTTCGCGGACCTACAGTTATGAAGGGATATCATAATAATCCCGAGGCGACGAGGGAATGTATGACCGAGGATGGATTCCTCAAGACTGGAGATATTGTCATTGCGGAGAAAGATGGATTCTATAGCGTTGTAGATCGGAGGAAGGAGTTGATCAAGTATAAGGTGAGTCGAACTATACGTCTATCTTTGGTCTGTACTTATTAGGGTCTATAATCCAGGGTTTCCAAGGTATTTTAAGCATAGCAACTTTTTCTGCTTTTCCGTTAAAACTAACCATGGACTCGATCATTGTGGAATAGTTCCGCCAGCCGAGCTAGAAGCCATCCTCCTACAACACCCAGACATAGCAGACGCAGCCGTAATCGGCGTCGAAGCGCCCGAAGAAGCAACCGAGTATCCTCGGTCAGTCCTCTCTTCCCTCCTCATGCTCATTCTCCTCCCTCCCCCTTCCCCCTTCTTTAGCCTATAAAAGTTTAATTAATTATGTTTGTTTTTGTTTTTGTTTTTGTTTTCAGAGCATACGTCGTACCAGCCAAGCCCCTCCTCTCCCCTTCAGCAAACCAATCCTTCGAAAAGAACGTACAGAAATGGATCGAAGGACGCGTAGCGAAACATAAATACCTTCGTGGAGGTGTGAAAGTTATTGATGCTGTACCAAAAAGGTATGTTTGATTTTACATTCAAGTCGTCTTCGTGTCTTCGTGTGGTTGGTGTTCTGACGACGACGCTGTGTTTTTCAATTTTTCTATTTAATTTCGTAGTGCGGCAGGAAAGATCCTGAGGCGAGAACTTAGGGAGAGAGCGAAGAGTGAGAAGGTGGAGTATACGCCGAGGGCGAAGGCAAAAGTTATGGGGTTGGAACCGAGCGATTCAAGGCGGGCACTGACAGCCTTCACGAGAGACTCGCGAAGCGGGGCAGCTCCAGATACGAGTATACGGAGCGTCTTCAGAGAGTACTGCGTGACAGCTAGATGTCTCATTAGTTATGCAAGTTAGGACAATAGACCATATTCTGGTGTCTCTTACCTGGATGACGAGCAAGTACCACGAAGATCGGTGGTACGATATACGCAAGCGTAATTCCATACTGTTCAATATACTTGCAGAAACTGACGGGTTCGAAGCCCGACATTATTACTACCGGGAAACCCACGTAAATTGGGTATAGTAGGACGTTTGTCAGACCTGTGTACGTGTCGGGATGGTCATGTCAGTGTGGGAAGTGAGAGACAGACGACAGAGACAGGGCTTCTTCACCATATATGTGGTAGAAAGGGAGTAAACCAATCAGTTTGTCGTCGCTAACGAGATCTATAGCACGTTGTTGCATTAACATCATGGTCCCAAGGTTCTTGTGCGTGGTCTAAATGCAACCCTCCTTCAGTCAAATACCTAAGCTGAGTCGAATATTGGCAAATACCTCTACGCCCTTTGGCCTGCCCGTCGTACCAGACGAATAACACAGAAGTGTAGTCGAGTCTGCATCCTTGCCATCGAATTTTTCTTCCGCATTTAGCCTTCCTTTTCCGAAAAGTTCTTCAAGCTGCAGGAAACCGGATGGTCCCTTGTCTTTCTCGTTCCAGCCCATTACGACTATCTTTTTCTTAGCTTCGTCGAGACTGATCTTCAGTTGCTCAAACATCTTTAGGACGACCGGTAATAGTGCAGGATGTACGAAGATGACTTTGGCGCTACAGCAGACACATGAGTTTGAGAAGTTCATTTGAAAGGAATCAAAAACATGCCTGCTATCCGTAAATTGATGTGCGATCTCTGCAGGCTGGTACGCGCTATTAGCAAGCGACACAGTAAGCCCAGCAGCGAATCCTCCCAGTAACACAACTGGGTACGCAAGTGAGTTTGGACTGAATATAAGGACGGTATCGCCCCTTCGCAGAGTAGGACCACCATGTTTCGGTAGTTCATTGCGCAATCCCCATGCCAGTTCGAGGGACAGACGACGCAGGTCTGCACGAGTCAACTCCCGTCCTGAAGCAGCATCAACGAAAGCGACTGAAGTTTGGTCCTGTTCCTTTACGTCGCCCAGAACAAACGAAAATACTGAGCGCTCTACCACTGGGACTGGAGCAAGTTTCGAGGTGTAGATTTTCATGATGGAAGCAGTTCAAGATGAGTGACACTAGCAAAGATGCTGGAAAGTGTATTAAAGAGGTCTACCAGGGCCATTATGATAGGCGACCATCCGGGATTTTAAGCTATAAGCCAAGGACAAGGCTCGACTATGGGCGGCAATCACGGGATCATTATTATATATTGATTTTCCAGAAATGGTCACCCTTCTACAACCAGACGAACTAGAAGAGTCGGAATAGTAAAACAATCAACATGCATATACTTTCGCTACGTTGGCGCCTTTTGCCATTGCCAGACCCTGACTCCCCCTCTTCGTCTCCAGTCTTCTTCGAATCCATTCTTTGTAGACCACACTTCGGTATATCCGAGTTCTCGGAGATATCGTTCCACTTTCCTCCCCTCTCGGATGTCTTCAAGCAAGGCGCCGAAGAACACAAGATGTGACGGCCAGCGATGGTCCCATCTGCTAAATGCTGGGGGTTGGGAACCAGGTTTTGTTGATGGAGAGGGAGAGGGAGGGAAGGCGGGGTCGACGGCAGCAGGAAAATTCTGCTTCAGATATTTGATTGGTGACGCGTAGAAAATATCGGTCTGGTCGGCGTAAGTCGCTATATCCAGCCCTCTATATTCGAAAGAATATTAGTCATGATTGTGTCCACTGAGTAAACTGCACTTACTTCAGTGGAGGTTCGCAGCTTAGTGCCCACAAGTAACCGTCTGAAAGCTCCGGCCTGTGAAGATAAGACTGCCATGGCGTGGAATGGCAAGGCATAAGGAAACCAACAGAACGCAAAATAGCAGGGTCGAGTGATCTCAGGTAAGACATGACGGTAATCTGTGCGCTGCCGTGTAGACGCATGACATACAGGCCAGGAATTATGCCTAATGCACAGATTATCGTCGTCTTGACACTGAACGGGACACGTTTCGACGTAGGTCTCCTGGAATGTTTTCTCATTTCCTTGTCCATGTCGCCTCCCAGTGACTTCGCGGAGAACACAAGCATGAGAGGCAAGAGAGGATGTAAGAACCGCCATTCTTTGTGTCCCATGAGAGAATAAACGAAGGTCGTCCAGAAGATTAACGATAACGCCGTCTTCTGATATTTGGTGCCTCTCCTTTCAGTCGTCCACGATCCATGGATGACGAATGGTAAGCAAACATTCAAAAGAATTGGGAATCCTTGAGTAAGGTAGTAATGCCACGGTGCCCGGCCGTAAAATAGCGAAACGGAAGATAAGTTTGTGAACACGAAGTTCAGCGGAGTAAATGTCCACCGTCCAAAGTATAGGCTATCGATGTAAACGATAAACGCCGTGGCAAGCAACCTACAGGACCGACCAGATGAGTAGTACGTCATGTGGACGGGAGAATGTACCTACCCGGTGAATAGACTCAGGGCAAAGAGCTGTCTCATGAAGACTTTGTCCCAACGTGTACGCCGATAGAGCTCAAGGAACAGGAAAATCCAAATGATGAGACTCGTAGGGCGCACTAAGCAGCTTGCAGCCGCGAGTGCAAAAGCAAACTGGAGTTGTCTATGGGGAGCCATTTTTAGAACAAGATGAATTGACCCGCACAATCTACTTACCTACGAGAATATAATGAATGCCAGGGCCAAAAGCATAGCGCAGCGGTAGTGAGTGAGGTTTCCACCGAGTTTGATAGTGTCCGACTCAGCGCTAAGATGTGGAAAAACGCGGTGAGGGAGAGGGTAAACTTTAGGACATCAGCTTTTCATGAAGAGCATTCTAGACGAGAAACTTACAGCAGTACCAGCATAGCGTTCTCCTATCATTTGTCTAGCTAGTTCTCTCGTGCTGATATCTGTTACGGCAGCAAGCGCGCCTTGGAAGATCTTTGGACCAATGATCTTTTTCGTGTTGGCGGTTAGTTAGACGAAGCCATGCGATACAGACGCAGAAGACTTGCCAAAGCCTCTCCGTCTTCCAATCCAGTCACCTTCAGGAGCCAATATACTGGCATGTAAAGAGCCGGGAAGAACACGCTGCGTATTGGTGGTGACGCCGTCCACTCCCAGGTGAGGTGTCCATAACCGAAGACAGCCCGATGGGCGACCTCGAGGCTCTGGAAAAACTCGTCTGGCTGGAAGAAAGTACGTGTCGAAACTGCAATGAGGATACGCCACGTAAGAGCTATAAGGATGGCCGACGTGGTCTTCATGCAAGCGCAGACGTGGAAGGCTGAAGAGTACTGTCTATTATTGTGTGTGGGAAAGTTGAATCATGAATGTGATAAAGGTCCGTCCGTGAATCTAATCTTATCTCCATAGGTTACCCTCCTCATGGCTGACTACCATTCATCACGTTTCATGCCGCCCTACCTTGGCTTTCTAACATTTCCACCATGTCCAACCCACGTCTATCGGTCACCTCCGTTTTCTACGGTGCAGTTATCAATCCACAGAACTTGAGAGAGTATGCTATCCTTCCTCGCGCTGTCATAGCTCTTGATCCTAGTGGAAACATAGCGTGGATTGAACACGACGTAGCCCCTAATGACATGCAGGATGTGATCAACCACAGGCTATCCGAAACTTATGTACCAGCTGGAAATGCTGCCCACGTCACCATTACAAGACTAGAAGATGGTGAATTCATCCTACCAGGATTTGTAGATACCCATACAGTGAGCTCTCACTTTGCAACTCCCGAGAAGCTCAGACTCACGAAATATTACCAGCACGCTCCTCAAGTGCCCAACACCGGAAGGTACGAGGCATGCTTACAATGGCATTCCGCTCGACTACAAATAAATGGATTACAGAGGCCAGCAGTATGAGCTGCTGGAGTGGCTAGACAAGATGACATTCCCAATGGAAGCTCGCTACCAAGATATCCTATTTGCGAAGAGAATATACACGGAGGTCGTTCGCCGGTTCATCGACTGCGGCGTGAGTGCACGAGAGTGACTATCCTTCCTTTAGGTTACTCACGGAATTTTATAGACTACTACGTGCTGTTATTACGGTAGTGTCCATCTGGAGGCCACGAAAACCCTAGCAGATATTGTTCTGGATTTCGGTAAATTATCTGGTTCCCATATATCGAGCATTGTTCTGATAAATGTTCATCAGGACAGCGTGCTCTCGTCGGTGTACGTACTTTATGCAAAAGCATTTCGCTGGATACTAAAAGCTTCATCCAGAAATGTTGTATGGATAGAGAATGTCCAGACGATGTCCGAGATTATTCTGCAGGTGCCTCCGTCGAAGAAACAAAGGAACTAATAGCATACATCCGTTCACTCAAATCCGACTTAGTTCAGCCAGTGATTACTCCTCGCTTTGCCATAAGCTGTACGAACGAGCTACTTCGCGGGCTTGGCGACCTGGCCAAATTAGATAGCACACTTGCCATTCAGACGCATATATCCGAAAATAAAGGAGAAATCATTCTGACGCAGGCGTTGTTCCCAGACTGTCCTACCTATACCTCGGTGTATGATACCTACGACCTTCTTGGCAAGAGGACGATTTTAGCGCACGGTGTACGTTTGGAGGATGAGGAGCTACAACTCATAAAGAAGAAAGGCGCAGGTATAAGTCATTGCCCTACGAGTAACTTCAATATCAGGAGCGGTATGGCAAAGGTAGGCGAGATGCTCGATAGAGGAATCAAGGTAACTACTTTCCATTATATTAGTCTACGAAGAAAAGACATCAAAATCATTTTCGCAGGTCGGCCTCGGAACTGACGTATCAGGAGGGTATTCTCCCTCGATCCTTACTGCCATCCAACACGCCTCCATTTGTTCCAAAATGGTCGCAGTCCAATCCGAAATAGATGTGGATGTAGGCGCACCCGAACGTCCTGGTTTCGCGAACAAGCAACTCCCAATCGCAACGCTTCTCTATCTAGCAACACTCGGTGGTGCTTCTCTTTGTTGTATGGAAGACAAGATCGGCTCTTTCGCACCTGGCAAGAGCTTCGACGCACTTATCGTCAGCGCACGTCCTGAAACGGGGAACCCGTCGATGTGGAGCTTGTCTGATGAGTTTTTGGAAATTTGTAGCACTTCTCGACCTCGTGGAGGAAGCGAAGCGAAACAGGCTTTAGATGCGTTGCTTGAGCGTTTCCTGTTCTGTGGTGATGATAGAAATATACTCAAGGTGTTCGTGCAAGGTAGATGCATTGGTGGAAAGTCATCTCGATCTTAGAGGAATCGGATAGATCATATACAGAGGATGCATTGGATACAATATATAATACATTTGATTACGGATAGTGCTGTAAGAGTACAAATTGCAAATAATTATCCTTGATGCGTGAGTATCGTCAAGATGAAATATCTTTGTGCTTGAAGTCGCCAAATTCCCATTTGTAACATTCCGAATCCTGTTCAAGTATCACGATCAGCAACACAACTGAAGCGTAGGACAATTCATGCTACTTACAAGACAGTCCGGGTCTTCATCCACCGCTAGCGGCACATGTCTTCCAGGCTCCCATTCCCGCTCATCAGCGAGTACAACAGTAACAATTTCACGAATCGTATGTTTCGTCACATCTGACGCACGCCAGCCATACGCTCCCATCGTATCATACACAATTTTCTTTCCAAGATGACATGTCGTCTCGAGTGCATATCCAGATTGTGCACAGACGCTCCCGATACCGGTACAAGCACCTTGTGGAATTGGGTCTGCGTTGTGGTAGACGTGCGTGACGGGTGTTTGTGGAGGTAGAGATAGGTGGAGTCGTTGAGCGGCGAGTAGTTCGCCTGGGGATTCGAATGCTACTGAAGGAACTCCGAACGTTGTGCCGAGGAGAGCTGCTAAGGCACCTCCTAGCGAATGACCGGTGAGCCAAATGTTGGCGGATGGGTAGAGGCTAGTTAAGTTCCTATACAGATTCTATTAAAATAATTTATCAGTAATTAAAAATTAAAAATTAAAATGTGAAGTATCGAAGTAGATCAAACTTACAACCCCAACAGAATAAAACAAACTGTCTTTCATCAGCGCTTCTGACAAACACGTGTTATCACATCTCCAATGCTTGGAGAAGCAATCACAGACAGTGCTAAATATCCAAGAAATATCCACACGAGCGCAACAGCACGAAAATAATAAATTGTCGTTGAATTTATCCTTCTTGGAGGTTGGTCCTTGGATAGTTGTACCCTTTATAGACAAGATAATCGTTGAATTATCAGATGATGCGAATATGTGTCCGCGGAAGCCGTCTGCGGTGTCTTCCCAACCGAATGGGAACGACTGCAAGAAAATAGGTAAACAAACAAAGCGTTTCACCGTTTGCACAGCAACTCACTTCGTTCCATGCGCCATCGAGATCATACCAGTTCTTCCTTCCAGGGAGCGCGTAGGCATTTCCGGACATCATTGCGAGTTGTTGGAGTGTATGCCTGTTCTCGATATCAGGACCTTCGATTTCTACTTCCTCCCATTCGACGTGCACGTCCTCAGGATTGAATCGAGCATCCGGGAATGCATCATTCGACCGTGGCCTATAGACCGACGTCGGACGTGTCATGAGAGTTACCGTCGGGTATTCATTCGGGTCTTGCTTATCCTGCACAATGAATTGAACATCATCACTTTCCAGTAGACGGGTTGAATGATCCTTCTGGACGTGAAACGTGAGGAGGTTAGGCCGTTCCGTGCTAACTGGCGGAGACCTCTTCGATACTACGAAATACGTCCAGAACGCAAGTAGAGCAGAGATCAGCCCGATTGCAAGTCTCCAGCGCATTGCGATTGTTAGCATTGTAGAGACATTTGAAAACTTGAAGTCCAAGTTGACCGCAGTAAGCAGGGAGGAATTGATCACGACGCACGTGCTGCTACGCGACTGCTTCTGAGAGGCATCCAAAAGAGGCATGTCGATCAGTCCGACATTTATTACTGCATTAGAGTTAGACTCTCTCAACTCAAGGAGCTCCTCGACCCCTATAGTGTCGACCACGACGCAGGGCCATACAGAACTTCGGAATTAACTCTGTTGTGCTTCTGCTGCAATCACATCGTCACGCCTGTATACCATCTTCATTCTTTCACTCTTTGCACCCTGATGATTTCATGACTTACGACCTGACACATACATATACCAGACGACGCAGAAATGCACCACCGCCAACGATTGGACTCTCCCCCTCCACCTTCACATTTCCGTAGACCGTGGTCTCCTCAGGAGCTTGAATCATACAGCAGGAGTACAGCGCAGCGCTTGCGGCGTCAACCTTCAGACGCTAATGCATCTCTTGAGGTTCTTGACCTTGCAGACTATAGCGGAATGCTCTCAAGATACCCCGACACTAGGCATAATATTTATGCCGCCAACGATGCGACTTATTATCCAGAATACCCAGCAACTCCACCGAGGACGCTCTCTCTTGCAAATCGAGGATCACTTCCCGCTGCTAGTACTAACCCGCCATCCCTTGTTTCGGGCGTAACCTCGACGTCACATACGCATTCTCCTCGATTACACACCCCTCCGCCTTTACATCGACCGTTTTCCCTTCCCCCTACTCAGTTCTCACGGTCCCCTCCTGCGAGTAATTCTGGTCGTTCCCACAATTATCCTTGGCTTGTAGAACCTCAAGTTTCCAATGAGCATGACGAAGAGATAGACACGTCTGCATTTCCAGATTGGTCACGGAATTGGTACAGGAACCAGAAGTCCACAAACGCGATGGCTGATCCTTACGCTCCTATCCCTACTTTTGATCCCGCACTTCTACCTTCTGTACGCGACAGCCTCGATGGTTATTATCCGGCACAGCCCTACGCATCGTCCAGCGGCTCCCATCGCAACCTTCTCCCTTGGTCCCCTCAGGACGACGGAGGTACGGGCGCGCGCGTCACTCCTGAAATGAAGGAGGAACGGATGCGGATGCTTGAACGTGAATTTGGTCGAACTGGTGCAAAACAAGGGGAATGGTACCGTGGGACGAAAGTGATTGGCAGTGTCAATGAGAAGGGGAACATTATAACCCCTGGTCCGAAGAAACGTATTATTGTGAGATGGGCTCAAGGGACCTTCGCGCTGGGTGCTTCCATTGCCTCGTTATATTCTGCCCTTGTAAGTTATAGATCTTAATGCATAATCGGAGATGACGTTCTGAAACGCTGAGTTCGGTTTTCTTAGATATTGAAACCCGTCGGAAGCCCACCGCCAAGGGGCACAGTCCCTGCATATCTGCTCTACTTCCTTTGCGTCGTCAGCGTCATTCTCCTGCTGTATATGTTCGTGTTCCGTCCGTGTTGCTGCTCGGGAAAACGTGCTCGGAAGGCGCAACAGGAAGGACCAGGAGGAATGATGGTTCTACCTGTCCAGCAGCTGCCCGGAGCGCCAGGTAAGAAAAAGAAAAAGAAGAAAGGCAAGAAGAAAGGGGAAGACAATGACGCTGGTAGTGTTTCTGTGAACCTTATTGTCGATCCGACTATGTTCGGGAACTTCGGGCGTCGTGACGAAGAGAAAGAGGATAACGATGAGACTGGCGAGGCTTCAGAGGGACCAGGAGGGAGGCGACGTGGATTATTCGAGGGGCTTGCGATGGAACAACAATGGATCGAGGCGCGGAAGAATCTGAAGCGCCTGCTTTTCTTTGATATCGCCCTTACATTCATCTGGGGAGCCGAACTTATTGTCATTCTTCTCGGGAAGCGCTGTCCTGTTGGGCAATTTGAGGGCTGGTAAGCTTGACGCAGTTGTTCCCCCATGAAGGACGTATTAACTGATGAACTTACCTAGGTGCGACGGATACAATGTCGCGACTGCTCTAGCTGCATTTCTGGCTGTTTCATTTGGGTTCAGTGGTTTCTTTGACATTAAGGACCTGCATCTGAGCAAGGCATCTCCACGGACGCGGACATGATTTTTTGTTCTCGAGTTTCTCCATTTATTATGATTTAATCTGATGCATATATTTTATCTGTAATGCTGTGTTGTTCCAGATGGACAGACTTGCTCTCATTCTCATGACTTACGATATTTGATGACCTGTATCTCTCTTTCCGTTACCTGCATGATTTGAGTTTTTCTTTTGCATGTTCTTTGTCAATCCACTTCTTGCGCATCATGACATTACCGAAATGTGTACAAGACAGTGATCGAATCTATACTTAATCTAAGGCACCTTTTAAGAATATTGTAGCAAATATAAGGTCCTTTACACGGCTTTTCTGCAAATGTATTCAAGTAATTATGGCTACTATTGAGATCGAGGCTCTTTAATGATTTGAATTTTTGTAGTGAATTAAGTTATATGCAAGTCGCATTAAAGACTCAGAAAAAGTGGATTTTCTCTTTGAAAGAAGACACAAGTTGCCAAATACAGGAATGAGAATATATTACTATATATGGAGGTGACGAACACTTTTCAGAGGGGGCTGTGCATTAACACCTTACCAGATTAGATTACGAACAAAAGTGTGATGGAGTAAAAGTGATGGATAGTCTCTCTAGACTCTAGGTTTGCTGGGCGAATACTGGCCTAGCCGTTCGCCACCTGCCACCCTCTGCTTCATTCTAATCGCCACCAGCATTCAGAAGTTCACGCTATTTATTCAGCAGTCCAGGGTACATCGAGCACTGCATGTTGCTGACAAGCTTGGAACGTACCAATGTCGACCGCCTCTCCTTCACCCTCGCAACGGCTAACTGACATATCAGATGCCACCCATGTTAAACCGTCACGCTCGCAGACCTCCCTTGACGATGTGCCGAACGCACGCAGTTCAGACGTGGAGCTGCCACCAGAAATATGGCTCAGAATCTTTGACTTTCTTGTCTACATTCCGGGTATCCTTGATATTTCAAACGTACGTGCGATTGAAGCATATGCGGAAGATAACGAAGGTATCATTTTGCATGGACTCTACAACGAAGCTATGAGCATGAAGCTTGCAATCAGCCTGGTCTCACGGTCATGGCGAAGACTCATCTTACCGTTCCTATTCGAGTATGTGATCATTAGGAGCGCTCGTCAAGCTCGAGTGGTCGCAGACGTCTTGTCTCGCTTTCACCAGGCACAAGGCGAAGAGAAATACTATGGACGGTGGACAAAACGCGTGGAAGTAATCATACAAGATGATCACTGGGAACAAGACAGTATAGATGCTTTGGTTACTATTCTACGGCTTGCTCCAAATATTCTCGTATTCTCGGATTTCTTTAGTACGGGTAGATTGCCTAACCATGCTACGCGAAACGTCGTCAATGTGCTGCATTCTCTGTCCGAAAAAGGGCGTCTTCGAAGAATTGAGTGTTCCGGCGTCCTTGGTGTTTTTCGCCTTTATACACTGCTCTGCGGTACGCCGTCACTCCAAGTCCTGATTACGAGACAGCTGTTACGGTATCCTATCACTTTACCCAATCTCCGTATACTGGTTGTCAGAAAGTCAGACCTTATTCTTCCCTATAAGCTCAGTATTTTGAATGCACCAAGCCTACATGGTCTTGTACTACACGGCAACGCTTTGAACCCTCTGACTGGATGCCCTCCAACCTGCACGATCATTCCCTACCCAAACTTGAAACATCTACGATGCCTCTATCTGGATGATAAGCTCTTGCCCCTCTCGCTCTTCCGCATCGCGGAGACGCCAGAGATAACGTCTTTAACGCTGGATTTCGGGCAGAGGCCCCTTGTCAAGGACCTGGAGAGAATTCGGATTAAACATCAAACGTTAGAAAGAATCAACTTGGTTAGGTTCCCAACTTTTAGCTATAGATTGGATCCCAGCTGCGAAATGGAAGGACAGCAGTACGTTTCTGGATTCCTCGAAGCACTGCTGAAGCGGGATGACATTCCATCTCTGCGAACCATTGGGTTTCACCGTCCCCGAAGTCATTTCGATACTGGCGACTTTACCAAATATGTTCCTACAAGGACACAAGTATCAACTGCCGAATTTTGGGAGAATTTCATTGCCCTATGCAAGTCCCGTGGTGTTAACGTCGAGACTTCGGTTGGTGCGAGCAACCAGTTCTGGGGAATATGGGAGCCTTTCCATGTCGGTTTGCTGCCTCATCAGTTTGCTGGCCCAGCAGCAACTTACCACGACAGTGATTTAGATGAGCATCTGTTTGGCTAGTTATGTAGGTTTATCGGAATATATATGATTTAATATATTCATAGTATTTGTGCAATATATGGTACATGGCAGACTTCATTTAATTTTGAATGCATATGATATGTATTATTACAGTAATTACCAATGCCGCGTCGTTCCAGATGAACGGACTTGCCGATGCTCTTATGAACTTACGATATTGATGACATATATCCCTCTTTCCGCTACCTGCATGTTTTGACTCTTGTTTTACACGTTCACTATCGGTTCACTTCTTGCGTACGACGAATATCGAAGTGATCGACATCTCTCTATGTTTGCTGGGCTAATACTAGCCTAACCGTCCGCCACCCGCCACGCTCCGCTTCACTCCGACCATCATCGTTCCGAAGCTCAGCTCTTATACGACATACCAGGGCACGACCAGCATTGTATGTTGTTGACAACGTTGGTTCTTACCAATGTCAACAGCCTCTCCTTCGCCCTCTCCACTGCTCGCCGACATACTAGATGCCACTCAAGTTAAACTGTTAGGTTCTCAGGCTTCCCTCGACGATGTGCCGAAGGCGTACAATTTTGACGCGAAACTGCCGCCAGAAATATGGCTCAGAATCTTTGACTTTCTTGTCTACATTCCGGGTATCCTTGATATTTCAAACGTACGTGCGATTGAAGCATATGCGGAAGATAACGAAGGTATCATTTTGCATGGACTCTACGACGAAGCTATGAACGTGAAGCTTGCAATCAGTTTGGTTTCACGGAAATGGCGAAGGCTCGTCTTGCCATTCCTATTCGAGTATGTGATCATTAGGAGCGGACGTCAAGCCCGAATGGTCGCAGACGCCCTGTCTCGCCTTCACCAGGCACAAGGCGAAGAGGAATACTATGGGCGCTGGATTAAACGTGTGGAAGTAATCCTACAAGATCATTATTGGGAACAAGACAGCATAGATTCTCTGGCTACTGTTCTACGGCTCGCTCCAAATGTTCTAGTGTTCTCAGACTTCTTCAGCACGGGCAGACTGCCTAACTATGCCACTCGTGGCGTCGTCAAGACGCTTCATTCTCTTTCTGAAAGGGGACGCCTTCGAAGGATTGAGTGTTCCAGCGTCTTTGGTGCTTTTCGTCTTCATACACTGCTCTGTGGCACTCCGTCACTCCAAGTCCTGATCACGAAACAGCTATCTTCGCATCCTATTACTTTGCCTAATCTACGTATACTGGTGATCAGAAAGTCAGATGCTATTCTTGCCTACAAGCTTGGTAACTTGAACGCACCGAGTCTACATAGTCTCGTACTACATAACAACGCCTTGAACCCTTTGACTGGATACCCCCCAACCCGCACAAGCATTCCATACCCAAATCTAAGACATCTGCGCTGCCTTCACATGGATGAGAGGCTATCACCTCTTTCGCTCTTCCGTATCGCGGAGACGCCGGGACTGACTTCTTTGACGCTGGATTTTGGGCAGAGGCCTGTCGTCAAGGACCTGGAGAAATTCCGGGTCAAACATCAGACATTAGAAAGGATCGACTTGGTTAGGCTTCCAACGTTCAGCTACAGATTGGATCCCAGCTGCGATCTTGAAGGACAACGCTTCGTATCTGGATTCCTCGAGTCGTTGCTGAAACGGGATGACATTCCATATCTACGAACTATTGGATTTCTCCGTCCTCGAAGTTACTTCGATACTGGTGACTTCACTAAATATGTTCCTGCAAGAGCACGGGCGTCAACTGCTGAGTTTTGGGAGAATTTTATCTCCCTCTGCAAGTCCCGTGGTGTCAATGTCGAGGCTTCGGTGGGTGCGAGTGACCATTTCTGGGGAATATGGCAGCCTTTCCACATAGGACTGTTGCCTCAACGGCAACTTACTACGGCAGTGATTTAGACGAGCGTTTATTTGGATATCTTGTGTAGATTTATTGGAATATGTATAATTTAATATATGCGTATTATTTGGTCAAATTATGGTGACCGGCAATTCCCGTTTACCTCAATCGCGTCTCCTTGAAGGGTTTCATCGTCATCATATCTCGCAATGACTGTGTTAAGGTGCTCTTTGTCTGCCCACAATGACATCCGCATATTCTCATGCGATTTTGGCTCTAACGCTTGAGAACTTCTATGAAATACCGGATTTCCTGCCTGCGATAGCAGAGGCAACAGAACGAACTTCGGAACGACTGCTCATTATCTTGTTCTCGAGACTGTTTAATGCAAACGCGAAACTGAGCCATACAGGAACCTGGAATGAGGTGCAGACACTTCTGGCTTCTGTTTATGTGGAATCTACGCGTGCTGCGCAAAAGTTGGATAGGATACTCATGGATGTGGACGTACTGTTGAAGGGCTTTGATGCGGAAGTATGTGTCGACAGTAAGGATGGGTGGCAAGGTTTATTCCTCCTAGAAGGCGGTATGTCAGCCAGCCGATATCACAACATTACTTGAAGTTGATGATGCATCTGTTAGATTCGACGGCTTATCCACTACCTCAATGGAGTTCGACTCTTCGCATAACGCATCTGAAGTCAACGAACGCTCCACCATTAGAAGTCCCCAGTGCTACTGAGAAGAACACTATGAATCCCTCGACCTTTCCCATTATCGCCTTGGGTGGGACGTTCGACCATCTTCATTCAGGTCATAAAATACTCCTCAGCATGGCAGCGTGGATTGCACATGAGAAGGTTATCGTCGGCGTCACAGGTACTTACCTTTTTTTTTCTCTCTCATCCGCATGGGTTGCATCATACTTACCTGGTTGCACGTAGATGACAAGCTACTTCAAAAGAAAGTAAACAAAGATGTTATAGAACCTTTAGACCTTCGGATAGAACGCGTTCGAAGGTTTATGGAATTTTTCAAACCGGGTCTTGTCTACGATGTCGTTCCTATCGATGACGTCTACGGGCCTACAGCGGTAGATCCGAATATCCAAGTTCTTGTAGTAAGCAAAGAAACCCTGGGAGGTGCTTCGGCCAGTGGGTGACCTTTCATATATATCTGTCTCGGCACAGAGAGGTGCGTAATTTTCTGACGTTTATAATTACGTTTATTCTAGTCGCGAAGCTACGTGAAGAGAAGAAATATCCGGCATTAGAATGCTTCGTTATAGACGTCATATCAGCTACTTCGGCTAACCTCGACTCTGAGGATATGGAGATGCTCCGGCAAGCGAAGATGAGCAGCACGTTCATCCGAGAATATCTCGTTGCTCGTCGGGCATCAAAGCAGTAGAATTAAAAAAATTGTTCTAGGTTGGTTCTTCTCCGTTCAGGCTCGACGGAAATACTGATGGTGGCTAGATGGATATTTTAGAATGTATTTGTATCATTGCGATAGTATCACCGTCTTACATGGGCGGCTACTGTCGCGATTCGAAGTGTTGAGGCCGTAGCGCAAAGTTGTGATGCGCCCGTTCTGTTCCCTTCGTCTTGTGAAGCCATCAAGGATCTCTCGGGATTGAGAGCTCATTTTCTTGCGGTGTCCCTGTGTGCTTGATTTCCTATAGCGGAAAATTCATTCGCTCAACAAAGTTACAAACGTCAAAAGACATGTGTGAGCTTTTAACTTTTCTCAATTCACATTCCGGCAAGAAAACCCACGTACAACGCACCGGATTCACAAAGGGAAGGCACAAAGGACCAGCAAATGGGCTCTGAAGTGTACATGGCTTTTCACAAATATATTGGTAATATACTTTAAGCATATGAGTATTGCGGCGTTCCGACTTTCTTCGACTTCCTGCGTCTTCTGCACTTCCAGGCGGCTTGTCCGCAGGCAAGTTGTCATCTTCTGGTAATAGAGTCAGACGTGAATGAATGCATGTGTACTTCGGGCTTACTAAACGTTGTTCGTGGGCCTATCATCTTGTATTTGCCGGTATCCTAGTCCTCGGTCTACGCGCGAATCTGGAGTTATGTATCTGACCTATAAGAAGGATGAGCTGATCTGGGGGTGCAGTGTGTCTGTCCGGGGATTGCTGTCGTGTGCCCACCACAAATATAAGCTTTGGGAGGAAGGGCGGATCTATCTTACGGGGATGATCTCGCGGTTTGCCACTCATCGGTGCAGCTTTTGATTGAAACGACCTTATTTGTACTCGTAGGTGGCAGGGAAGAGGCCCTTGAGTGGATAGTGAAACAGCTTCGCTGAATTGAGTGGGTGGGATGCTCGGGTTGATATGTCGAGACGTCAGACGCCGAGAGCTAACTGTAATTTCTTGGAGGACTTCTTAGCCACCGCCCGCATAATGATTTGGAGCGCATTACACTCCAGGCGCCTCGCGTGAATGATTTTAAGACATTAATGCGTTGTTTCAGCCTGTATTCGGCGTTTTAAAGCTGAAGCAAAGGTAAGGTCTGGGATTTTGAAATGCTATGTGCACGTGTGTATGTGCTTCGTATGCTCGTCGAGATGAGACTTCTGGTTCCCTCCGATGCGTCTTGAAGTGACAGGTAAGGAACTAAGACTCGCCGTGGCCATGCGCCTCGGCCGAGATTCTAGCACATAAAGCTATAAGTCTTTGCGTGCTAATGAAAGAAAGGATGATGCAGAAGAGATCGTCGCTGGGACGGCACTGGCAGATGATTCGCTGCTCCATGACATCGTTCTTGTTCTTGCATGCGTTGTTCATATACTATTGTTCGCGTTGGTGCATCCGAGAAGAACTCTCCGGGGCGTTGCTGAGCCCACTTGCACGTCGGTGCCGTCAGTCTTCCGTGATCGAGCGCGCAAAGAGGAAACTACGCGATCATATGTACCTTTCCCGTCGTAGACCGACTTCCTACCTCAATAAATAACCGCGTAGAGAATGAAAGGAAACTCGGTAACGCGATGATGCATGGCAGACAGTTTCAGGGGTGACTTTGTGAGTGAAATTAGCTACCCAAGACAGCCATTTCATTTGAGCTTCGTGGGTGAAAGGTTGCGCCCGATCCCTAGTATATTACGGGTGCAAAGCTTCGGATAACACGGGATCCCGTTCGTACAGGAAACGTCGTTGAGTTAGCATGCATCCAATCGGCTGGCTGCGGCAGAGCATGGACATGACGATGCTAAGTAGCAGCAGGGCTATAATAAATGTCCAACTGGCGATAAGTCTGCATTACATCTTCCCTTATTTCGTTTGATAGATGGGGGATGTCTGATATGCAATCGAAGGCTGAAATAATAATGAGGTCAAAGCCATCGGATTGTCATATGCATATGGATGGTGCCAGCGATCACGGATGCGCGGTGATTTTGCGCTGGGAAATCGGAGGAAGTAAATGGCGCATATGCATAAAGTGAAAGGCACACATGGAGTAGGTAGCGTGCCTCAGTGTATGCTTCTTTATGCGTTCCAGTTGGGGGTCTGGGATGCGAAGGGCGACGGAAAGGAAGGCAACGGCAATCAGCCAAGGACGTCAACGGTCAGCCGGATGTGCTGGGATTGTGAGAAATGTGCGTATTGCTAGGGAAGCAAAGTAGGGACGGACAGACGGGGCCTCGGCAGACAGACCAGATGGAGGATCTGGTCACTGCTTTTCGGTGCGTTGTACGCGGATAAAAACAAATATACGCTTGGCCGTCAACGATGAGCGATGCATGAATTTGTTACAGATTCATTCCGTTGTTGAGATATAGGCGAGAGGGATAGAAGCGAAGATGGAAAGCCGGCATACAGCAAAGTGTTTGGGTTGTAAATAAATATGAAAATCCTTTGAAACCTATGACGCGTGACTGCATGATTTAGCTTGACGCGCATATAGCCAGCTCAATCGATCCAAACTCGTCTCTGCATCTCTCTTCGATGCACAAACATGGGAAACACTTTGTACATGCCCGCTGGAGCATCAATGGATCAAATCTGTCGGTACTCGGTGTGGATTAAGAACGTATACGGAGTAACGGCGTGTACGAGAGAGTCGCTTGCGGAAGGGTGCATCGGGCCGTTGCCGGACTGACCGACTCTTCACATCCAAATCCGTATTCCATATTTTACTGCCAGCGACCTTGTTCGCTCTCCCCCTCCTTCCCCATCCTCCTCCACTTCCTCCTCTGTTTCGCCTTCACGACGCGTTAACCCGCTGTCGTTTCTTTGTTTCATTTCTCTCGTCGCTTTACTTTCTAGTCGCACCTTTCACCATGCCTTCTCTTCGACGAACTGTCTCTGAGTCGGCCACTTCGGTGCGCACAAGCCCATACCCAAGTGCGCTCTCGCTCTCTGCAGCGGGCGCTCTCAACGCGGGTATTCCGACCAGACCGCGTCGGACGGGCTCGGAAACGAGTGGACGTAGAGTACTTGCCGACATTGAGTGGTGGAGGATTTTGGACGGACAGCAGGAGGAGGATAATGACAACGCTAACGTTAATGAAAATGATCTGGAACGCGTTAACACACTCCAGCTTGGTCTGGTTGAGACCTTGCAGGAGTCTACAGGCGAACACGCAGCTGCAGCGGCAGTGATGGACGCAGTCGACGACGACACAGCACTCCGGGTCTCCGACGCGTCGCAAGGGGTCAGTTCCTTATGTGTCAATTGCAGATGATAGATTTCGTACTTACTCACCTTATCTGCGCTTGCCTACTTTTCGCATGACTAGGCCTCTTCATTGACGACTCCCTTCGCTGCTATGTCCATCTCTCCCGTGCCACCGATGACACCACCGCGTTCGCGTGCTGCATCCGAAGAGTCGACCTCGTCCGTCGAGTCTACGCCAGAATCATCTCCGCGCACGCCACTGTTGCGGTATGAAACACTCTTCATGGACGCACCTGCAATTAACTGCACGATCGCGGATGCAGATACAAGCATCGATTCTTGCGCATTGCTCCCACCGTTCGTCGGGCGCCCGAGCATGCTGAATGCTTTGCCCATGATGCGCTCCGTGTCCTTCGGCGGCTTCGATGCACCACGGGAATCTGCCGACGACCGTTTCGGCGATGTGATCTTTATCTAAGATCATGTATAAAGCAAGCCGCATATAGTCAACGCACGCTGTTATCCTCGCCTGTTCCACGCGCATTTTCTATCCTCCTTTTGCACGACACGCTTTCACGACCTGCGCATATACACAAGAACAATCACGCCATCTCGACGTTTCCTCTTGTTCCTCTATCTACAGACACATTCGTATCACGTTTGTTACGACAATCTGGTGCACGTTGCACAACCCACAACAACCGCTTATTCGCTTGCGCTAGGTGCCATGTCTCTATCACCATGTGCCTAACGATCTGCGGCGAAATGGTCCCTGGCCCCAGCCCAAAAGCAATCTTGACTTGCGCCAACCTTTTTTTGCCTTTCTTCACGACGTTTTATTTTCACGTTCTTCTTCGCTTTCATTGTATACTTTTTTGGCTTCTAACGTCCTGATGCGGACTTACGACTGATGACAGCCCACAATCTCCGCTACATTTTTGTTTCTCTTTCATCATTGCCTTGCATTTATATTTTTTTGACTTTCATCTGTGCAATGTGGGCTATGCCCGCGCTGCCGTAACGTCTTCACGTTTACGTTTATCTTCTACTCTCTTCACGACTTCTTTATCTTTTCTTCATGCTCTCCGTCTTAATGACCTCTTCCATTTATTTCTTGCTTTTAACGCCATTTATTCTTACATCTTGCTTTGCAGTTTTATCTATCATATAGCTCGCGCTCGCTCGTCTTCATACCATCTCCCAACCCATATCAAACTGTCTCGTCTTGCCTTGTCTCTCGTCTGACTCTTTTCCTTTCTCGAAATCAAATGTAAAGATAGATATGCAAAACAAACCTACCTATCTCGTTTCTGTATCCGCGCTCGAAATATAACTCGAAATTTCTTGCGGAGACAATTCCTTTAACCTCACTTTCTGCTTCCTCCCTTTTCTCTCGCAACCTCGCTCTCACTGCCTCAGTTACAAATTGTTCTTTTTTGCTTTGTTGTTTGATTAACGACTCCATCACGACAAATTTATTTATTAACTGCCTTTCAAAGGCGCAGGGCGCAATCTCAGCATCTACATCTAGTTTCTCATTTTCCTCTTTTTCATTTATTTGTGTCATCAAATCCGTCTCGTTTCCCGTCTTCGTATCACTCTTCCATGCTATAGTGCGTTCCGCTACGCCTTCCACCTAGGCCTATCACGAAGATCTTTCTCACTGAGGATCTCTGATACACGCGCGTCTGTTCGACGTAACGTAACGTACGTGCTTCGTTTGAGTAAATTCGGTAAATAGGTGGCAGTACTAGTATAAGCATATTCAGTATAGCTACGTTTCGTTCCTGTACTGTGCTTTTTCGTACGCACGTAGCTAGCGGATGGATACGCTTTGGGCAGAATAGTTAATATATTACGGGTCTTTTTTTGACAAACACCGAGTTTGTGGTGGAATCAGTAGCAATAAGGAATTGAGAACTTCAATAGAAGAAGGGAAGTGATGGGAGTGAGAAGAGAAAAAGCTGAGGAAGTGAGAAAAGAAAAAGATAGAAATGCAGAAGAACAGGACTGGAGAACGTAAGGAGAAATCATCACTTGGGAATATGAATGTGGAATGCATAATACCGCGATCATCAGACAAAAAGGATACGGAGATACTGAAAGCACGAGATGAGCAGGAAGAGGACAAATGCATGACGATGCAAAAAGGAACTAACTCCACTCATAAAACGCGGAGATGACCGAGTAGAATTGCGTATTGGCACTGGCACTGGCGTTGGCACGACGTCCACAGGAACAAGATCGAAGACACATGTAGATACACGCATGCTCGGACAAAGGGCCTGGCTTCATACACACGTAGATAGAATCATGGAATCATACATCATCCGACACGGACGACGACGTGAAATTCATGCGGTACGGGTTGATGATCAGCGCGTACCAGAATACAAAAATACAAAACGAAAAAGAAAGGATGAAAATAAGGGAATAACCTCCGAGCCTGAGAGTGAGATTCTAGCACTCTGTGTCCGCCGGCATCACCGATTGAAACCAAGGAAAGTGGGCGGGCCGCCCACTCTACTGTATGGCGATTCTTGTAGTTTCCCGTATCGGAGGTCGACATGACCTGGTGCTTGACGCGAGAATTGGCCGTCGGGACCGCCTTGTCGAACAGCAGGAGGAGGCCCATTCCCTGGTCCAGATCCACCCTGTATGAAAGGTGGATTACCTCTGGGTCGCACTTGCGCTTGCGATAACGATTGCGCCGCGGGTGGAGGTGGAGGTGGTGCACCCGACGACTGCCCAGCCCGGGCCTTCCATGCTGAACGAATCGTATCTTTACGTGCCAAGAGCTGTCAACAGGTGAACAAAATACACCCGGGCGCAACATAGTTAATGATCCTGTCTCTCCACAAAATAGATGAATGAATAGTTTGCGCTGATCCACTTACATCTTCTTTCTCCACGCCGTCAATGATCGACTGTATGATGTTGTCAACTACGGACTTGTGGTTTCCATTTGGCTTATCATCTCGGAACCGCATGAATCGCCATCGCTTCTCTTTCGTCTCCCAGAATACTTCGACGATGCGGTCGTCAACTTGTTCGCCGGAGGTCTTTAATCTACGGCGTACAACACGTCAGGATCATCATTCGGGTTGCATATAACGAGTGGACATACCTCTCCCATTCGTCGTCATCGATATAAAGCTCATCAAAAGGTTCGTAATTATCTCTCCCACCAATATAGGCATGCAAACCAAAGATAGGTTTCGCCGTGAAGTCAGGCTCATCCTTCCGTTGCGGATCCGGCGGGAAACGTAACACTAGCTTGAAGTCAATCGTATTCTCGGAAGGTGGCTTCCACTTGAGACTGGCAGGGTGGTAAAGCATGATTAACAGCGTCAAGGAGATGACGGGAAGGATTGCCTGCCTACATTTTGGGGTCGGTGCCGACTACATAAGGTGATTGCAGACACGTGTAGATCAAGCCGTCGTTTCCGTGCTGAAGCTTGGGGATGTCTTCGTTGAATACTTTTTCCAGTCCATATGATAGGTTCATCGGTTTGACTTTGATACTTAGTGAAACGTCGTCCGATAAGAATTGCATATACGATGAAACGTAGGAATGAATGACTCACTCGAAAAGTTGATTTTGTGCCATGTATGGATGGTCTTGCATCATCTTCTTGAATGGCTTGAAGAACCATTCTTGTAGCCTCTACCGAGCATAGGACTGTAAGTTCTTTTGGAGAACAAGCATATAGAGAGTGATCGGACGTACGCCATATCGCTTATCCAGAGTTCGGGACATGACATTCTGGTAATCTACGACTAAGCAATCGAATGCAAGGAATCGCAACGTATCCTATGAGTAGACAATTCAATTAAACTCAAGAATTCAGACACTAAAGGATTAGACTCTGACCTGCCTCGTCCTTGGGTCTGTATCAATAACCAATTCTCCATCGAGAATGGTAGAACCTAGTGGCTTCTTTGGATCCGCATGGTGAGGAAAGAAGAATCCGCTGATAACACGATAATTATTATGCCGGTCAATCTGAAGCATTGGACAAATAGCACAGAAGAACGCGTCAGCGACCCCCAGCCAACATGAGTTAGCGCATGTTACACGCACAAGGTATACATCTTGAGCACCATCAGGGTCGGTCAACACGAAGAACAGCACACGAATGCCGTCAGATTTCTCGCAAACCCAGTAGCTACAGTTAACATGAGAACAGAGAAGACAAACAAGCCAGAACGATACTAACTCTTCATGTTCGAGGACTTCAAGATCCTTCTTAGCGAAACTAACAGGCTGACTTCCAGGGAATCTACAAACAAGAACAGACTTGGTCGCAAGATTAAGCAAGTGGAAGACTATAAATACCTCGTGTTATTAACTTGACATAACTGTGCCACGATCCTTTGGAGGTTGTTAGAGAAACCTGGATCGAGAACTTCACCAGGGATGTCTGGTATTCGAGGAGTATGAGGCATAGAGCAGGTCAAGACTACGAAGCTCTTATGTAAGATTTCACTTGGTTAGGTCACGCCCCATCTTCACCGTACTTCAATTTAATTTTCAAGTGCATGGGCTCGAGAGCGCAGTACGTCGATTTCTTACTTAAAAGTCACGAATGTTTTTAAATTTGTCTTACAATAGCACGCAATAGTCAGAGGAGCGAATCCGATGAATTAATCTCGCCTAAAATTCAGTACATCACTTAATTCTTTGGGTTGGTAACGACCGAACGGTAAAGAAAGGCTATGTAAGGGGAAGAAGAGCGTGCGGAGAAAGTGCTGTGAAAAGGTGCTTAGCGATCCTCAGCCCATTCCTAGAGTATTCGTCAGTAATACGTATTAAAGGGTGCGATTGCGGAAAACTCACATTCTCGCGCCTTATCTGTTGCTAAACGAGTGGCGAAATCATGTTAGTAACCAGTAAAGTGGCTGATGAGACGCCACACACCTCTTCCTCCGGAGTGAAGTCATTAGCAATGTTGAAGAGCTTTCTGATCTCCTCAGGAGTCTTGCCCTTGATCATGTTGGCGACGGTCTTGCATCCGACATCACTTCACAAGAGGATGAGAAGACAAAGACAAGATGAGAAGTCTGGTCACTCACAGAAGAGCCTTGATGTCGAGATAGTTTGCTGCGAGAATGATCTCAAACAGCATTTCTTGGTCAACCTGAATGAACTTTTGGTCCCACTCGCTAATGTCAGTCGTGCGCCTCCGAGATTCATCGGCTGTCGATTCATCGGGAGCCGGGAGAGGGTCGTTTTGGTGGTAATCGCACCATTCAAGCACCTGAAAGTCGCAGTGAACGCTATCAGTAAGACCGCACCCGGGGAGTATGCATGTCCACAATACCTTTCTCATCACAGTCGAATTGATGTTTTGTACTGGGATTTCTTCTTCCTCGTGCTCACCAACATCTAGGGAGAAGGCGATCGTGAGCGAGGGTCGTTCGCAGAATAGGCGGCGCATACACACCCTCAAGCAAGTTCTTAATGAGGTTCATCCGCTCAGCGACCTTGCGGTCGATGGTGAACTTCTCTTTGTCGGCTGTACGAAGGATGACCATGATGTCGAAGGATGGATGGTGAAGGAGACTTTTCGGGTGGCAGGAGTGCGGGACGAAAGAGAGATGAGTAGGGCAATGCTGCGAGACACGCCACGCCGTCTTAAAGGTAGACACGCTTACATAATATTGCACTATTTTGCCTTGGCTCGTCCCGTCGTCCCTTCTCTTTGGTCGCAAAATGGTGTTCTTGTCTGCTTTGCGCGGCCTCACCGAACGGCCTCATGGCCCATTCTCTCTATTCGGTATGTTATCTTGTTCATCAAATCTGTAAAACAGAACAATAATTACATTTACTCGTGCAGGCCTTGGCTCAGTCAGGACTGCCACTAAACGTGCTGGAGGCACCGTCCGCAACCATGGACATTCGCCAGGCAAACGTCTTGGTGTGAAGAAGTTTTCTGGTATGCCCTGTCGCACCTGTATAATGATACTGAATTAAACTGAGGACACGTAGACCAAGCAGTCATCCCAGGTAATATCATCGTTCGACAACGAGGGACGCAATTCCATCCTGGCCAGCATGTGCGTTTCTTTCATCTCAGCTCCATCATTACGGATGTATCGCTTTTTCATGTACCCATATCTCATACCTTCCTTTGTTCTTTCACAGGTTGGAATGGGTCGTGATCACACTATCTTTGCACTTGCACCAGGCTTTGTTCGGTTTTACACTAAAAAATGGATGAATGGCGAACGTCGATATGTCGGCGTCGTTCTCAATCGTGGAGAGAAATTGCCTCGAGATGAGTCAAACCTTGGCCGGAGTCGGTACTTTGGGCTGGTAGATCTGAATCAGACAAACCCGCGAAGTCCGGAACCGCCGACGGCGTAGGAGTTCGTATCTGGGCGTTCTTGTCTTTTTATTTTTCGGGCACATCATACGCAGACTGGCGTAGACATTCACGCCACCTAATTGATTATTTGTGCTGCATCCGATCATTCCGAATTGGCCCATTTTGTTCTAATATTTGGTCAACTCGGAGCACCGTTACCACCACAATTACAAGTGTATAGAAGCCACATAATGATAATAATAAAATCAAAGATCTACAAACTCTTCATCGAACGCCTTGCTATCTAATGCTCCCTTCTTCACTTTCTTCGCCATCCGTTCCTCTCGCGCCAGTTCGTCCCAGTCATCCGCATCCGAATCAGCCCCAGTCTTACTCCGCTTCGCGCCCGCCGTCGAGTCTGTCTCCGCAAAATGCACGGTAGACTTCTGGCTCTTCAGCCAATCTCGTTTCCGAGCCTTTTTCTCCTTCCTCTTCTCTCTTTCCGCCTGCTTGGCAGTCTCCTTACTCCAAGCGGCGTTCTTCTGCTTCTGCTCTGCGCGTTTCCTTTTGTCTTGCTCACGACGCGCGTGGACCTCTGCTGAGGTGCTTTTAGCCAACGTAGCTAAACGTTGTGCTTCACGCGCCTTGTCAGTATACGCGTACGTGTCCCACTAGAATTCGATTTTAGTATTAGAGAATGAAAACAGCGGAGGTGGGGCATATTACCTCGATATCATCGTCCTGCCAGCTGTCCCCCACAACGTCCTTTAGCTCAGGCATTCTCGGAAGCCGTAAAAGCCCAAACGACTTCGCAACACCGACTAGATCGAGATCTTGTAATCGGAAAATGTATGATGCTTCATGTTTTGAATATGAGCGAACGAAGGAGACGAAGGCCTTAACACCCTGCGTTCCAGTGTTAGCCACTTGATTAGGGTGGATAGTTGATCAAACCGACTCTGTCATGCAAATCCCTGTCCTTGCGAACTACTGCCCTCATTTTGCTCAACATGTTATCAACTTCCGGATCTTCCTCATCATCAACGGATGCTTGTGAGTCTGGATGCGGTAATCGTGGCTGCTCCTTCAGTGGTATTTTGCGTATGGAGAGGAAATCTTCGATTGTGTAAGGCAAGCTAGAGGTAACACAGAAAACGGGACATGCATACCAACGTATCCAAGTTCTTCCTCACTGAGCAATACCCAAGCCCTGCCATCTTTCCCTGCTCTCGCTGTCCTCCCACATCTGTGACTAAACTGCTTGGGATCTACTGGAGGGTCGAATTGAATGACGCAGTCAACGTCCGGCAAGTCGAGTCCACGTGCTGCGACATCCGTACAAAGCAGAACAGCAGGCGAGGAAGGAGTTGACGCGTGTGTACTGAATGAACGAAGTGATAAGGTGCGTTTTGCCGGAGGAATATGTCCATGAAGGGAGAAGAAAGAGACAGATGGGAGTAAAGGCGGAAGTATCTGCGGGATGGAATCAATTTACCTTTTCTCTTTTCCCGTTAATAAATAAGTTGGTTTGCGTACCCGAAAGAAATAATCTACACAAGCGCACGTTGCGAAATAAACGATAAACCGAGACGATGCAGCTTCATCAGTCTCGCGCTTTATGATCCGCGTTAGTTGTACCATCTTCTCTGATGGTCTACATTGGATGTAAAAATTCTGAAGACTAGATTTTGGCGAGATTAGTATTGTAAAGGAATCAATAAAATAAAATGCATACGTAGCCGGAACTCGTCGTTCTTCTACCTTCTCTCTTATACGTTTACCGTCTTTGGTTTTCTTTGCCTCGACTTTCACCACGACGCGGACTGGATTCCTCAGGCCGACACGGACAAGTTCGGATAACGCATCCGTCATAGTCGCGCTAAATAATCCTGTACGTCTTTGCTTCGGTAAAGCTGCGAGAATGCGGGTCAAGCATTGAGTGAAACCAAGATCCAGTAACCTGTGCATTGATTGAGTATAATGCATTTTGGTACAGAGGGATTAGACCCGCACCTGTCAGCTTCGTCGAGCACTAGCACCTCGAGCTCCTTCACATTCACAACATCACGACCTTTCCCAAGAAGAAATTCTTCGATGCGTCCTGGTGTCCCAATGACTATATCAGCACCCGTGTCCAGGAACCGCCTGACATCTTCAGCAGGAGACGAGTCTGCTGATGAAGTTAAGAGTAAAGGAGGTGGAAGTAAATCGTCTCGAGATTCCGGATTATCTTCGTCAGTCCCAGAGGATGCATTCTGCAAGGTCATACAGTCAAGTAAGCGCTTCGCCAAATTCCAAATCCACCTGCCTTGGGCTGTGAGTTGAGGAAGAGTTCAAAGACAGAGTGTATTTGTGATGCAAGCTCTCTGCAACAAATCAGATTATAAAATCCATCCCATAGTGAATGTTGCTGCTCACCGAGTTGGGCTAATGACAAGTGCCCCGACTTCCGACCTTCGCAATCGCTTCTCCCTTCGTACGAGTCTCTCAATGATGGGGATAACAAAGCTCAGAGTCTTCCCACTTCCTGTCACCGCTTCGACTACGACATCCTTGTGCTTCATGAACAGTGGGATGGTGGACGCCTGGACTGGTGTCATTTGTGTGAATCCTAGTGAGTCAATTACTTCGACACTAAAGGTAAAACACCCGTCAGGTATTATTCTAAGAAACATTGCCAATAGGCTTACATCCATGAAGTCAAGGGGGTAGGTAAGGATGTCCATGAGCCAGCCAAAGCATTGGACGCCATGACCGTCGCGGGCGGTTTGACCAACATGCGAGGAGAAATAAATTCAAAATTGATCGACCGCCGAAAATAGTGCGTCCAAATTTAGACCGCGCTGTCCGAACTGCAACCATGTCAATTTCACACATCCCGGCGTCTCTTCTCCTTCCTCCCCGCAGCCCACAACGAGTACAATGATTCTGTCATCCGGAATAAAACTAAACCTCACTCCAGTGAAATCCACAGACATACCTCCAGAGGACCAACTTATCCAAGCAGCACGCGAATTGGCTGAAGCTACAACAAAGTGGAAACACACGAAGGACTACGCTAAGGGCGTCGTTAAGGGCTATTCAGCTCCCAAGCAAGCTGACGACGAGGAGCCGTGGTTTTGTCGAGTGAGCGAACATGCTCCTGAAGAGATCTCTTTCGACGAGTTCTGGTTTGCTTTGGGAACTAATAAGCCGGAACATGAACGGAAGTGAGTTTCCCATGTATATAAAATGGTTTGTTACGCGACTAATTGTTGAACCGATGCATAATTAGATTTGTGCATAACATTGATAACGTCGTACAACTGAAAAAGCTCTCCGACGAAGCGACGATCTGGAACCTGCACTACAAGTTCGCTCCGCCGATCAGTAACAGATCATTCACAGTCCTGCAAGTCATACACTTGGACACTTCCGCACCAAAGAGGACTGGGTACGTTGACGTATCTTGCAAACGTATTTATCCTATAATTCAATTTATTGTCAGAATTGTAGTATCAATTCCGATTGACGTCTCAGGAGATGAAGAGATGTCCAAGGCCGAGTTGAAGGGAGCTCGTGGACGCTATGTCTCCGTTGAGAGGCTCCTTGAATTAGAGAATGGAAAGACTGAATGGAGGTAAGGCTTAATAGATTCCCTAGGCATTTGGGAACTGTAACATTAATTCACTGCTATTTCTATTATTTTTATTTTTTGAAGGATGGCCACATCGAGTACGCCAGGAGGTAGTATCCCGAGTTTCATCGCTCAGGCAAGCGTGCCAGGTCAAGTCGCCAACGACGTACCACTCTTTTTCAAATGGTATAACTCAGATAAGGAATACTTCAAGAAAGGGATCCAGAAGGATGAGCCAGCTCAGAATGCTGCACCAACCGAGCCTACAGCGTCATCGTAGTTTTGTGTACTACAACCACTATTATTCGCGCCTTTACACTTTGAATTCACTTGAAAACATGCATATATCGGTTGAAATGGGTTTTAGGTACAAGTGTGACTAGTAATAAAGGATGTGCTCCACATCTCAGACGTTGACTTGATTATTTTACAAGAACGCCAAAGACTCGGTGAGCGAACACGTCTGTGAATCGCCCGTGTTAATCTTGCTCTCGTAAAATGAGGAAGACGCGTGGGATAAAGAACGCCAACCAGAGTGTTGAAGAGCTAACAAGTTTAAGAGTGGCGAAACGGAGATGCATAAACCACCATGCCCAAGAGTATATGAAAGAGCAAATGCATCATCGGTTTGGTGTTAATAGGTCTTATATTCGAAGATATCACCACTAGAAATCTATCTTAGTGATGCGTTAGCGTAAGAAAAGCAAAAGAAAGTAAGCCACTCACCTAGCGAAATTATACAAGTTCCTAGTACCCTAGTACGAAAGAAAGGGTATCCAAGGCGCGAAGTTGTCTCCCGCGTGTGAACCCCCTAAACGGTATCAAACCGGGGTCTGATAGCACAAGCATCGTAAAGTTGGCAAAATAAGAACGGGAAGCTAGTCATTAATCTAGCTCAATAGATTGAGTGCCTTTCTGAATGGATGAGTACAGAAGACGCCTAATAATCCGAGCAAAACATGTAGGCGTAACAGACAAGTGACATGGGAGCACGTCAAGCACGTAGGTCTTTCTGATAGGTATGCTGAACAGTCAGCGTACAGAGTCGCCGACAAACTGTATTGCTTATACAATAACATCGTTGTTTTTTTGAAACAGCCTTGGGATCACTCTAGAATATTGATATTGTATTCAACCGGTCTAGGCTATGATATGAAATGTCAACATAAGTACTTTGTAAATGATATTCATTACTCACCAGACTACTCCAGGTCATATTGGAAGGAGACAAGAAAGAAACGTACGAACGGTGTCTCCCGCGCGTTCACCTCCAACTTGGAGTAAACAAATCCCGAACATGGGCTTGCTTTTTTGACGGGAAAGATATTACTCTAGCTCGTTTGAATGGGCGCCATTCTGTTGTGTAATTGCAGAAAGACGCTAAAGTGACGGAGCAGCAGTTCCAGGGGACAGAGCTTAAACTATAGAACGTATTCGTCTTTGCTATTGCAGTACATAGGGTACATAAATCTGTATAAAGTCTGTAAAAGATTTGCAATGACAGACAAACAAAATTAACATACACAAGGTGGGTAGCTCAGAAGAGCAGTGATGGCTAAAGCTTCACAGCGTGCTTCCACCTTCACCCGGGAACCGATTGAAACATGGTTATCACCAAACTTAAAGGCAACGGCCTTGAGGTCTCTCTCCACCACCTACCTAGTCTGACTTTTGCTATAGGCGTCTTTGAGGCAATATTGGTCAATGTCTCCCGCCAGTTCACCTCCGAGCCAGTGCCAAGATACTCAGTAACCGTCACAAAGGTTGACGAGGAGGCTTGATTGTAGGCAGGATAAAATATTCCAATCTAGCTCCCAAGACTGGACGCCCTTCTGCGTTGTACCAAAAGGACGTCAAAGTGACGGAGCCGCGCTAATGAGAAGGTAATTAATAAGACTTGCATCTAACGACAAGGTCTTCATATGGTTTTTGCAGGTGATGTAAATTACAAGGTGCAAGCTTGAAAGAAGCAAGTCAGATTAGAAGCATTCGATTAAGTATGTGGCGAGTTGACTTACGAAATACATATTAAAAGGTGCGTTGAGGTATCTACCGGTCTAAACGCACGAAAATCATTATTAAAGTCGGTTTGAGAGTCGAAATCGTGCTTACAGAACTCGAGAGTCTCATCCGATCTCTTAACCGCTTGCTAAACACCAATATTGTGAGCTCGGAGAGGGGATTAGGTTGTTTTGTACTTACTTTCCAACCCTCTTCGAAATCAATGGGAAGAATGACATAGCGATTCTTTCGTACAGCTGCGAACTCGTTCGTTAGATGTTCAATGGCTGGAGACCGGTATGTTACTCACCTTGTAGCCCAGCAGCCTGGCAAATTGCAGCAATTTGTGCGGAGGACAATTTATCTGGTCGAGAAACCAAATCTTCCAAATCAACGTCTGGACTAAGGTTCATCTTGCTTGTAACTGTCTGGAAGATAAGACGCTTCTCTCTTCGAGAAGGCATAGGGAATTCGATTTTACGATCCAGACGTCCAGGACGGAGAAGAGCAGGATCTAAGGTGTCGGCACGGTTGGTAGCCATGATGACCTTGGGCATTTTCAATAATTGAACATGAAAGAGAGGAAAACGCACAAATCCCTACCTTGACATTGCTTCCTTGGTCGAAACCATCCATCTGATTGAGAAGTTCAAGCAGAATACGTTGCACCTCTCGATCGGCACCAGTTTGCGCGTCGAAACGTTTTGTTGCAATCGCATCAATTTCGTCAATGAAGATGATAGACGGAGCGTTTTCTCGTGCTAGTCGGAAGACATCACGGACCATTCGAGGACCTTCACCAAGGTACTTTTGCACAAATTCACTGCCAACGACCCGAATAAACGAAGCAGTCGTGTGATGTGCCACGGCTTTGACAAGCATTGTTTTTCCGGTACCTACAAAGAAAATGTCAGCTAGGAGTCTAACACTGCAGTACATATGTACTAACCAGGTGGACCGTACAGCAGGACACCGCGTGGCGGGTCTATTCCGATCTTCTTGTATAAGTCGAAGTGTGTTAACGGTAACTCCACCGCTTCACGAATCTCCTGTTTCTGACTATCCATTCCACCGATATCCTGGTAGGTAACATCTGGCTTTTCTTCCGCTCCGAGCATGGAGATGGATGAATCCGCTTCAGGTGGAAGGATGTCGACGAGAGCATTGGAATGTCTGTGGAGAGCAACAGAAGACGAGGGCTTCAAGAGTTCACGATCGAGAGTGGAAAGAATGCGAACAACATAGTTTGAGCCGGTGGTCGATCCGACGATACCAGTATGCTGATCGATGGGTTCAAGGAATTGGCCGATGACCAAGGGGACAGACTGAATCCGCTTGACCTCTTCCTGAGCGCGGATGAGCTCGCGCTTCAGGTTAGCTTGTTCATCTTTGATGTAGCCTTCCTGAATCTCGAGCATCTCAAGGTGGCGGGTAAGTTTTTTGTACTTGATGTACAAGTCCTCCTCCTGCAGCTCTTGCATGAGCTGGGACTTCTCGGACACGACAGACTCGAAAGTCGGTTCCTTTAGATGCCTTCTAGTCAGATTGCAGCGTATAAAATGAGAATATGAAGCTTTACCTCTTTCTGGATTTCGATTCCTATTTCATCCATGGCTGAGTTAGGTGCAGAAGGAATGTAAGGCCAAGAGAAGTGGTAGATGGTCGAATGAGCGCAAAGGGTGACGCGGCTCATGAATTAGACGCGTCTGTGTTTGGCTTTTGTTTGCCCGTGTGAAGCAATGATCGACGCGCATTGTCCTGCTTCAAGTTCTGGATTCCGCGGCTATCTTTGGACCTCTCTTTCCTCCCCGAAGCTCCTGCCACTTCGTGAGACGAGAGCCATAGACATGGTCGCCCAAGAGATTCCCACATCAGGTTCCCCGGAGACACTGCAAGATCTAATCACACTGCTTCAATCAGACACGAAAGTTAAAGTCGCTGGTTCGTCCCACCTCTACGAAGTATAACAAGGTATTAAACCCCGTATGTACTTGCACAGGTATAGATGGTCAGTGTTGAGACTATAAGCTTTGTTTCATACCTGACGCAGAGTGTAGTCGATGGCGTCCTGCGCGGCAAGTTTATGGTGCATAACGGAGCTTATTATAGGACGTCTTGTGATCTAATCTGTTTGTAGTCAAAGGACAAGTTCCTGAGCGCAGCGTCTTCGGATGGCTTCGGATTCTGTTCCGTAATATTGTGAGTCGACGGTATAAAAGTGCTCGTGTCACGGCTAACCCGCTATAGTGGCTGGGATATTCATGACGCCGTTTACTCTCGAGAACTACTAATATCAAATAAAGATAATGGATACCGGGACGTCATCGCCCAAATAGACTTGTCAACATACCGCAGGATTCCTTGGGAAGGGAATGTCCCTTTCTTCCTTGTATCATTTCTTGACCCAGAAACCAAGGAGCCGCTATGCGTTTGTCCTCGAAATACACTACGAAGAACTATCAGCAGAGCCAAAGATAAAGGATGGAATTGCTTCGCAGGCGTTGAGTACGAGGTAAGAACTCCTCCTCTTTGCATCCTTCCTTTATTTATCGATAGAAATAGTACTTCCAATTTAATGGTCCGCTATTTCAAAGTTTGGGCATCGAATACACTCTAATCTTGTGTTACAGAGACACCCGACAGCCTTGCCGAGAAGAAATTCACTGACCTTAGACCATTGACCTCCGGGAGTTAGTCATCCTCAGATGATGAGGGAATTAACTACTTACTAGCCCTCTTCAGTGCACGGGTATTCACTTCTACGTACCCAGTTGAACAATGACTATTTCCACGACCTCTTCGATGAGAGCCTTCGATTTGGTATCCCGATCGAAGGGCACCGTGCGTGCATTTCTGCTACAATTGCCATGATTGATTCTAACAAACGAACGCATATAGATACTGAGACTGGCCCGGGAGTTTATGAAACAGCTCTCGCATACACCCACGCTCTGAGAATGGCAGATAATGCAAATCTTTTCAAATACGTTGCGAAAAGTACAGGCATGAAGCATGGCATATTACCAAGCTTCATGGCGAAACCTTGGGCAAATGTGGGTGCTCTTAAAAGATTCGCCTTTCAGCCAGAGGCTGACACCAGTTTACCATCCAGCTACCTGGGTGCAGCGGGTATGGCCTTTTAGGTACAATTCTGCGAAGAAACTAAAGGGTTATTAGGCATATTCATGTATCTCTACGAGATCATGCCGGAAGAAATGTCTTCGGAATCTCTGACGAGGAATTGAAGAATGGTGGACGTAAGAACGCAAAATATTCCGATCTAAAATACGTGAGCCAAGAATGCGAGTGGTTCCTGGGCGGTGTTCTGGACGGAATCACCGACGGTAAGCCTATATTGCTACTTTCAATATATTAATTCCTAATTACATGTAACAGTAATGCCTGCGGTACGTGTATTAGATATTGATGCTGCTACTCCTTACAGAACGTGTGTACTAGCTGGTACCAACGGTCAACGGCTATAAGCGCCTCGTGGGTGGTGAGGCATTCTGGGCTCCCAATGCTGTTACATATGGCTATGACTCTCGTGTCGCGTCCATTCGTATCATCTCGCCTCCTTCAGCCCCTCCTTCCGCAACGCGTCTAGAGATCCGTATCACTGGTGCAGACACAAACGCATATTTCGCACTATCTGCTATCTTCTCACTTGGTCTTCGCGGAATCGATAAGCGCATCGAGCCAGGCCCACCTGTGTCGCACTTTAAACCGGAAGATCGACAGGCAGGAAAGGTGAAGATGCTTAGTACGTCACTTGAAAGTGCGACGAAGGAGATGATGAAACCGGACAGTATTGCTCGTGAGGAAGCGGTGTTCGGGAATGATTTTGTCGAGCATTTCGGTGGGACTCGTCAACATGAAGTCAAGTTGTGGAATGAGGCTGTGACAAACTGGGAAGGTGAGGGTTACTTTTATTGCTTATATATCTCTTGTCTAACTTGGCTTATCTTTTACAGTTGAGCGGTACTTAGAGCTTGCTTGAACCACTGTCATTCCGCGAAACTATCAGATTTATACACGTCCTGTCCGCTATTTGTACAATCCCCGTATCCAAGCGATCCTGTAGCAAATGTTACATCGTACTCCGTCTAAATTCTCCAGTTTTTGTTGTATGCGGAACAACATTTTAGAAGACATTCATGTGTTATGAATTCACTTTTTTGCAGGCTGTCCAAGCTCTGATGCTCGTTCAGTAGCCACTTGAATGGCGCGCGCAATCGTTGAACGAACTTTTCCGTCTTCAAGAGCTAAAATGCCAGCGATAGTACATCCTCCAGGAGCTGGACACAAAGGTAAAAAAATGCACCGGTATTGTATGCCTCAAATGGCTTACTGGTAACCGCATCTTTTATTTGCGCTGGATGTGACCCGGATTGCAGCGACATCCGAGCTGCGCCTTGTAAAGCTGTCACCAAAACGAAGTAAATGAGACCAAATAAGACTGGATGCGAAGAAATCCATACTTTGTGCCGCGAGCTCAAGAGCCTCAGCTCGCGGAAGACCCATCATCACACCTCCATCCGCCATCGCTTCTAAGAAGACACATGCAAACGCAGGTCCACTGGCGCTCACTGCTGTACAAGCATCGAAGTTCTTCTCTGGTAGGAAGCGACATCGTCCGATTGAAGAGAATATGCGTAGGATTATTTGGCGGTTGAGTTCGGTTTCTGGAGCTGAGGGGAGGGTAGAGACTACTGTCATGCCTTCGCGAATCTAGGGACAGTATAAAAACTTCCCCTAAGCTTGACGTATTGAAGAGGAAATAAGAATAGGCATATGTATACCTTGCACGGAGTATTCGGCATAGCTCTGACCACTCGTGTCGAGGGACGGACCATAGCTTCCAGTTGTGAAATCGTAACACCAGCAAGAATGCTAATGAGTAATTTGCCCTCGAGGGCCTCCGTCATGCCGGGTTGCGAAAGTACAGTGTGTGCTAGTTGAGGCTTGACGCTGCACAAAAACAAGTATGTCATTTGGTATACTTGAACAAATGAAAGCAAAGAACATACCACAGAAGGACCACATCTGACTCCTTTACGCTTTCTACATTCTCTCCAGCGACAACCTCCACGGCTTCGCCCAAACCGCCTTTGCCGTGGAAAATCCTGACGAGCTGGTGAACTGTGTCCTCCCTACTTACACACGCGATGAAGCGGGAGGGGAGGGAAGCGTTAGGAGCGCCAACTGGCGTAGACGTCCCAGAAGTGTGGTGCTCCCATTTTGGCACTCCATACGAGGAGGAGGAGGAGGAGGAGGGTGGTGTAAAGATACCGTTTGGATGCATGTAGTTTGGCAGCTGTTCAAGACTGGCGATGACACCGGAAAGAACAGCGACTCCCATCGTTCCGCATCCTGAAGAAATGTGTCAGTTGGTTTCAACAGGTGATTAACTGCAACATACCTAACACGCAGAGAGTGTAGCCCATGTCTGTTATGCGTTCTGTGCAAGCGCAGCATATAACCTTGGTCGCGTTGACCTGGCAGAAATTTATAGCACCGTGTCGATCGGCCCGAAAGTCCCACGACTGACTGCTTTATTACTTAATTTACTATCACAGCTTTTACGATTCGCTGACTGAATGCGACTATCGTGAATGCGTGCATTCCTAACTGTCGGCTCTACGTTCTTCAATGAGCTCGTAGACGCAGTGCTCTCTCCGTCAGTCTTGCAGGCACTGTCCAATAAGGGCTTCGAAAAGCTTGTCATTCAGTGCGGTACATATCAATTCAAGTCGAAGTCGAACAGCGGCAACAGTACTCAAGAACTCTGGAGTTGGTCTGAACACGGTGTCGAAATCGAAGCATGGCGATATAAACCAACTTTGAAAGAGGAGTATGAAGTTGCGAATCTAGTTATAAGCCATGCAGGTAGAGTTCGAACCAATTCATTGAAATACATATTCCACTTAAATATGCGATGTAGGCTCTGGAACTATTCTCGACGTCCTGAGATTGGGAAAACCCATGATTGTTGTACCCAACCCCTCTTTACTGGATAATCACCAAAGTGACCTTGCTTCTGAACTTGACAAGCTCGGACATTTGAAAGCGAGTACTACTCAGTAAGTTCTGATTCTTTCAGAGGTATTTCACTAAGGACCACTTTGACTGGGGCACTTATAGGACATTAGCACAAGATATCGAGACCTTTGCGATGAATAGTTTAGTTCCGTTCCCACCCATGGACCAGTCCAAGTTCCGTGATATTCTGGATGAAGAGATGGGCTTCCTATGAACAACTTATATTTTAAAGTTATTGTAACAAGATGCAATGGGACCATACCCTTTGATGTGATAATTGTAGTGTGTTCCTAAATTGAGAAATTCCTGTTTTTGATCAAAACCAGGACATGAAAATTATATACTGGTCTTATCCCTGAACCACCATGACCAACAAAGCAGTGATAGCCACCACCGCTTCAGAAGAATCGCCAGATGTTTACGAAGATAATCATGTTCATTCCGTTTACGATACTATTGCACATCACTTCTCTTCTACGCGATATAAACCCTGGCCAGTCGTAGCAGGATTTCTTGCAAGCATTCCTCCAGGATGGATTGGCCTTGATGCGGGATGTGGTAACGGAAAATATTTAATTTCGCCAAATGATAGAGAAGGGATGTATTGGACTGTCGGGTTAGACAGAAGTGCTCCACTATTAGACTTTGCGAAGCATGCTGGTGGTCGAGAAAGAGAATGTGTTCTCGGTGATGTGTTGCATACGCCTTGGAGATCCGGAGTTTTCGTAAGAAGTTTGATTTCTTTTTAAGTCAATCCAGTCAATGACTGTCTATGATACTTCCAGGATTTTGGTATTTCAATCGCGACTATTCATCATCTTTCAACACCAGAACGACGGAAAAGATCAATTCAAGTAAATCACGAATACTCCATTTGACCGGAAGCCATATACTGAACACCGTTGGTTTATTAATTAGAGCCTATTGAAGTGCCTCTCACCAGCTCATGGCAGAGGGCTAATTTATGTCTGGGCTATTCAACAAGATGAACTGTCCAAGCGATCTATACCTGACGTCGCGGAAGACTCGAACACCCAGGACAAGGGACAAGATGTCTTTATTCCCTGGGTTCTATCACAGAATTCTGCATCTGGAAGGTCGGATAGGGCACGACCAGATCAAAGCCAGCATTCACGTCTTGACGACGCGGAACAGGGATCTGAACGAAGTGCTGCTGTCTTCAATCGCTATTATCATATGTTCGATAGAGGAGAGCTACGTGAGCTCGTATTGACAGCAGCAGGCGAAATGGGAATTCGTCTGGAGTCGCGTGGGACCGATTCACCCACATCGTCTTATATCAATGTTCCATCAAGGCAAAGCGTCATAGAAATTCTAAAAGATGATTGGGAGAGGTCGAATTATTATGTCGAGTTCCGGTTGTATCAAAGATAAAAATGGAGTCATTCAAATCACAGCGTTTGCATGATATGTTGCTCTTGATAATCTTCGAAGCACTCCGGTATTCAGTGAAAGACAACATCTCGACAATCGAGGCATTTTGGATCAACAAATGCGAAGAATACAAGACTAGAAACAACGACAGAGAACATATACAGGACCAAGTACAGATCACGTCGCAGCCATAACTATACAATAGCATTAAATCAATTCTTTCTAAACGGCACTGGAAACGGAAATACTGACTTGCATTGATGATGTCTCCTCCATTCTCCTTGAGAACCTTGACCGCTTTGGCACGCGAGCAGGAAACCTGGGCCATGACAAGCTCGATTTCTTTCGGGTCGAGACCAGTCTCGTCGACAGGTCCCTCCTCATCCACCGGCTCAAGTGCAGGTGCTTCCTCGTCATTATCAGCTGCAGCTGCTTTCTCGGCCGCCGGAATAGCACCGCCAAGTCCGCTTCCTGTCTGGGCGAGCTGCTGAGCAGCATTCAGCTGTGCTTGCTGGTTGACGTCCTCAATCTACACAAATGAAGCGACAGATTAGCAGAACTCCACTGTGGGATAGTAAGAAACGTACCTTCGCCTCACCGAAAACGACATAACAGTCGCTGTTAGGTGACTTGTACACGTCTGGAGACGCAATGACGAAGAGAATCTAAAATTGTATTTGACGATTAGGATCTGGCCAACTCTAAGAAAATCTAACAACCATAAACATACGTTTTTTGGCCTCCTGAGCGTGACTCGAGTGATACCCGCTACCTTCTTGAGACCAAGTCCGAGCAACGCCTTTCGCGCCTTACGTTCTGCGCGGGACTGGATCTTTTCGAGTGCAGCGTTCGAGGTTGGGTCTTCCTCATGGTTGTGATCGTGGTTATGCTCGTGGTCAGAATGGTCGGAGACTTCCTCGATTGTTGCCGACATGATTTTTATACCGAAGCCTTATTCGAGCTGAGGACGGCGAAGTGAGACTTCTTGTTGTGTCGATAGCGTCGCGTTCGCTGTAAGCGGCTGTATAGCGCATCGCAGAATTTTTGTGTTATGTAATCACTCCTTCCACTCACTCTCAAACCATTCGACTTGAGTCTATTCCTATCATTGTCATGTATGGATTCTCAAGCTGGACTCGCTTAGACTGATGGCCAGTCATCTAGAAGCCAGATTATAACATTAAGAATACTCAGCATACGACTAGTTCTACCCGTGCGAGGCTAATTCGTGTCACGTTGATCATTGGACGTCTTGCCAACGATTCCTGCAACACTGTGAAGACTAGCAACTACTTTCGCTCACTTTTGCGCGCATATACACTGTAATAAGGCGCAGACACTGCTCTTATCATCTTTGACCTTCCGAGTTCGCAATGGAGGATGAGGCAGCAGAGATCGAATTGGTGAGAGCTTATCTGGTTTTGCGTTTGCAGCGTCTTAGGTGAATTGTTAAGAGCTAGAGCAAAATCTTAACAAGACTCGGCAAATCTCTCAGCGGATGATCTCTATCCTTACAAACTTTGACACCCGCCTCGTGAAGTTAGAGAAGTCAATACTTCCTCTTCACAACTCCACTCAGCTCTTAAACAGGAGATCTGCAAGTAAGTAATGGCCCAAGTTTATCCGAATATCGTGTGGTCTGACACCTGAGTAGATATTGAAAGCACTCTCCAACTCATTGATGAGGTCGCATCTAGTCAACAAGGCCTTGCGAATGAAGAAGGCTTGATTCTTCGAGGGTAACTTCAATTCGCGTCTCTGAATGAGTATAATGAGTGTTGACTCCATGTTCATAACTAGTCCTCAAGCTACACAGCTGGACGTTTATATAGATGCTCTTGAACGAATGAACGCTAGTATTGCGTTTAAAGGTGCTTCATCCGAGGAGGCTCGAGAGACGGTAAGCAGATATCAGGAGGCAGGTTCATCATCTGTTGACCTTACAATTATCATTATTGCAGGCACGTCTGGTTGAAGCTGGGGCGAAGAAGCTTGCGCAGCTCTACACTAAGTACGTTGCTGAGGCATCGTCTGGCGTGGCTCCGGTGCGGTCCTCTATCTATAACGATCCGAACGCCATTCTTGTCCCATTTCCTGAAGACATTGTCCGATCGTTGCAACCAATCGTCACGTTCCTTCGCACCCTGCCTGTCCCCGCTACTCATCCTTCTCATCCTGCTGCAGCTGCCATTCAGTCAGCATTGTCCGATGCACAAAGAGGTTACGCAGATATGCGAGGTGCTTGGATACGTAAATGTCTCGAGACTGATGCAAAGCGAGTTGTAGAAGGTCGAGGAGAAGGCTATGGCAGCGGTAGAGATACGAATGCAGCAGAGGCTGGCATTAAAGAAGGCCGAGAATTTGGTGCCTGGGTCGAAGGCGTCATAGGTGTTGCGGAGGTAAGATTCCATTGTGCTATAGTAGGGATATACCATCTTCTGACAGATGCATAGAACGAATATGCCATTCTGGCGGAGCTTGCTCTTCTCTCTGCGCCAAGCCAACTTTCAGGCACGTATGCCTCATTGCTCACCCCTTTGCTCACTCTCCTTTCGACTTCTCTCACTCAAGTCACGAACCGCGTCAAACGTGCTTTGCAAGCGAATGCTTTTCTCGCGCTCTCCACCTATGGGTATTTGGCGAGCCCAGAGATAACTCAACGCTGGGAGGAAGGTGTCAAGAGGCGTGCTAGTGGGTCTACGGCAAACGTGAATGTCTTGAAGGAGGGCTTGCACAGTCTACGTGCTGTATGCCTTCGGAGTTTCCCTGAGTTTCTTGCAGACATCAAGCTCGCAGCTGTGCCGAGGACAGAGATTGGAACGGACGTCGCCGAGATCACCGAGACAGTGAGTTTGTTTCTAGTCTCTTACAAGATATTTCATACTCACCACATGATAGGTCGTCAAATACATGTCTGCTATACCTGCAGTGCAGGATGCAGTTGGTGCCTCACTCCTTACACTAGGGGACGGAAACTGGAAAATGGGGGAAGGAGTCCAGGTTTCAAAGGGACCAAAGCTTGGAGATGGGGATGAAAGTATCATCATCGAGCATTATATATGTGAGTTTTAGTTGTTGACGTTTCCCAATAAAATAACATTTGTTGCAGACGATATTATTATGACAACCTTGTCAACATTGACGGCTCTCTCGCGCACCTCGCGTCGACCAGCCTTCGGAGCTATTTTCCTCCTTAACAACGTATCGTACCTCCAAAACGCCCTGCTATTTTCATCCACAGGAACTGCGCCAATAGAAGGACTAATTGCTCCTCCAGCTCGAAATGCATTGCAATCAGGATTTCGCACAGCGAAGGCAGGCTATTTCGATGCCAACTATTCTCCATTGCTGCAGGCATTGGGAGACGGGCCGGGATCAGGAGGAAGTGGGAAAACCTCTGTGAAGGAGAAATTCACGAGGTTCTATGACCTTTTCGAAGAGATCGTGGAACGTCATCGTGCCGTGCGTATTTTACCGGATGACGACAACGGCAGAGATGCACTAGCCGAGGAAGCCGCAAGGCTAGTGGTACCAAGTCTGCAGCGGTTTATACAGAAGAATAAAGACTTCAGTAAAAGTCAGTACAAAACTCCCTATATGTCTACCGTAATCTAACAGTAAGATTTCCTCCCTTAAAATATAGACCCTCAGAAATGTGAGTAATGCTGTACTTCTGGACGTCGTAGAGTTCGTTGACTGGTACCTACAGACATCAAAACATCACCGGAGGATATTGAGAAACAAATCAAGAAACTGTACTAGCTGATGATATCACGTACCTACAGACATCAAAACATCACCGGAGGATATTGAGAAACAAATCAAGAAACTGTACTAGCTGATGATATCACGATAGCCTGCTTTCTAGTCTGGCCAGGACGCCTGTCTTTTTGTTTAATTCATGAGACGCACTGTATAATAATAATAATTTATGTATTCGCCATACGTGCTTACACTCCTTCAGTACTGTCTCTCCTAACTGATGACTGTCAGAACCATGCGAGATACTTTAAAAGTACGCTTTGTGAAATGATGAATCAATTTCAAATTGAAATGAGTTTATTGTAATGGAACGGTGTCAGGATATCACGTGGTACCCAGATTCGGAACAGGCACAGCTCTGAGCTTGCATATTGACTCGCCGCCACTGCTTTACTCACTCCTAATCCTATTTGTGAACCTCAACGTTAAACATATCCATCATGCCGTTGACAGAGCTAGCGAAGCAATTGCGCACATTACTGTCCAGGGAGACCGCGGACGAAGCCGAAATAGGGGAATTTCTTACACTCTTGGACGAGGAGATCCTCCAAATATCCGCCTCCGACGGTGAAAGCAGCCAGCGACGCGATTTCGAAGAGGAGCTACAGTCCATCTATGATGAACATGTCGATTTCTATCGGTTTCAACCTGTGGAAATTTTTCTAGATGTCCTTGCTCATGCTCGTCCAATCCTACCTGTCACGACGTTCATAGCTACTTGGTTTGATCTTCTACTCCGTCCCGCACTGCGTGAACCGCGTTTGACATCACCCGCAGTCGAGCGTGCCAAACAACTCGTCATCGAAGCTCTAGAAAATGACGGAGAGGATCCAGAAATGGTCACGAACTTCCGCAAACGTCTGGTCGATTTATACCTGTTGGATGCCCTGAATGAAAGTTCGGGTAAGGACATCCTGGAATGGGCACAACTAGACGAGCATCAAAGGAACATGAATATCTGGTGGAAGAATAACTTGGAAGACATCCTTGTGACATATGGCCTAGCTCAGCCGGAGGTGCGTCGGCAATGGTTGGCGAACTAATTGGAGACGTAACTAATGTAAAAGTATGCAGGAGCTCATGGACGTCATGCAGGATTGTTTCAAGACATCAAGCTCACGCTTGCAGTTAATATCCTTGTTGGATTCACTGGTTTCACAGCCTTCGTTCCTTGATATCTCGTCCGCGGTATTTACACACCCTTTAATGGGGAGTATATTCCGGTCCCTTGAGGTTGACAATTCCTCTACTGTCTGTGCAGTAGAACTGGCCCTTCTTGTCAAGATCCTCCCGTGTGCCGCCATCAAGGCATATGGGCCGCTCAAGGATATCCTTCCTCGCCTACTTGGAATTCTTGGCCGGGTGTTGTGTTGGAAAGCACGAGGTGGACAGGTTAAGCAGGGAGGATGTGTTACTTATTCGGATCTGCTAGACTACGATGACCCAGCACTCATCGCAGAAATGGAAAAGAAAGAATTGGACGACGAAATCGAAGACCTTAAAGAAACTTGGCAATCTAAACTGGAAATACGAGAAGAATTGGAGTGGGATCGCTTGGAACGGACATTCGATATGTCTACAACGTCGCTCCCTGTTCCGAAGCAGTTCTTCTCACTCCTATATTTCTTATTTCCGTGCAACACTATACACTTCCTCCGTCGGCCCATTGCTTACCTTGAGGAAAGGGATGCCGATTCTCCATGGACTGTTGGATGGAAGGATGCTCTAGATGAATTACAGATTCGCACAGCTGGCAGTGTCCGTACTTGCGTTGACATTTTTGTTAGAACTGACTTTGACTGATTGATATTATCCTTAGTCTTTGATGAGAACGCACATAATGCATCCAAGCGTCTTATTGCATGACCTGGACAGCGAGCTTTCGGATGGCGATCGTTGGAATACGTATGATGTGTCACGAGTAGTGGGAGAGTGTATGATGCTCGATGCTCAAACAGTTGGCTCTGCAGGTCATGGAGACCATGCGCTACATTATCTGGGCCCCAGTGATAAACGCAGCCACGGGTTGGGCCGTAGTGGTGATGTAACCACGACTCAAACGCCGACCGTTAGGAATGCGCAGCTCGATGAGCCACCCCCACGCCTGCGCAAGATATCATTGCATGACCTCATTGCGACTTCTGCGGCACTCAAGTCCGGCGCGGATATAAATGTATCTGAGAAAGCTCCGGTGTGGCCGTCTATCCTTTTCACTCCACCACCAAGCACCGCACCAAGCCGATCAAGTTCTGTTGACCCCACGATGATTTCTGAAGCGACCTCACCCACCGACGAGCTGAAGATACCAACCCAGATTAGCGAGACGATAGCGGGATTGCAGAGGGAGGTTCTTCTTTTACGAACTGAGCTCAACTTTGAGCTTTGGTTGAAGAGGGAGAACGTGAAACATATCACTCGTCTACATCAGGATGGAGTTTTGACGAAGAGCGCGGAGCTTGAGCAGCAGCGATTGGTGAGTTCTGGTCATTCTAGTTTAGGAATACAAATCACAAGTTGACACTTGCCACAGCAAAACAGGCTGCGCGAGTACAGGGGCCAATTGATCGAGCTGCAGAAGGAGTCGAAGAAGCAACAAGAGCAGGCCCAGTCAATGAAGAAGAATGATATCGAGTGGAAAGAGAATTTATCAGCCAAGCTCAATGACCTTCGTCAACAGAAGAAATCTTGGATGGAGGAAGCGAATGCTCTTCGCACCAGGAACACTGACTTGGAGGTGCGACGGGGAGAGTTATTTCATTTTGACATATATTGATTTTGCTGCTTCGTAGACGCATCTCGAAGCACAGGGTAAACGCCTCGATGAAGCGCAGAAGAAGGTCTTTGAACTCGAAACGGAGATTAAAGCAGATGCGCTTAAGGTCAAACGATTAAGAGATTATGAGAAGAGGATCGAACAACTTACCGCGATGTTGCGCATGTGGTACGTTGACGTTGCAAATAGGAGATATTGCGGCTCGAAACACTTATTCTTTGACTCTAGGAACAACGATATTGTCCAGTACAACGAGCAAGCGAAGCAGATGACGGAGTTGGTCAGCGAGCACCAGAAGATGAAGATGCGTGCTGAGGAATACGAGAAGGCCCTAGCAGATGCGGAAGCATCCGCACAGTGCGTTCATCGTTAACTCACATTTTGTGTTTCCCTGACTCATTTCAACCTTAGATCGAGTCGACGTCGCATTCAGATACTTGAAGCAAGCCTTCGTAGTGCGGAGCTACGTGCTGCTCCGCAACGGCAGAATGTAGAGCACATGTTGGCCGAACAGGCCAAGGAACGTGACGCGTTGGCGATGAACAATAAAGCTTTGCGAGAAGAGAACGAAGGATTGCGGGATGATATAGATGAGCTGCGGGCGATGGTGGAGGTATTAAAGGAGAAAGTCTCGGGTTCGACTGGTCTGATTTCACCAACTTCACCTGTCTTCTCTTCTGTTTGATATTCGACATGCCTCCAGCTTCAACTGACGCACTGTACTTATCTCATCACTGTAGCGATAGCCATGACTTGTGTAAAGTTACTTACATGTTCTAAATTTTCACTGTACTTCACGATTAATCACGATATTTCTCACTTATTCACTTGACTCATTCCAGTTTAACACACGCAGTCACGAGAGTATAAGAGACGGAATGAAATTTTATTCGTGCAGAAATATAATGAAACAAATGCGTAGAAGTTATTGCATGACAACAAATGCCCGAGTCGTAAAGGTACAAAGAAAAAGCAGACTAACAAAGATAGCTAGCTGTAAGATAACTCTCTAGTCAATCTCTTCCATTGCGGATGCAGCAGCAGGTTCCGCAGCGGGTGCAGCGGTCTCCTCAACAGCAGGTGCAGCAGGTGCCTCTTCTTCCTCAACGTCTAAGCCGAGAGCGATCATACGGTGGATACGCTTGGCGAACGAAGTTGGCTCGTCAAGCACGAAGCCAGAGGTGAGGAGTGCAGTCTCGAAGAGCAGGTATGTAAGGTCTCGGACAGACTTGTCAGCCTTGTCTTCGGCGACCTTGCTCTTGAGGACCTTGACGATCGGGTTGTGGGGGTTGAGCTCGAGAGTCTTCTTCGATGCCATGTATGATGACATCGAGGAGTCACGGAGTGCTTGTGCCTTCATAATTCGTTCCATGTTGGCTGACCAACCGAACTGGCCGGTGACGAGCACACATGGTGAGTCGGTGACACGGTTGGAGATGACGACCTTCTCGACCTTGTCGCCGAGTGCGTCTTTTACGACCTTGCAAAGATCCTCGAACTGAGCTGCTTCGCCCTCGCGCTCTTTCTTCTCTTCTTCAGTCTCCTCAAGTTCAAGACCCTCCTTCGATACGCAGACGAGCTTGTGGCCCTCGAACTCTTTGAGCTGGGTGATAGCGTACTCGTCAATGGGGTCAACGAGCAGCAGAACCTCGAAGTTCTTCTTCTTGAGGGCCTCAAGGAACGGTGAGTCTTTGACGGCGTTGAGGGACTCGCCGGTCAAGTAGTAGATGGACTTCTGAATCTCAGGCATACGAGTTATGTAGTCTAACAATAGATTATCAATAAACAAAATATCAGACGTGATTAATCAGTAGATTACTTACCCTTAAGAGAGATCTGCTCCTCGGTTGACTTCGTCGAGTAGAAGCGCAAGAACTCAGCAAGCTTGCTGCGGTTCTGCGCGTCCTCGTGGATACCGAGTTTCATGTTCTTGCCGAATGCCTCGTAGAACTTCTTGAAGTTCTCCTTGTCCTCAGAGATTTCCTGGATGAGGTCAAGGCACTTCTTGACGATGTTCTTACGGATGACCTTGAGAATCTTGTTCTGCTGGAGCGTCTCACGCGAAATGTTGAGAGGTAGATCTTCGGAGTCGACGATACCCTTGACGAAGTTGAGGTACTCAGGTATGAGGTCCTCACAGTCGTCCATGATGAAGACACGGCGGACATAGAGCTTGATGTTGTTGCGCTTCTTCTTTGACTCGAAGAGATCGAAAGGCGCGCTAGAGATGTATATGAGAAAAATGTTCCAAGTCAGAACCAGATGTTGCTGTCTACTTACCGTCTTGGAATGAAGAGAATAGCCTTAAACTCGAGCTGACCCTCAACGGAGAAGTGCTTCACAGCGAGATGGTCTTCCCAGTCGTTTGACAAGCTCTTGTAGAAGGATGCGTACTCCTCTTGAGTGATCTCAGAGGGGTTGCGAGTCCATAATGGCTTCGTCTTGTTGAGTTCTTGGTTCTCAACGGTCTTCTCCTTAACGGTCTTCTTTTTCTTGCCCTTGTCCTTCTCCTCATCTTCGTCGACCTCCTCGACTTTAGGCTTCTCCTTGTCTTCGTCCTCTTTCTCTTCTTTCTCTTCCTCTTCGTCCTCGACTTCCTAGACATGAGAGTAAGCAAATATATTATACTACCAGAAGGTAGAGCGTCTTACCTTCTCGACCTCCTTCGTCACTGCAAGCTGAATGGGGTACGAGATGAACTCAGAGTGCTTCTTGACGATGTCCTTGATCTTCTTTTCCTCGAGGTATTCCAATTGGTCTTCCTTGAGGAAGAGACGGAGCTCGGTACCACGCCCAAGAGGTGGGTTCACGGTGTCCGGAGTGATGGTGAAGGTGCCACCAGCGGCAGACTCCCAGATGTACTGGTCGTCATCATTGTGTTTCGAGATGACTTGTACGCGCTCGGCGACGAGGTATGCTGAGTAGAAACCGACACCAAACTGACCAATCATCGAAATGTCAGCTCCAGAGCTAAGTGCCTCCATGAAGCCCTGTAAAATTAGAAGTAAGTTATGACCATGAAATTAGACGCATATAGTCAGTGAAAGCATACCTTAGTACCAGACTTGGCGATTGTACCCAAGTTGTTGACGAGGTCGGACTTGGTCATACCGATACCGGTATCGCGGATGGAAAGGACCTTGTTCTCCTTGTCAGGGATGATCCGGATATAGAGGTCCTTTTCGGAGTCGAGGACGGAGGGATCGGTCAGGGAAGCATAGCGGATTTTGTCGAGAGCATCTGAGGAATTGGAGATAATTTCACGAAGGAAGATCTCCTTGTTGCTGTAGAAGGTATCTAGACAGTGACGCCCCGAGTCAGTCAACATGCAGGCGAAAAATTGCTACAGAAGACCTACTAATGATGAGGTCAAGCAGCTGGCTAATCTCAGCTTGGAATCCAAAGCTTTCTGTGGCCATGGCTGAATTTTTTTAGAGAGATGATAGAGGCTAATTTCTAGGTGAGAGGATAACTAGGCGGGCAATGCAAGACGAGCAGACAGAAGACAAGCAGGTGAAGAGTAGGAGAGTGGGCGTTGTCGGTTTATATCCAAAAGTGCAAATTCATTCCAGAACCTTCCACGCGCGTCCCCTTCAGTCTTCATCCTTTTCATGGTTCTTTCGCACGCCCAATTGGGCCATATTCTAGCACCTTCTGGCACATTCCTCCAGCTGTTTCTTGTCTTTAAGGCAAGTGCTTGTACTCGTGTGCCTTATCTGTTGCATAACATCTGGATTTCACATTAGTAAACAAGGTTACCTTTAGACTCAAGCTTAGAGGATGATCAGCTTGTCTACATACAACATCGCGCTCAGGTGACTGGCGCAACGCGACCAAAATTGTCGCGTTTTCCTCGACGTCCTTTCTGCGCTATTACTTTCGCAACTTGCCCTGGATATTTCTCGATCTTTTCGTCCTTACGTCACTCATAAGAAACTAGGAAAGGGCCATGGTCTTCTGCTCGCTTTTCCGCTGCTATGCATCAAGGTCTCTCCTGTCCTGTGCATGTATTATTGCATATCTGTATGCAGAAGCTTCCAGGCAATTGCAAGGACCGGGAAGCTGCATGCCTAGGAATTTCTCGAGACTTACATGTATTACGGCGCACACCTTGAACCAAATGAAACGAGATTTATCTGTTTTCAAGCTGCGCACATTACCTCCCAACTTTGTTTGTCAGATAGCTGCAATCACCTTTGTTCCTTGAACTCCTCCAATCGCATTCACGGCATATCTCCACAGAAATGGTTGTGTCATATTGACATATTATAATACGTTGGCTAACCGACGTAGAAATGGAACCAGACGTATTAGTGCCCTGCTCATGAAGAAATATTAATATAGCAGGGGCTTCTAAGGCGCGTGGCCACAGCGTGTTTATCAAGAATAGGCTCTTACTGTTGCTCCGTTGCCCTTAGATTGATATGGTCGGTCACCGAGCGCCCAATATCACATACACGTGCAGCCTGCAAGGCCAATCTATCCACGGACTTTGTCGAAGGTTGCGAGGCGCGCATCTAGTATGCTATGCACCTTGGAAATGAGCGTGTCTTTATGCTTTCGTGTGAAAATACCCAATGTCCGCGGGCGAGTCTGCCAAAGTTTGGATGTTGAGCGCCTCAAGAATATCAGTGACCACACCCTTTCCACGTTTCACGTTGCCCAGCCGCAGTTCATCATGATTGAGAAGCATGTTGTGCAGGGCTTCTGAAAGCGTGGAACGACGCTGCGGGACCAACGAGCTCCCGAGCACAGTCATCCGAAATGGCTTGCTCTGGTCGGGTGCCCTTATCAAAGTGACGCGCTAGTTCGGGTGTGTTCTCTCCAGAGTGCGGGCGCACGTGTGGCGATGTTCGGTATCTGAGTGGTATGTATTGCAGCTTCCACTCCTTTCCACCCAGACAAGGTATTTATTCTGTGTTCTCCACTTATGTCACCGAATATGTCCATTATTACCCTTTTCATTCCGAGAGTGATTGGTGTCAAGGGCAACTTACTTGCGAAGGGATCTCAGCTTCCATGGCGAACCGGAACAGCCTCTAATTGCCAACTGGTGAGAGTCCGCATATCGATGTAGCTTCTGACGCATTGTATTATTGATGTTCACTCACTGAGATTCGAAGAGCACCGTCGTCTAAAGATGTAAAAGGTCCATCACATCGAGGTAACAGATCGACAGAGGTCTATCGTTTGATATTGATACATTCTGTTGTTCAATAGTGCGATTCGAACATCATTCGGATAAATGTCAGAACGTTTACAACACATGGTACGGATGAATCATTTGTATCATCCGACGATCCCCACCGGCTATGCAAGAGTTGCAGAAATACCACGTCTCTTAGACTACAGCCGTCTGTTCAAATCGATCAGACAGGCTTAATCACAAATATTATGATATGTGATTCGCTACGACGGGTGACTCACCCTTCTCAATAATCACAACTAAATCCGGAGAACAATGGCTCCTCTAGGCCGCTAGCGGACGTTTCACGTTTTGCGTTCCGGTCGCTCATGACTCGACCGTTACCGGTGATCTATGTCTCTCACAATACGGTGGCAGCTGAGTTGATGCTGCACGCGTATGCCTCGAGTGAAGTGGTGGTCGTTCACAGAGGTCAACTTAGATGACCCGTTAGCATTACAACTTGATGTCTACGTCAAATACAGGCAACACATCGCCTGTCACTACTATTTAACACATGTTGCTTGTTGTCCAGATCTCTAGGCGCCAATCCGAGGTTTGCGACGGAGATTGTTGAGCAGATGTCCATCCGATTATAGCGCTATGCCGGAAGAGGCGTACACCGGGACCCACAACGTCGAATGACGCTGACGGCGACCTGCTTAACCGGGCCCAGAATCGTCGTTTGCGCAAGTTTAGCAGACTCTTCATACTCACACACACGGTCCTATTTGACATATCACATTGCCTCAATACTAGAGCGCCACACGCCACATACGCGTAAATACAGTCTGGTAACGAGTGTGCATTTGTGAGAGTCCCGGTGTCAGATTCGGACTGTAACTAGAAGGAGTGTACATCTGAGGCAATAGGGTCCATAATTATATGTTACGTATCAAGTGCGCTCAGAAAGAGGAATTGTCCGTCGGCGACGTTACACGTGGGGACAGACGTCCGCGCCACGGGCCGGGAGGCCTCTGGATTGGGCAAGTTTTGCGGCAGACAGCTTAAATGGATGCAAGGACGTCCCATTTTTCTATTGCCGCACTGAGATACGGAGGCATGCTTCAGAATACGTGTAATGAACGCGAGTTAAGTATGGATGAGGCGAGGAAATCTGGGGGACGAAACACGATGCGAAGCGAAGTGGCTCAGTTCGCCCGGAAAGGAAGTGAAAGGGCGCAAGCCGCGTGAAACGGCGATGACTGACTCTTGCTTGATGGACGGAATGCGAACTTGAGTGATTTGTGACAACGCGATGTGCTCGCATTAAGCGCGTTTTTATTGTGGTGCTTGTCTGCAGCTCCCGAAATATTCATGAAATGTGAATGTGGCTGTGAGCAATGGAGGTATGGAAACGTGCCAAATATGCTAGCGAAATATGAAGCACAAGCGGCGAATATTGAACGAAACGACGATGCAAAGGGACGGAAGGACGGAACCAAAGACAGGGTCCAAGCCTGATTCGGCCAGTCTTTTTATATGACTAAGCACAGCACGCGTCCTTTCTAGGACGTCTCGGGAGACACGCGCCTCTTAACCTCTCTTGACTCCGCCCATTGTCTTCCCTCCCTCTCGTCGATTCACCTTTCGGCGCCCATGCACTCCCTCTCAGGTTTCTTTTAGTCCGTCTCTTTCTCTCTCAATTTATAACTCGACTGCGCTGCCCTTCTCGGTCTCTTGTATCTTTACGCCCCAACGCTTCGTCGCCTGCGCCCCCAGCACACGTCTTATCGAGCACGCATCATGCACACCGCGCCTTCCCCCTTCTCAATACGCGCCCCGGCCCCTAAACGCGTCCGCCCTTCGCCAACGCGCTTGCCATTCGAAAGCAAGCCATCGGCTATCGCCCCTCCCGTGGTTGGCCTCGAGGGGGTGAGTACGCGCATTAGTCTGGCATCGCCCATGTATCTCACCACGCGATCTGGGTCACAGTCGATCTCTCGATGCTCAATATCTCGGGACGCGCCATCATGCTTGATGTCTCCATTTCGCGTTTCTGAACGCCGAATGAGGCCACCCTGCCCTGTAAATATCCTCCAATGTACCCGTCGACAACGCCTCTCATTAATGTGTCTTTGCAGAGTTCTCCCACTCCCCAGTGTACCAGCACCAGGAGACGGAGGAGTGCCTACGCTACGCGCTCGACTGGTCGTTCTCGACACTGCAGACTCGCAGACTGCAGTATTATTTGCAGCGGCCCTGCGACCTTTGACAGGATCCCGTGGATCTCCATGTTGCAGGCTGAACCAGAGGATGATCGCATTATCCCACTGAGTCTATCAGACCTCGCTACTCGATGTGAAGAAAAGAATGACTCTTTTGCGACTGGACCTGGTCCGATTCGCAGCCGCAAATCTTCTATGCGCTCAGCGCCTTTTCCTGCCGATCTTGCTCAACTCGCCACCCCGGAGCTCGTACCGTCCACTTCGTCTGACTCCCCTTTAACGGAGCTTCCCTTCTTGCATGATAGTCCACTTCCGACGGACGATGATGTGCTCAGAACGCCGCCCTTGCGTGCATCTGTGCTTCCCGTCGACGCCGGCTTCCACCGCTTGATGCCTCTCGCATTTGCAGACGTACACGCTGAGGAAACCCGGTGGCAGCGAGAGCCTGCATCCCCCTGAAGTGGGATGCCTCTCCTTTCACTCGCACCCCTTCTTTCAGCTGTACATATTGGATTCTTCTCGGCTCACCATCGATCTCACGACACTCAAGTTATTCTTTGCAAGAGCATTTGCTTAACGTATTCTCCAGCAACCCACCATTGGCATTTCCACCATTGCTCCCCTTTCATCAATTGCTGAAACGACGACTCACGCGCCTTATCTCAGACTTCATCTGGCGTCTTATTCTTTCTTCTTCGGACCGAAATCTGCGGACTCTATCCATTCGTGTACAACTCGTGCGATTTAAGTCTCATCTTTCGGGCTTTCTACCGAAAATGGCCCGCCTCGTGTTTACTTTGATTTACTTTCCATTGTCACGTCATTCCCTTTTGGAATCCAAGCGTTTTTCTTCCGTCAACGTCGTCGATTCCGACGTTACTTTATTTTTTACTCAGTGTTTTTTCCAGGCGAGCCTTCCAAATGTGCTAACACTCCTTGCTTTTTCATTTGTCCTGTAAACCCCTGCATCTATTCACCGGTTTTGTGTTGCTTCTCATTTGATTCCTTCGTGTCCTTTTCCACGACGATATCTCACTTTTACTGTGCGAATTCCAAAGATCTGTACCTGAATATCTCTCTATCTTTTCCCGCGATTAGTCTATTGCATTAGCACATAGTCTTCCTGTTGTAGTGCCTTGTTGCAAATCCCATTATCACCAATGAACCAAAGCACTGTGTTCGACCCGTTATCACTTAATATTATTGTTGAGATTTTAATTTGCTCTTACAAGATCGTCCCACAAATCAGCCCTGCGGGAAGCAGTGTACGGAACAAGGCGATATGTGAGGGACTGTTCCCGTGACTGTATCTCTGATTCTTTTCCTTGTCCAAGATGCGACTTCGAGCTATACGAGCCACCGTGTGATCTCGGCTATTGAAGTAAGATGACATTCTTCTGGATTTCCTGAAGCCGAGAGATGCGTTCGTATCAGACGCGGATTGAACACGTTGAGATGGCAGAACTTCGGCTTGAATCAATCCAGGACGCTCGGCGAGCGTTCTGGATCAGTGATCAGCAGGTGAACTCAATTGTCGTGGCGGACGGCTGTTCATCTCTCCCACCAGTGCCAGCGACGGTGGTGAATGTAGTAACGTAGTTGTGCTTCACCAATATGACACAGATCAGGCCGGAAACAGTTCGTGTGGTGGCCAAACTCTACATTATGGACGTTGACATGATCCACTGTAGATTTCATTGCAAAATTCAGCATTATAGTGAGGTGGCATTGATTGAGTATAGGGCTTTGTAAAACCACTGTGAGACGGCCTTTACGCAGGTTTTTAAAGCATGAGTATACAGCGTTCAAACCAGTACTAGCTCGGCGACCCTCGAGAACGACGAGTGTGAAGGTCTCGAAAAAATTTACACATCTCTATTACTTACGTCATAAACACGAGGTCTGTGCATACACACACCAAGGATCTTCGTTGACTCACTTACTCATCTTGCTACGATTGTACCAACCCCTTGCTACGGTTGCAGTTTCATCCTGCAGCAGAAAGGACAAATAAAGCAAAGCTCAGTAGTTTTAATTGACTATGGATCGCACGCAGGTCATCAACTTTGGAGCTGGACCTTCGGCTCTCCCTGATTCAGTGCTCCATGAGGCTACCGAAGGTCTCCTCAACTTTCAAGGAACTGGAATCGGCATAACGGAAATTTCTCATCGTTCAAAGGAGTTCGGCGCTGTTGTTACCCGCCTCGAGCAACTCATCCGTACACAACTTGATGTCCCTCCAACGCACCATATTTTGTTCATGCAAGGCGGCGGTACGCAGCAGTTTTCGAGCATAGTGCTCAATATGCTGGCCCGTCATAGGCTGCTACATCCGAACGTTTCAGACGAGGACCGTGTGATGGACTATGTTATAACAGGCTCTTGGAGCAAGAAAGCTGCAGATGAAGCACGTCGACTCGGTGGAGCACGCGTGAATATTGTCGTAGACGCGCGCGAGCATTCAGCAGACGGGACGAGCTTCACAGGTATTCCCCCACATGAAGCGTTCAAGTTTTCCGCAGACCCTGCGCTCATTTACTACTGCGAGAACGAGACTGTCAACGGCGTGCAGTTTGCAGAAGAGGACCGCACTCCAACTAGCTTTCCTTTCCATCTTCTTGCTCGTGATGTCCCCGGAGGAGGGGCAATACCACCACTCGTCGCGGATTATTCTTCCTCCTTTATGTCGCGTGCGATCCCTAGGCTAGCAGACCACGCTGTCATCTTTGCCGGCGCGCAGAAAAATATTGGTCCGTCTGGACTCACGATCCTCATTGTTCGCGAGGATTGTCTCGTCGATGTCGACGCGGCCGCAAAAATGGGTGCAGCGCCAGTGCCAATTATCCTTGCGTTCAAGACATATGCGGACTCTGGAAATATTTATAATACTCCTTCAACGTTCGCCATGTACGTTGCGATGCTCGTGCTGCAACGTATAGAGAGCCTTGGTGGTTTGAAGGCCGTCGAAGAGGCGAATAGACGAAAACAAGAAAAGGTCTATCGCATCCTCAAAGTAGCAGAAGAGAAAGACTTGTTGCGTCTCAACGTCAAGGAAGGTTCTCGAAGCTGGATGAACGTTGTCTTCAAAGGCAAGGATGCAGACCTTGAAAGCAGATTTTTGTCCATTGGAGAGTTGCAAGGCTTCAAGGCCATGAAGGGACATCGGTAAGTAACGTCTGAAAGGTTTACGAGAACAAGTATTGACTGGGTATGCCAATATAGCTCTGTAGGTGGTAAGTCCAATTAAACGACCATACACAGACTGCTTAATATTAATGTTTTCTGCACAGGGATGCGAGTTTCTCTTTACAATGCCATTACAGAAGAGCAAGTGGATAGACTAGTGGTGTTCATTCAAAAGTTCATAGCAGAAACGGCTGTAGAATAAAGGGGATTTTGAGAACAGACGCAACGTAAAAGCGAAACGAAACAAGTAATAGAAGTATAGTCAAAATCTTCATGTAATTTAGATATATAGCATTACTTGTCATGTAGTCTTACTGGGTCACTTTGCCGGAGTGGTTAACGGGATCGCCTGCTATTATGTAAGCTAGCGGTTGTGCTTTGCACGCGAGTGTTCGAATCGCTCAGGTGACGAAAATTTTTGGCAACTTCTTCTGTTCCACTTTAATGTTTCCTACATAGCCCAATCAACACATCAACGCAAGAGTATCTTTCTTCTTAAAAGGACAGGACTTTCATAGATTTCCTCCAAACTGTTTATCACATGGCAAAGAAGCCTGCATTGACTAAGGTGAAGCAGAAGGCGGCTGGCTCGGTACCAGCTGGGACGAAGATAAATGTTCAACAGCCGCCCCAATTTCCTTCTGTTTCGCCGAAAGAATCGCTGATAGTCGATGACTTCGTACCAGACAAGATACTACTCATCCAAGTGCAAACTATTCTTTGTCGTTTGCTATTTACAGAGAGACTAATTCTACTTGATTGATAACTTATTTAGGATGCATTTGACGAAAGCGAGTGCAAGCAATTCATAAAGTTCATGGAAGAACTGCCTCTGGAACTCACACCTGCTCCTAAGAAAGGAGAGGCTGTGCGAGTGAACTGTACGTCTGCAGCTTTAGCTTGTTTCAAGAGACGCTAATTTGTACGTTTGGTATTCAAGATCGCATAAATATTCAGTCGCCATCGTTCGCTGAAGCGCTTTTCAGTGTATTTTCTCCTCATCTCCCGAATTTCCCCTTGCCGGAATCAAGGATCCCACGGAAAGCAAATTCGAAACCAGATAGCTCTGCTATTGCAGCTCGACCAGCACATTCATTCAACTCCAATATACGTATGTACAAGTACACAGAAGGACAGCACTTTGGATCCCATTATGACGATTCGGTTACTGATCCCGTAACTGGTACACATTCGGAGTGGACGCTCCTAATTTATCTCAGTGGGAAAGAGGATGGGGTCGTTGGTGGCGAAGTGAGTACTTACGATGTTTTATTCAGTTACGAGTGTAGTTCATGTGCTTGGTACCCATAGACTATTTTCTATCCTGGCGAGGGCAAGAAGAAAGACAAGGAACTTCCTATCGTACCAGAGTTACGGCGCGGTATGGCTCTTCTTCATCGGTAAGAGTATCCTTTCCTTCAGTAGAAAACGTCAGTTTGGTCGTATTAACTTCCTGGGTCAGCCACGGCTACGAATGTTTTCGGCACGAAGGCGCCCTAGTTCAGAAGGGCGTGAAGTATGTCTTGCGTTCAGATGTGATGTTCTCAGATCAGTAATTTAGGAGGCACCTTGAAACTAGAGTATCGAGCATACGGAATTCAAACAAAAACTTGTAGTGCATAGTATGACCGCATGAATAGTCTTGAAGATGTATTTATATTCACACTTTCCATGCGAATATCACGGTACATTCTTGTCTTCAAGATTTGACTTCCGAGTTAGACTGACGTGACTTGCTGACTAAGCGAGATGGACGATGTAGAGCTAAGAGCGTGGTTAGTGTTGACAGATCTTCACCTTCGACTTTCACTTGTGCTCGATCCTTATAACAAGATGGTCAGAATTATTATCAAAGGAGGTGGGTAAAACTATGTACTATATGACTTATTGTGTTCTGACTCTCGTTTGCAGGAGGTACGTAGGCTCTGTCTTTTCAAGGTTGAGCAATCACTTACGAACTAATCCTCCTTGAACTTCTGTTTACAGTGAGCCATATTTCCTTGAATTATAGTGTGCCTGTCGACTGACAACTTTTCTCTGTGTAGGTATGGAAAAACACGGAAGATGAGGTGCTGAAGGCGGCCATCGCAAAATACGGCAAGAACCAATGGTGCGTTTCTTCCCGACGTCCGCCTTCATGTGCTTACGAACTGTTAAAGGGCTCGTATATCCTCTCTTCTTGTTCGTAAAACGCCTAAACAGTGCAAGGCGCGATGGTATGAGTGGTTGGATCCATCGATTAAAAAGACGGAATGGTCGAAAGTGCGTCTACGGCATGCTTTGAATGCTGTCCCGCTAACTCGTCTTACTACAGACGGAGGATGAGAAACTGCTTCATCTAGCGAAGCTCATGCCGACGCAATGGAGGACAATTGCACCTATCGTTGGACGGACTGCGACGCAGTGTCTTGAACGGTATCAAAAGTTGCTAGATGAGGCGGAGGCAAAGGAGAACGAGGAGCTCGGTTTGGCTGGCCCAGGTGATGCTGGTCCCAGTGCGGACGACGTACGGAAGCTCAGACCAGGTGAAATTGACCCCGATCCGGAGACGAAGCCTGCACGACCAGATCCGATTGACATGGATGAAGATGGTGAGTCTGACATGGAGCATCCCGTTTGCATCAACTGGCTAGCTAATGCCACTCTCCTCTCCGTTGTATAGAGAAGGAAATGTTATCTGAAGCTCGTGCACGCCTTGCCAACACACAGGGAAAGAAAGCAAAACGGAAGGCCCGCGAGCGCCAGCTTGAGGAAGCCAGACGGCTTGCAATGCTGCAGAAGAAGAGGGAACTCAAAGCAGCTGGTATCATGTAAGCGATACTTCCTAAAATATTTAAGATGGTAGCTGAACTCTGAACTGAACTCATGTTTAGTGGAAGCATGCGCCATAAATCCAAAAGGGGTGGCATGGATGTACGTGCACGACCCATTGTTTGACCTGTGTGACAAACGCTAACTATTCTTACAGTACAATGCAGATATTCCCTTCGAGAAAAAGCCTGCTCCAGGTTTCTATGATACGTCGGAAGAACAGGCAAAAGCGTCTGTTGCTCCAGTGGGCCAATCTCTTCGACGGCTCGAGAATAAGCGGAAGCCTGAGGAAGAGGAGGCTGAACGGAAGAAGAGACAGCGAAGGGGCAAGGAAGGAGAGAACGAGCATCAAACGAAGTTCGTTGCTCCTCGTGACGCTCAGATACAGAAACTCAAGGAGGCAGAGCAAATTGGCAAGAGACGAAAATTAGTTCTTCCGGATGCGCAAGTCGGCGAAGAGGAACTTGAAGAGATAGTCAAGATTGGACAGGCGGGCCAGAGTGCCCGTGCTCTAGTTGGTGAGGGGCCGGAAGCTAGTGAGAAGCTTTTGGGAGAGTACGAAGGGCTGGCGAGCGCACGAATGGCTCGTACACCACGAACGGCACCGCAACGTGCGTGTGACTAGCTCTTACCACAATATAGCTTGACTCATGTTTTTCTAGATGATAATGTCATGACGGAGGCGCGTAATCTTCGCAACATGATCGCTGTACAGACACCTCTTTTAGGTGACGAGAACACTCCTCTACACACTGCTCCTGGTGGAGGAACCGGATTTGAGGGTGCTACTCCCCGTCATCAGGTCGCATTTACGCCTAATCCTCTGGCGACTCCGGCCCGCCAGGACAGTCTCGGCCCTGGTGCTACTCCTCGCTCTGAATTTCCCGGCGCTACGCCGCTACGAACTCCTTTGCGCGACAACCTCAGCTTGAACCCCAGTGGTGCAGCTTCATCCGTTGGAGATACTCCTCGGGAGCGGCGTGGTCGTGGTGGGATGTCTTCGCTCAAATCAGCCTTCATGAATCTTCCCAGACCTGAGAACAACTTTGAGTTGCTTGTTCCTGAAGACGAAGAACAGGATGAATCAACGGCTGCAGTTCCTATGGAGGAAGATGCTGCAGAGCGAGACGCGAGATTGAAGAGACTGAGAGAGGAGGAAGAGAGAAAGGCCTTTTCTCGACGTAGCCAGGTGGTGCAAAAGGGTTTACCCCGGCCAGTGAACGTGGATGTCGAAAAGCTCTTGGAAGAGTTGTCTTTGACTCCCGATGACGAACCGGAACTCGGTGCGGCTAGGAAACTTGTTGACAACGAGATGGCGAAGCTATTACAGCATGATGCGATCGCATTTCCTCTTCCTGGTACTTCGATCGCTGGCTCGACGCGGTCCACTTATGAGTACCCCGAAGACGATTACGTCGATAAGGCGAAGGCACTTCTCCATTCGGAATTAGCTGCTTCACTTGGCTTCCCAAATACATCGCCTTCGCAGGTGTCCGAAGGTTTGATGGCTACTGCAACGGCCGAAGAACTTGATGATAGCGTCTTATGGGATAAACAGCGCGAGACACTGGTGTTTGACGCAAAAACATCAACCTGGGTGGATCCGTCCAGCCTATCCTTTGCAGATCGATTAGCAGGATACGATGCTCTTCTTCGGGACGATAGAGATACGATAGCGAAGGAGGCAAGTAAAGTAGCAAAGGCAGAGAAGAAGCTCGGTATACAGCTTGGAGGGTACCAGACGCGCTTCAAAGCCCTTGCGAAGCGTGCAACAGATGCGTTTGACGAAATGCAGAAGGGTCAAATTGACCTGGCTAGCTTCATCCAGCTGCAGGTGAACGAACAAGTTGTAGGTCCGCGTAGGGTAGAGGCATTAAAGAGGGAAGTTGACACTTTGGAGAGGAGGGAAAGGCACCTGCAAGGGCGATACCAGGAGCTCGCGAGGGATAAGGAAGAAAGTGAGGCTCGTGTGGCAGCGCTTGAAGAAAAGATAATGGCGGAAGCGGAGGCATTGAACGAGGCAGCTCTAGCGGATACTTTCCCTACAAGTTAATTGTCTTCATGTGATTAAGCTATACGTCTTTATAACACGCAATCATATGTATATTGAAGACGAAGTGACGAATAAGTAACAGAGCACGTAAATACATGAATGTTGTCAAGATGAAGTGTCTTGTCTATGATCTACACCAAGTCACTGGTATCTAATGAGGGGATGCTTCAAAGATAACGGTCGTATGTATATGTCGTGCGCAAAGAACGTGAAAAGGAAGGTAAAGTAATAGCAGCGACTAGCATGGCCAGCATGCGGTGTGAATCATCTAGAGACTAGAGGTCTCTTTCATGCCTTAAAAGTAGAAGATTCCCAGTTCATCACCATTCAAGCCATTGTATCCATCTCGAAATGATCATCGTCGCCCAGGTCTTTGATCGGTTCTTTCGGTATAAAGCGTCCTGGCCAGAAGGGCACATATACAGCCACAGCAATAAACAGGGGAAGTGTATCCAGGCCATAAAAGGCTGCTTCATCTGTTGCGAGAGCACCTGTAAAACCTTGTGATAGTTCTACCACGCGAAAGACGGAACGAATCTATAAAAGGACCGGAATGTGAACGAAAGACATGCACTATTACAGCTGTCCGAACATCGGGGACATATAGATAGACGTACGATGATCCCAATACAACTAACAAAAAGGGCGAAAGCGAGCGTCCTCCAATCTCGGTACCATGGTTTCTGCTGCGTGGCGTCTCTATTCCACGTTTCGGGGTCATTGGTATAGATACGTTGCATGAAACGAAGGAACATGATCGTGAAGACAGAGAAAGAAGCCAGTTGAAGTACCAGACCGGCAAGAAACACCTGTTGTATAGATAATATAATGAGTCAGAGAGTACCGAACATTATAAGTGCCTGAGACGCACATTTGATCCCAAGTCGTTGGTCTTTTGATCATTTGCTACGACGGATATAGCACCACCCGCGGCCTGATGCAAGGTCAGAGCACCTGCTAGTCGAGTGTGAGATTTACCAACCTGAATCAAGAAAGTTGACACGTCTGACAAGACAAATACTGTCGTCACTTTCTGTGGAGATACCCAAAGGTAATTGGACTTGTCTAGGCGTCTTGCTAGCCGACCGAGCAGAACATAATCCGCAGCAATGAAAGCACATGGCTGTTGGTTTCGTTTCAATACAAGTTCATCCCAAGGAGGCGGGGTAATACGAACCGAGAGTAGGATAAATAAGTCCTCTGCGATGTAAATGCCTTTCGATTGCGGGTTGGAATGAAGTCCAAAGCGACATCCTAGGCCAATAACAAATGCTGTGCGACTACTTGAGAAAGACATAAGTAGGACATAATGAATGACTCTCACTGAATATGCCAACAGTCATTGCTGACATCCACTTCGCTCCCCATTTTAAGGTGCTGAATATATGGCAGAGCCCGACACTAAGATAAAGACCTGAAATAAACTCAGTAAAACGCAGCAATTTCCCAGTGCATAAACTTTAGAACCAAATGCAATTCCAGTCAAGACATTGGATGCAATATACTTGAGCACATTGCACGGATCGTTCCTTGGATCGGTATACGGGTCTGGAGCACAGTTTTCAGGCGTTTTCGCATGAACTGGGAGAACCAGGATGACAAGTGCGCTTAGGGCCAACACTAGTAGTGAAGGTGTTGAAGGCATGAAGAAGAGGAGGCTCATTCCGTGGTGGTACTACGAAAGCTCAACTATTTGAGCGGCATTTCTCTCAGGCTGCCGGACAGTGCAGCGACGTGTGGCTAATCGTCGACGACCAAATTTAGACATTTAGGCGTATTCTTCCTCACGATCGCACCAGAAGCCGACGCTTGGTAATCAAAAGCAGTGCAACCGCCCTGGACGGATGTCGTTGAGGCTTGAAAGAGACGTGTGCAGGTTGCAAAGGACTGACGTAGCATACAAGCATATACATCTAAATATGAAATGAACTCAAAATAATGATGTTCTAATGGACAATAAGGCACACACGAGGTGGTAACGCTACCGCCGGCCTTTCTTGGTCTTCTTCATTGGCATTCCTGCTTCGACTACATCATCGTCACGATCGCGGTCGTCCACTGCTCCGATATCCTCTCTGCCCCTCTTTCTTCCATGCCTCCCTTCCTTCGCTTGTTCTTTTAGTTCCTTTGCGGCCATACGAGCGGCTTCGTCGACTCGCTCCCGCAACAGAGCAATTTCTTCTGCATCTGTTGGCCATAGGTCCATTTTCTTTCCGATAACAGCTTCAATCCGCTGTATTAATTCAACGTCGTATTGTGTGACGAGAGTAATGGAATTTCCCGCCCGCCCGGCTCGTGCCGTACGTCCAACCCGATGAATATAGTCCTTTGAATGAGACGGGATATCGTAGTTAATTACCGCATCCACGGACGGTATGTCCAGACCACTAGAAAAGGTATCGGTGATGGTCAATGAAAATAATGAGCAAAACGGACTAACCGGCTGGCAATATCAGTTGCGACCAAAATATTTCGTCCACCGCTTTTGAATTTTGCCAGAGCTCCGAGACGCGCACTTTGGCTCAACTGACCGTGCAGTGGGACGGAGGAAAAACCAAGTGTTTTCAGAATTAGTGCAAGTCTAAACCATTAATAGTTCAGCCGCATTGAAGGACCTCCAGACACGATTCGGTATACCTTTGGCAATCCATGACTGTCCTTGTAAAGATGATAATTGAATTCTGCGACAAGGTATTGCACATATGGATAAGATTAACTTCTTTTTGCTTATAGGGTATGAAGAGGTAGTATTGCAGTAGTGTGGAAACTGTGGTGTACCTGCGGAGTTCACATAATCAGGTCCAACGTTGGCCCTCAGTAACACCTTCACATACTTTTTAGACACTTCTACCCGGACAGGGTTAGTTAAACTGGCTCGCTGCAGCTTTGCGACCTTTGTGGTCATCGTCGCAGAGAATAAGTACGTAGTACGCTCTTTTGGTATGACCTTGAGAATTTTGTCAATGATTGGGCCGAAGTCCATGTCCAGGAGCCGATCTGCTTCATCAAGGACCTATGCCAATATTCAATTTCCCGTACTTTTTGCACTCTAGGACAGCGGGTACTCACCAGAAATTTGATCCCTCTAAGACTGAATCCTTTCGTATTTTCTAAATGATCATTTAAACGACCCGGGGTCGCAACGACAATATGCGGCCTCTTCGCCAGTGCTACCGCCTGATCTACCATGTTCATTCCACCCACAATGACAGCACATCTTACCCCAATCGCTGAACCGAGAGATTCGAATTGCTGGGATATCTGGTATGCCAATTCACGGGTCGGAGCGAGCACACATGCGAACAGACCTTTGGGCTCTTCCCATAGCCTTTGTAAGATTGGTAGTGCGAACGCAACTGTCTTTCCTGATCCTGTCTCCGCAACGCCTATTATATCCCGACCAGAGATTGCATGTGGTAGAGCTTCTGCTTGAATATCGGTGGGCTTTTTAAAGTTCATCTGCTCGAGAGCCTCTAGGAGTGGGCCAATGACTCCCAGCTCCTTGAAGGAGGGTGGCGAGGACGTAGATGTAGAAGCTTCCTCAGGTGAAGGCATAATGAAACCAGGAGTCAGAAATGTAGATGAACCGCCAAAAGACTTCAGAATCCAAAATCTTTGATACAACGCACGTGACCTAAGATGATCGTCGGTGCGTGTGAGCAATGAACATTCATAAATACGTTCACCCTGGGTGGAGGTTCTCTCTGTTCAGCACTCCGAGGAGAAATCTGGCAGTCAAATTCTGTAAACTAGGTTATCTGAAAGAGCGTGTTGGAAAGTCTTTATTGACGAGGTGTTTCTCTGCTAGCATCGAAACGCCTCCCCGCATCTTCGCGCATACTGAGAATGCAAGCTCAGCGCGTCAAAGTCACGCTCTCAGGACCCCCACAACTCACATCAACAGATCTCTGGGCTCAAGTTTGGTCGGCACTCGCTTTACAATTTCCACTTCGAAACCTACACTGGAAACCAGCTACTCGAACATCAATACGGACAATTCAATCTTTGGATGTCAGTCTGCTTGCTCTTGAATCGCTGAGAGAGGAGGGCACGTCCCAGATACCAGTTAGTATCTTGGATAAGCTGCTACTAAATATATATGTTGTAGCTTGCGATGTACGTTCTTCCATTTCTAACGTCAGTAATGACCCGTTCTCAAGCTGCATTATCGCAGGATAATGATTCATACAGAAGTTCGGTCAAGAAACAAATTAAGGAGTGGCATACGCAGATCACGCAGCGAAAGTGTCAAGAATGGATGATTCTAAATATCTCGAAGACGGATCCTCGACAGACCCAGACCGGCTTACTCAAGATGAGGGGAACAGTTATAGATCGAATACGAGCAGACTTCAACTTAGACAAGAAAGACCGGTACGATCCTCTAGTTTCACATATCATACAACGAATTAACTTAGGTGATAAAGTTGTGCCCAACTGACTTGGACTACGGACATTGAGAATCCAGCAATTTGGGCGGAGATCGTCTCGAAAGTGAAGGATGGCGTCATTGCAGCCTTCGACCAAGCCGTTTCCCAACGAGAGGAAGAAGTTAAGCGCTCAGAATTGCAAAAGACTATGCCAGGATGGAACTTCTGCACATTCTTCATCTTAAAGGTCTGTCTGGAGACGACCCTCGTATTTTGCCTGTCTGACTCCATGATTAGGAAAGTCTCGCAAGCTCTTTTGAAGGGGCGAATCTTCCCGAGGACGCGCTACTACAGTACGAAGAACTCGAGGCCTCGTTCTTTCAGGTTCTGAAGGACAGAACATTATGGTTTGGTAATTTTGTAGAACCTTCGTCGAAGGACGACTCTTTACCCCTGCTATCGACCACGAAGAAGCCGTACAGGGATCTTATCATAGCAAATACAATCACCGTGTTTGACATTAGGGTTTATCTCTTAGCCCGACAGTCAATTGTACTTGGCCAGATGGGAAGGTTGACAGACGTCACAAGGAAGGTCTCGATGTTCCTAGCCGCCTTTGGCGGTCGACTGCGAGATTATAAGGTCGGAGATTTTGACTCTTGTGTCTGCGTTAACACTAATATGCTTATCTGCAGGAAGTTTTACCGAACTTCTTCATCGAATCCTGGGTCTATTCATCCGCACTTAGTGTTGTTGAGACATGTGATGACTGGGCTCGTAGAAATCTGGATTCGAGTTCTTCAAACGGTTATAATGCCGGCAAGGCGGAATTACTTGCCAGCGCACGTAACCAGGTGAGTAACTAGTAATAAGGACGACGAATTCTTACGAAAATGCCTTCAGCTCGACAAGCTAGGTATTCAATTGGGCTTTCTCCCAAACGGACCGCCTTTTTCGGATTGCGTGGTAGACCCAGAGAGCCTCAAACCCGTAGATCTAGGCACAGTCTCTGCGAAGCGCTCGTCTCGGCAGATATCGAACCCTGATATTCTTGGCTTTCTGAGCGACAAATCATCATTCTATGACTTGTATATCAAGCTGACAAATAGAGCTATCGACTTATTCGTAAAATCAGGTCGGCGTAAGTTTGCCCTTAAGCTACACGGCAGTTTAGCGGCCCTCGACCTGTAAGCTCGAATTGGCTTTCTTTCACCTTAAGTACTGAAACATTTCAGGTTTCGAGAACGGCTCACTGCGGCACTGCAGACGTTTACTTCGTTACCCGCACATTATGCACCCAACCGCTGGTCGAGTCTGGAAGCGTACATGCTGTTCCAAAGCGTGGAAACTCATGTGCGACTACGGAGCGATCACGACCGACAATGGATCCATATCGTCGCAGCATTCCTGAAGGCCTACTTGGAAGATAACTCAATGAATTTACTGGATGGGATGACAGACAAATGTGCATATATCAGGCGCCTCATAGAAAACGTCGCCGAGGCGGCTCCTCAAGTTGATGGTGGTTTGTAGTCTGTTTTGTGACCCCACCCACACAACTTCACGAATTTGTTCAGAACTCGTCTTTCATGATCATCCGATGATGAGCGTAACGCCCCTGATCGAGAGTGCGCGTTGTGCAGGCGACAAGGATGGATATCTCTTTGATGTTACTATCCATAACAAATTGCCGTGTGTAAGTACGTGATGTTCTAATACTGCAACGCTTACTTACGTGGATCTAGGACGTACCATTCGACAATGTTACACTGTACTTATCGGGTCGCGGCCGTGAAACTATGGAATTTCGAAGTGGTTCTATAGTCGCAGAACCTGGTCTTCAAACGGTGTCCCTGTCTTGTCCGGTGAGTACGGGAACGAGTTCTATTCATTCAAGCTAACTTGTTTTTGAAGGTCCCAAAATCTGGAACATATGCAATGGATAAGATTGATTTGAATTTGGGTCGTCTTTCTTTCCAGTGGGCTTTCGCAGGAAAGCAGAAACGTCGTCAGTCCTCAGCACCTGCTGAAGCAGCGAATCTGCCAAAGCTCGTCAAGCTTCCAAAGGACCCTCGTGCAGTGCAGATAGACATTCAGCAATCTCTGAAAGGTAGACGTAGCTACATCAATATGCATGGACACTGAACTAACGATCTTTTCTTTAGTTGAAATTGCCGGTCCATCGTGGTTGTCAGTCGCAATATCACGCGGCAGAAACAACTTGACAAAAGCAGATCTTAAGTTATCTTCTCCCGACATCACAATCAATACCAAAGAGGGCACACTTCGAAGTAAATGGTAGTCTCATGCGCCCGTTTTGCCGATGTGCTAACTCGTCAACAGACGCTAGTGCGGAAGTGAAATTCTTAGAAGGTCAGATATCCATCGCCAATGCAAATAGCGACCAGACCATTCGGTTCGAAATGCCACACTCGAAAGCAGATAACCGAGATATAGTGGTGGGTGTATGACTGCCATGCATCATAGACTGTCACTCATATGTTTGATTGTAGAATGTGCGAGCAGTCCTTGAATACGAGACTTCAGATGAGCCAGGCATTGTGAGGAAACTGAGTGTCGAGCGAGAGGTTCCATTGGCACTTGACCTCGCAGTGAACGTGCAGGACTTTTTCCGGGGAGAAAAGTCAGCATCACACTAAAACTCCTAATGCATGGCTTATTCTTTCACTTGTTTTCAGATTATTGACAAAGTTCACCATTTCGACCACAACACACCAACACGTCCGAATATCTTCTGTAGACCTCATATCAAGCGACAACGACGCCAAGAAGATAAGGATCAGCAAGCACAATAAGCGGCCAGCGGTACTGGTATGCTGTGCTTACATGCAGTACTATTTGAAGGCTGAATAGATTTCTAGACGGTAAAACCTGCTCAACCGGCGAATTTTGTCTTCCAGTTAGAAAAGCTTGGGGAGGGTGAGTGCGACGTGAAATGCTCATGCACAAACTTGCTAATCGTGTTCTTCAGTCGACGATCCCCTCCGGCTTTGCATGGTTTATCGACTCCTGCGCGAAGGTATCAAATAATTCTAAACTTCGAACAAACCTGTTTGCCTCTAACAAGTTATGTAGAAGTGGAAGCACTCGTCACTCGCCATGTCGAGAAGGCCATGCCGGAATCAGACCATTGGGAACACAGGATAGCTGTGCAAGATGCTATCGTTCGCAACCTGGAAAGGAGCTCATCATGGGTAGAAATGTATGAGATGGCGGGAGAGATTCATTTGCCAGGAGGCCAGTTAAATGTCGACGGCGTTCCTGAAGAACTGCTCGCGAAGGTTAAACAAGTACGACACAGCATTCCTTAATCACCGTTTACAGCTAACAATTTTCTTCAGGACCTTCAGAAGCGCGACGACTTAATCGCAGACAAGAGCAAATGGAGAGAATTTACAATCCCTCTTGACCTCCCTCGACTTGACGTAAGAATTCCATTACACTCAGTTAAGCGGACCAAGGACTAATGCTTTTCGTAATCAGATCCTAGTTTCAACACGAATAGAGCTCGTTGCGAATCCTTTCAACAAGGAACCTCTAAAACGCCAGCAAGCTCCCCCAATATATGCCGGGCAACCCATCACAGCAATTGTTTCAATCAACACGTCGTTTTATTGGGCTGGTCCAGACAAGAAGGACATCAAAGAGTACACGATGCGCTTCCAGCTTGAGGAAAACATGAAAGACTGGCTTATTAGTGGGCAAAAGCGAGGCGATTTCAAAGCAAAGGTGAGCATTGTATTGTCACAAAAGTACTGTGCTAAGAAGTGTATTAGGATGGCGACACATATACAGTTACCATAACGCTCATGGCACTTCGACACGGAGAGTTATCTCTTCCGAACGTTCGTGTGGTAGCCTATCCTTCAGACAACAATCAGTCCGCCACGCCTGTGAGTCTTGAGGCCTATCAGGTACAGGGAGCTGAACGCTTGCTCGTCCTACCAAGAGGCGGTAGAACGACATTCTTCCTGAACGTTGGACGAGAGCAGTAGTAAATCCCGAGAATTTTTGGAAGACAAGCCCTTGTCCAATATCGACACAGGCTATTGGCACACAGACACGGAGGTGCAAGACGTGAGATTGTGAAAGTGCACCCACGCCTACTCGGATTTTTTAATGGTCTGATGTTCAACATCTCGTCCTGTTGGCCAGCCGAACCACACGCCTGTCAGAAAGAATACGTTTGCAAGGACTAGGACCGTAGATGATAGATTTGTAGACGGAAACACGTTCCAGGCATATTCAATGCTGCCAATAACTGCTAGTCTGCAACCTTGCTCAGTGTCTGTGCAACTCAGATGAATAGGAAAAACCTACTTTACTAGAAGAGGGTACCGTGTCCGCCAAATCAAGAATGGTATTTGTTGTGCATACCAGGAGTAAAACTGATAGTGTAACGATCTCGCAAACGTGATCCCAATAAGGTTTGACGTCATGAGGACCGTTGTTACATCTAATCGAGCGACATATATAAGCATCTCTTTGTTCATAATGAACGAATGACTTACAGTCGGCAGACAAGTGACGTGCTGGCGCCCAGGGATTCCGTAGCGTCTTTGCAAGGAGTTTGAGTATTCCACCCCCACTTCGGCACCACTTAAAGTGTGCAAACAGCAAAAGCGTGCATAAATGACACAGTAGCAGGGTCCTAGCCCAAACAGGGTTCAAGAAGGTATCCTCCCCTAAGAAGCGCCAGTTGACCGTCCACTTGAACAGGAAGACCCGCGACAAATCGAACGCTCCAGTCAGGTACTGCCAGGGATACTCTGCAAGGAATTCCCATGCGAGAATTGCTTGGAACATAACCATTACAACAACGTGAAGAATTGTCTGAACGACGCCTCGCTGCTGCCAGAGGATTATTAAGAGGCCCGGTAGATAGAGCAAGGCGGACATTTTGACGGAGACAGCAAGGCTGGTGAAGGGTAAGAAATAGCCTACCCGGTTCTGCAAGAAACGAACATACCTGAAGAATATGCAGGACATCGTGTAGTAGCCACTTGTGAGGGCAAGAATACCAGCTTGCGTACCGACTGTCGCCCAACAGTCATTGAACAGCCGGAGTACATAAATAGAATGTAGTCTCTTGCTCAGAGGTAGGATAAGAAGCACCCAATTCGGAATGCCACCCGATTGTAGGTAAATACCGCAAGTCAATGCGAGGGATGCAACGTAAAGCACTGCGTAGATATGTTGCGCCAGAGGAATGTTGAGGCCGGATGAAGTGAGCTTGTATAGGTTCTCGTGAATGTAGACATGACCTGCAGGATAGCTATTTCGGAGCACATCTGGTAAGCTGAGGGAACTTAAGGAAGGGACAAAAACTAACACGAGAGGTCCCGTTGGTCCAGTGACAGCTGTATAGTTTCGTTCGCCACCCAGGTAAAGCTCCATGTGATACATGTACGTTTCCCAATCGATCTCAGTATCTGACCCCATGAATATAAAAGTTGAAGTATGAAGCAAGAGGACTTACATCCGACGAAACGAATAATAAGCTCTGTCAGTACCGCATCTCCAAGTACGACCAGGCACGCCAGCATCCACGCATACTTGGGATCAATCAGAAGTCTACGGGCCAACGCAAACACGATATTGCTATAAGAGTTGGACATGGTGGGTCTGTTCGGGCATTCCTTGCGTGTGCAAATCGAAGACGTAAAGCTAAAATGAATTGTTGTTGGGCCTTGGCGGAATCTATGTATTTACACGTCACCGATCTGCAAGTCGTCTTCCGGCTATAGCCGCCTCTTATGTAACTCTTTTTATACGTGCCAAAAGGAACAGCATATAAATTGCATTGCTTTTCAAAAGCGATATAAATAAATAAACAAGAGTCAACTAAATACTAGCCGCTTTGCTAACAGCATCCTCCCCGTCTTTTAAACCGCGATCAAACCATTCACTGTAGAAGTCTTCGGATCCTGGTGCAACGATTTCTGGACTAAGCTTCGCAATACTATCCGTCTTGTATTGACCAGTGAATCCGAGTTTCGACATTCCGTGCTGTGCAAAGATCTTTGCAGTCAGGAAACCATCTGAATAGCCCTTGGTGATAGAACGTTCTGCGCTGGTTAGACCTGCTAAAGGTGATGGTATACCATCCTTTTTGTGTTTGGAGATGTCCGAGTGGAACGAACGGCGCGAATGAACACTAAAGAAGCGTTGGCGACGAGCATCCAAGTCCTTCTTCACGTGGTTGGAGTTAGGCGTAGATACTTCAGAGATTGTACCAGAGGACACGTCTCCCGAAGCAGACAGGGAAGTGTCTTGAGAACTAGCCGAGAGGGAACTTGAAGATCGGTCGTTCGCCTGGAGAAGAACTTCGCTCATAGACGGCAATTTCATATCAGCCACAGCTCGTGACAAGTACATAGCCTTGCTACCAGAGGCAGAGGAGGTGGAGTTGTATGCGAAGAAGTTCGAAGGTAGCGTGTTTCCGACAGCGTTCTTGAAGCACCAGTCTTCATCTGTGTCGCAACTTTCTTTCATATAACTCCAGAAATGCCAGCCTGCTGTTGTATTGGCATACACCTGTTGTTGACCTTGACAGAATTGTTGACGCGACGCTTTGGGATCCTTCTCTCCTTTAAGAGCATCCGCGACAAGAGCACAGGACCATTCCCCAACGATCAGGTTACGCCGTGTCTTCTGAGATGCAGAGCTAAGTTGATCAGAAATAGTAGTCTCTACATGTTTTGTGTCTTGATCAGCACTTTGTGAATCATCATACGAGTCGAACACGAAGTAAGAGTGATGGTCTTCCACAAGGAAGTCGGTACGATTCGCAACATAGTCTGCATACCGATCTAGATTGAACGCATCGTGGATATATAACGGAAGCGTGGCGGCCGCCGGGGATGCCTGATGTATGGCAGGAATTGCACGGTCATCTTCAAGCAAACGATGATTATTATCGATATATGCAGATCAGATTTGTAAAGGCTCACAGAAGTTGGGAAGGCTCTCGTCATCATTTGGCTCGTTCAGAATCTCAATTCCAATAACATTCGTCACAGAAGCGAGTTGTTGGGCTAGGAAAGTCAAGACGTTAATGGTAGCGTCTTGGTTTGACGGGTTACTAAAGAAGTTCGCCTGTCCATCCGAGACACCGGAGTGAGCCTGGCCGTTCTGGCTTCCGACAGCTCCATGAAGATCAACGAGTACACCGATGCCAGCCTCACCAGCCCAGTTAATGGCCCGCACGACACGACTCCAGGAGTTGGTATAGACTTCGGCGACCGATTCGAAGGGTGTTCCTTGACAATACGTCGGTCCCAAGTTCCAAAAACCAATAGGTAACCGTACGGTGTTGATGCCAATGGAGGCCAAATACTGGAAATCCGACTGCGTAATAAAGGTATCCCAGTGGTGTTCAAGTACAGCTCTGGCTCCCGTAGTGTTTCCCCAGCCAGTTGCAATGTCGATCTCCGCGCTTTTAGGTCCAGAAGCGCATCTGAACAACGACGGTGTCATCCAGTTTTCGTGGACGAACCTGAGAAATAAAACACAAGGTGAGGGGGGATCGGAAAAGGAGAGAATAGAAGAAGCGACACGTACCAAGACCCAAGGTTAACAGATTGTTGCTGTCTATATCGGAAGATATTCGCCTTAGCCAGATCAAAAGGAGGGAAAGTCTGAGAAAGGACAGGGGCTGGGTTGTACGCCTGGACATCGCAAGATCCATCCGAGCTAAAGATATGATTGTTCGTAACAGCCATAGACTTGAACAGATTTTGGCTAGGTGAAGCTTCTTTTGACTGTAGAATACTCCCGATGAGGGGTAAATCTGTTAGTCCAGGTAGACCAAGCCCTGAGGTTAGTCCATCTACCGTACTGACGACTCCATCTAGAGGACCAAACAGAGGAGCAGTAAGTCTACCGACAAGATCTGGGATTGGCTTCAAGATGCTCTGTGTAAGTCCAAGAGCTTGCAAGAGAGCAGCAAGTTGATCGGCAGAAAGCATCTTGGTGTAGATAGTAGAGTGAAACTAATGAATCCGTATATGAAGCGGACCTGACGTGCTGACCTGCAGCGCAAATTCGTAGGTAGGAATTGCAGTACTTTGTGAGGCACCTGGCGAAAGCAAGCAAAAACAGCGTAGATAACAGTTAGCGGTTCCTGCCCGTCAGCGTTAATAGAGAAAGAGTAGCAATCGCAGACATAGTCAGCCATGTAATAGCAATTGTCTGCGTTGTGTCAGCCCAATTGAAATTCAGACCATGTGAGTCCTACTCTCACAATTTCCATTCAACACGAGATGAGCCTTTTGCCGGTATTTCAATACTCTCGATGCAGAATCAAGTTGCTATCGGAGGGAGGGGAGAAGCTTCAGTATCCAAAGGGTAATTGAAAGCGAGTTATCCGTGGAGATAGATGATGCATACTGATAAGTACTTGCAGTTACTGCTCCGTGCTCGAATTCAAGACGCGTTTCACGTGAGATGCAAGCAGACCACAATTCTCAGATTTTGACACCATCTAACTTTGCTTCCTTCCAACTATACCCAACTACCCAGCTCATGAATACCCCACTTTTGTCATGCTAGCATACAATTCACCTGATCCCGGCGCATCACGATTCCATGGCCGAAACGAAATCATCCTCCACTCACCCTCAACTCAAAATACTCGCAGAATCACATTACACCGAGTATCGTTATTATGCCAGCAATGGAGGTAATCAAGCAACTCTCATTTATCTGTGGATAGACGCACTAGTTGCTGCGTTAGTCTCGTATTTCTGGCTGCAGGTATGTTTACGTTGTGTTGACTCGCGTGTCTGCCTATATTGACTTCGCTGGAGAGCCAAAGTAGTACTGGGTACAACCTGACCGCCATCTCCCTATTTCTTCTCTACGTCTATTGGAGATGTACTAGAATCGTCTATGGTAAATACTAGCCCCTCACCCTCACCCTTCCAAATTACACGTCTAACACAAAACCGAAACAAAACCGGATAATCCAATATCTAGAATCCGTACTCATCATACCTCCACACGGCATACAACTCGAAACGCACAAAGGACCCTTACCCTTCAACTCCTCGTTATTCGTCTTTCGGAGGTTCATCCCTGCCATATACATTGAAGACGTTATAATCAACGAAGCGCTCCATCGTTGGAGCGTACGTTACTACCTTGCGGTTCTCGTAGCCGTTCCTGGTGAGAATCGTCAACTTGCTGTTGCGTTTGACGTAAGTCTGCTTTGGCCTTTGTTTTCTTTCCGTTCCTTTTTCCGTTTTGATGTATATGTGGGACTGATATTTATTTTTTAATGCCTCTGCACATAGAACACGTTACCGCATTTCCCGGTTTTGTTAGAAGTCTATCGCGGTGTTCACCGGACTCTGCTTAATGAAAAGAAATCACATCCTTGACTAAACGTTTTTATCGTCCTTGTGTATTCATTATCGTAAGCTGTGCATAAAAGAAAGCAAGGTTAGGAATAAGAAGTGGGTGGCTAGCCGAATGAGCGCCAAGAAGTCACTATCAACGGGAAGGACTGGCAGTGTGCAATGTACAAATATTGCCATAAAGAAAGCAAGGAAGAGTGAAAGTGAAAGCGAATCATAAAAGGTCTATATAGCACTAAATTGTATGTGTGCAGAGTGCGTGAAAACCAGTTCACGCCTCCGACGACGCAGACTCATATTTCGACGCTTCGCTCTCGTAAGCGCTCAAAAGCTCATCATATCCCTCATCATCCCCATCCTCAGGACGACTATCCCTCCTCCCATCCGCAACCTTATTCGAACGAGTAGCTCGCGACCCACCACCTGAGATTTTCCGCCTGCGTTCTGGCCCGTCCATCGAGACCTTCCTTCGGCGCGGTGAGCGCACATGTCCGTCTGCTGTTGTTGGAGACGTAGAAGGGAAGTGCGTCGCTCGGGGCGTCGTAGCCGCCTCCAGCTCAGAGTCGAACTCTGGAGCAGCGAGGGAACTGGGACTTGGGTTCGCACGAGGGATAGTGATACCTTGCGTATCGTTAAACCGTTTTGTACGGATACGAGGCGCGGTGCGATTTAATGGCGATACGGGCGATACGGGAGGGATAGACGAATCGGATGTGTCGCCTATTGCCTCTACGGTTGGCGTTGATGGTTTACGATGTGCTTTCTTGCCTTGCGGAGGTGGGTCGAGGGTCGAAAACCCTGTTTCGCTTAGAACGAGTGAGCCACGCTGCTTCTCTGTACTCGCAACTCGAACGGACGTTTGGCCTTGTACAGTGTTCGTCACAGGTGTACGCGGCGGAGGTGATGAAGGCAACGTTGAAGGTGAGTCTGGTGACACGCGGTCCTGACTTCGTCCAGAACGACCCTCATCATCATGGAACCTCCCATTCATACTCCTAGGAGAGCTTTCCGATGCCGTCCTATAATTAAGCACACCAAATTCTGACTGAGAAGACACAGACGGGTTCCTACTGGCTATTCTCGAAGTCCTGAAAGCGGGTGCCATAGGAGAAACAGACTGGCGGTTCAAGCGAACAATCCGACTAACAGATGGATCCGAGTCCCACCCGCTTTTCCCGTCTCCTCTAGGAGAAGCTGTAGGGTTACTACCCCTCGAAGACATGGATGACTGGGAGAATTGGGAATCCCTGTGACGAGGTGATGTTTGCACTTTACTGCGTACGGCCTCAGCCCACTCCAGATCTCGTGGCGTAGGTGTGCTATTCGCCGATCTGGATATCTGACTTCCCGTCGCAACGAGGGTCGAGGCACTCAGTAAGAGGGGCTTCGGAGCCGATTTCGGTTTCGGAGACTTTGGCTGGAGTGCAGGCCAGGATGGCAAGACAGACGCAAGGGACTCGGACTTATTATGTCCACCAGGAGAGAGTGTTGAAGTTGACAATGAAGAAGTGCTCGATTCCGGACTGCCTGGTATTGCTAACGAATTGATTTCCTCCGCTGTGAACAATCGAGTGTCGCGTGGTGGTTTGAAGAATGCAGGACGAGGCGGAGGCGAGTAGACCTCGGATCGATCAATATTCGGGACTGATCCATGCCGAAATCCTTCCTTCGCATGGTCGGACATCTTGCGGCCTATTTCCATACCAGCAACGGACTCTTCACGCTGTTTGTCGAAGGTTGGGACACCGTGCGCAGGCGCAGTATGCGTGCTCCAAGCGTCTAACGCTTTTGCTGAAAGATTAGTCCTAGCCTTCGAGAGTTTCGCCGCCACGTCGGACTGTCGAAGTTTTTCAGCATAACTCCACAAGCTCGAGCTCGAGCTCGGAGGTGATAACAACGAAGACGAGCTTCTTTCTGACGTCCGCGCCGAGAGACGAGGAGGAGAAGAGAGATCGTAAACAGGGCGAGATGGAGATGGTTCGGGTGAGGGTACGGGTGATGAGTTAGGGGAAGTATCCATTGCACTTTCATTCGTGATTCCACGCATGACAGTGGTCTTAAAGTAAGAACTCCAGGCCGAAGCGGTCGAGGACGCCCGCGACATGCTCGGCGCTTGCGGGTGATCACTCTCCGTCTCCGTCTCATCCTGCGACTCTTCCTCACTATCTTCTGGTGAATTGTCTTCCTCAATATTCTGGTTTGTAATACCCTTCCAAACTCTGTCCCGGATCCTCGCGCCAAAACCGCTGTTCTGCGTTTGAGGTGACTTCGTAAGTTGTTCCCTCTGAGTTAGTATGTCCCTAGCAACCTGCAACACGCGTTCCATTCCGCCAGCCGCTTCAATGGGATAATCCTGCAGAAGTGTCATACCCTCCATAAAAGCATTACCCAGCTCCCATGGCCGAAGCGTTTGACGCTCAATACTGGATGGTTCAATATCCCATAGACTAGGTGATTTCCGTCCACCTTTGCCTAATCTATGAGAAGAATCAGTACAGGAGATATGTGGAGAAAGAGCGTAAGGTAACATACAATAATAAACGAGCCCGTGCCCGCACGAGCATAGCAGTGCAAATATCCAATAAATGTTCTAGTTTCGGATTAGATTGACGTGAAAGTTCAGGTTGAGCAAAGATGACATCCCATGCCGTCAGAACGGCTGGCAGAGGTAATGTATGCGACAAAATAGGAGCAAGCCAGCGACTACAAGCTCAATTGTCAGTATAGCCATTGGATGTTTGAGTTTTTGAACCCACTATGAATATTGCGGTAATGCCGGATCCAGCCCTTTCAAAGTCTACGCAGATCAATCATTAATTCACATCAATAAGACTTATCGACAAAGAAACTTACGAGATCTTCCAGAAGCTCATTATCAACCATCGCGACGCGCTCTCGGAACTTCTTCATCCATACAAGTCCACCCTCGGTCTCTTCTAGTTCCGACACCTCGCGGATCAGAGCCTCGAACAACCAAAATGTGTCCGCCTCTGCATGCGCCAACTCCGACGGTTCCGCCTCCTGATTCATCACTCCATACAGTGGTACTAACAAAGAGGCTAGATGGGGAGACTCCGCAACCGGATTCAATGACTTGTGAATGAATAGTAGGCGCAACAGTGCAGAGACATGAGAAGGATGGGCGGGAACATTCCTGAAAGCTCTTGGCGCGAGGGCGGCGGATAGGGAAAGCGTCTTGGATGTATTCTCAGTGCCTCCTTGTGCTGCTTTTGAAAGATCAAACGATGATTCTTGAGGCGAGGTTGGTGCACTCCCAGACTCCAGTCGAATTTCTGGTGTGCTGTCAAATGACGAATTCTTGTCCTCATCCGTTGAGGATTGATCCAGAATCAAATGCAGACGCACATCCAAGGAAGATGCGCAATCGACCTTGGTGTCCTCTGAGGCGGACTCATGGATAAGACAGGATAACGTATGCTCAAGCTCATCCTCAAGACCACGAAAGAGATGTGCAGGAACCCGAGCTAAAGACTCAACAAGACTGACCAGTGACTTATCCGAATCGGAAGGTGGAGTTGTCGGCGGAGGAAGAGAGGCCACCTTCCCCAACAATCGCCGAATTAGATCCTATTTCGGAACAATAAGCAGGTTGGAACATCGTCTAATTCATTATTAGACTCACATAATAGTCTTCTCTCTTTTTCTGAGAATCAAGCTCCCATTGGACTTTTAGCGAGGGAGTCGTCCCTAATAGCAACCTGAACAATTGTCAAACCGATGGCCATCAGACCAGTCGATCGATCACTCACTTCCATACCCTAGGTCTCAACCAAGAGGGATTCGAAGGCAAACCTAGTTCGGGACCATTTAACGGGAGGGTCTAAGTATAGACTGCTTAAAATACACTCACCAGACGAAGCGACAGCCCTCAGAGTCGCTAAATCGATTGTGCCCATAATGTCGGATGCATCAAGCATTGCCGACAGAATCGACAGCCTATGTCCGCTTAAGCATCAACCCGGCATATTGATATGGTATATCGACGTACTTTTCGTCTGTTTGCATTGGAGGTGTCCAATCTACTCCAAACTTCTGGGCAATGTTCTGAAGATAGGAGTCGATGTCCTGTGCCGAAGGTGTCCAATGCATTATGCGGAGGATCTTCAAGTCGGAGAATAACTATGAGCGAGTGATAATTGGCGGCTGTTAGGAAATTCTCACACGGTGGGATACATGGCCGTCACTGTTGTGCAGTGCAGATTGCGCGAAGTCGGAACCTAATCGTTCCGTGAGCATATCACGCATGAGACACAAATCTATATGGTTCCAATTAGTAATAAGGAAAGCAAAACAAGGGGGAAGCATGCCTTGAGATTCTGTGAATGCAGCAGCATAAATGATGCTCGCGACTGCTTCAATCGTCGGAGGATGAAGATGAAGCTCGCTGATGTCCAGTCAGACATGCAGTGTATGAGACAAAAAAACAATATGTGCTCACTCCTTCTCCAATTCCGCGAACCGCTCTAGGACCACACCACAGTACATCTCGAGCACCTCCATAGCATTGCTGACCGCATCCTCTTTCATGAGGTTCTGTGCCTTCGCGCGTGCAAGCGAGACATTTCGCCGGCCAAGCAGTGTAGCAATGTCCCTGCTGGTGATGTGCGCAAGTGAGTCCTTCTTGTCCTGCAGCTGGCCGAGACGTTGCGCGGTCAAACGTAATTGGGTCTGCAGTTAGTCAAATAGAACGGTGATCAGTAGTGTGAATGCAAGGAAAATGAGTAAAACGCACCTTGACGCGCACCGGATCCCATAAGCCCGTAGTCGAACTCGTCATGGTTATCCGCTCAGCTTGCTGGCAAGACAGATGGACGGAGGCGAATTATAGGGCTCTAGGAAAGATGGGGTTAACGCCAGACGGAGGTCCGAGAACTGGACTGGTTCCGGTGAAAGCCGCGCCGAGGCCCGAGAAATCTGAAGAAATTCTTGGCGTCCGCTGAGAGCTTGGGAGGAAAGTGAGGAGACTGAGGAGAGAGGAGGAGAAAACGGAGATATGGGAGACAGAGAGTGGATGCCTGCCGAAGAGCAGTGCAATTGAAACAGTGGATGTATATTGAAGCAGAAGGCAAATCTCGGCTGCATTGCTTACATACGCGCATCAGCCATCAATATGCAACAATATGACGAGATGGCGAGAAGCGAGGCGAGAAGGTGTGCACGTGATGGTGTCTTCTGCAATATATGGGCATTGATGTGTCTGGAATAGTCTAGGGTTCCTTTCTCAACCTTTTTCTTCCCCAAGTTCTCTCAGAGGCATCGCCCACAGTCGCTCACTTCTCCTCACTCTAACACTCACAAGCCATGCACTTTTCAACTACTGCCCTTGCTCTCCTTGCCTCTGCCTCCTCGGCTTTGGGTATGCACTCACTACCTGTATGCTGTTTTTTCGCCAAGAATTAATACTCACGACTTTTTTCCACGTCGTCCTGAACAGCGATTACCATCAACACGCCATCGCCTTCCAGCTTTTGGTACGTCGTGCGCTGACAGTCGGCGGTCTGCGTGCCCTGTGAGAACTAACGACGCGTGCAGGGTTCAGAACACCTCCAATACCATTAGCTGGTCCTTCAACGCAGGCAGTGACCCGAATCCTGTCAAGTGAGCTCCTTCTTTTCCAATACCTACGCTGCGATTTTCCCACTGATCATCACCCCCCAGCATCGAAATTTCGAACTCAAACTCGAGTATTCTGAACGGTAACTTTTCGGTGCGTGTGGACTTTCTTCACTCGTTCACTCTTTCTCACCACGCTCGGCGTCATTAGGTCGCACAGTTTGTGGACTTGAGCAATGGTTCCTTCATCGTGTCGAACGTCACTCTTCTCGTTGCCACCGGTGCGTGACGGTTCCAGCTCATCATCAAATCATTCCTAACATCTCACTTAGGCTATACTGTAAACTTCGTCAACGTCACCAACCCGGTTCAGGTCTTCGCATCCTCCCAACAATTCGAGGTGAAAGCACCCGGAAGTACGTAAAATACGTCACAACAATAGCGCGTGTAATTTGACCAATTTTCTGCATTTTTAGCAACCCCCGCGTCTATCTCTAGCGCGTCTGCTGCTTCCACCGCTACCTCAGCTAGTGGTACCGCTTCAGGCACAAACTCCGCCAACCCGAGCGCAACCTCAAATGCCGCATCTCGTGGTGCTATGGGCGAGTTCGTTACGCTGCCCGTCCTGATTAGTGCGGGTATGGCTCTTGCCGGTGGTCTTCTCGTCCTGTAATAGGCTGTCAATAACCCCTTGTACGCTTCCGCTTTTCCGTGTCTGTATTTTCGGGCTACCCCGCTGTTGTCTCTGTTATCCCAAAAGTACAGCATGTAGGCATCAAAAGGACGGAACTGTTAAATACCCCCTTTTGCGCTGATTGTTGATGTTGTTTTTGTTCTACCTGTCTGTTCGTTGCTATAGTGTTTGCTGGCCTGTCTTTATCCCCATTTTTACCAGATCATACCCACTCTCCGAGCGGTAGTCTACGTATTACCTATGTACGTTTTTTCTGGGTCTTTTTTGTATGACGTACACTAGTAGGAACTATGCTTGGACTTTGTCACTTTTTTTGCGTTTTGAGCTGTGCTGTTGTTACGTGAACTGCATCAAAGGAAAATCATTCTAGTTGATCGGGAAGGGAGAGTTATCGACATGACAGCATGTGGCATCTAGATGATAGATTGACGTGCACAGCGTCGTCTCCCCGACACCGCCGCGGATAGCTTTCAACTCGACGACCTACATTCCAACGCAACTTAATCAACTAACTAGCAACTGGCTCTTGGCGACGCCTGAATCACAAGAAGCAGATGAACGACGGCCTCTACTGAATGACTCTTCTCAACTCCGGCGAAATGACCTCGAAGAACAAGGCAGAAGTACAAATGAACACAATGGCAGCAGCAGCGCCGAGAAACTTGGAAAGAATAGACTGCGGAGAAGCTTGAGGCGCCTTCTACGCATAAGGTTATGCATACTTTGGTGAGCTCAACTCAACTCGACCTTCTCTGAATAATCTTGGCCTTATGTGTCGAATGCGCGGATGCAATATCATTGAATACAGTAGATTGTTTTTGACGGATGTTGCGTTCTTGCAGACCCGACGAACATCTTCGTCTCACCCGGACGAAGATGTTGTTCTCTCAGCCGTAACTCTGCATCTTCATCTCAACTTCTGGCTTTCACCTTCAACAAAACAAGTTTCTTAACGACTATCAAAGGAGAAGAAGACCCTATGTGGCTAACGCACACATCTCACTCACCATTACCACCCTCCTGCTCGAAATCCTACTCATATTGTGGTGCTTGGTCTTAATTACTATGATCCCTTGCCCAAGAGGAAGGGAGGGAAAGGGAAAGGTATCCATGTGCAAGTCTTCACTTGTTTGACACACTCGTCATCCTCATAGCCTTCATCCTCGAAGTCGTTCTCTGCAGCCAGGAAGACAAACTAGCAGGTTTATTTGTACTTTCCCTTACTCCTCACGTCTCTATATCCAAGAGCTCAAAAACAAGAATGCACAACTCTAAACATGCCTTGCAAATATATTCTAGGTAGGATCTGATCCAAGCACCTTTACATGAAATTACAAATTAAGAATCGTTCATAATTCTTTCTGTGAGGAATGTACAGGAACTGAGGGGTAGAGAGCACTCTTAGATTCTGGAACCCTGAAATGATTTGCAATTGTAGTATTATTACTGTCTTCTGTAGCCCAGAAGTATGGACTAAGGTCATTACAATACTAATAATAGGTTCTTACTGAATCTGTGAACAAAGGTAAGAATGCTACCAGGCAGAGTACATGACTTAGACAGAATCTTACCTATTTTCATTCAACTTATTACTCAAATAGAGAAATATGCTCCTCAAACAGTACCCTTCCCTATGTAAAAATAGTGATAACTTGACTTTACAATAAATATGAATTGGTAGAAAAGTGCATAAATAGGACATATTACATCAACTTGAAGGCATAATTAAATGCGTGTAAAATTGATATCCTATTACAGCCAGAATCCATTTATTTAATTAGATTACTAACTAAAAATATAATAAATATGTAATGAATATATTGAAAACCAGTTTTTGAAGATCACATAATTAAATGATATTTTAAATATTTTAATCAAGAGATATCTGTGGAAATAGACAAAGGAACAGAGTGGGAGGAGTCTACATGTTATCAGTGTACGTATGTTTTTCTCGGTTGTTTTGTGTATGATGTATATTGGTAGGGATTGTGCTTGGACTTTGCTATTTTTTCTATATTTTTTTTAGTTGTGCTGTTCCGTTGACCGCATCAATTGTAGTGTGATTGGAAGAAGGCGAGTTGTTGGTGCCATCTATTTGACGTGCACTGCACAGCGTTGCCTCGACGCTGCCGCAGGTATCCTTCAACTTGACAACTCGACGACGTGCGTAGACGGCTAACTTTCGGGCTCTAGGCGATGCCTGAATCACAAGAAGCGGATGAGCGACGGCCTCTACTCAATGACGCCTCCCATTACGGACAAAATGACCTCGAAGAACAAGGCAGAAGTACAAATGGACACAATGGCAGCAGCGACGAGAAGCTGACTTGGAAAGGATGGACTGCGGAGAAGCTTGAGGCGCCTTCTACGCATAAGGCTATCATCACGTTGGTGAGCTCGACTCCGTTGAGGTCAATTCAGCTCGACCTTGTAGTATTATTTCACTGAATAGTTTGTATTGTAGATTGCAATTGATGCATGCTGCGTACTTGCAGACCTGACCTACACCTTCCTCTCTCCCGAACGAGAATGCGATTGTCTTAATCCGAACTCCTCTTCATTTCAACTACTGGCTTCCATCCTTAACAATACAAATTTCTTAACGACTATTGAAGGAGAAGGAGAGCCTATATGGCTAACAGTCCTCGCGCACATCTCACTCGCCATCACCACCCTCTTCCTCCTCGAAATCCCGCTCACGCTCTGGTGCTTTGGTCTTAATTACTATAATCCTTTACCCAAGGAGGAAGGGAGGGAAAGGGAGACGAATCCATATGCAAGCCTCCACCTCTTCGATGCACTCGTCATCCTCACAACCTTCATCCTCGAAGTTGTACTCCGCGGACGCGAAGCAGAACTGGCAGGATTACTCGTCTTACTTCGTTTGTGGCGGATAGTCAAACTCGTCGGAGGTAAGTATAAATATCCGTATATATATGTTTCATTTTCCATTCTTCTTTTCCTGCAAAGAAACGGACATATAACTCAATCGCTCGTTTCATTAACTCATACATACAGGTCTAGCAGTAGGCGCAGGCGAACTCCAAGAGGAGCTGTCCAACGAACTCGCAGAGACCCAGCAGTTCCTCCACTCCTCACGTCTCCGCACTCAAGAACTCGAGAACGAGAACACTCAACTCCGTGCACGCCTTGCGAATATCCTAGGAACTGATCCATCGTCCTTCACATGATTTTTTTATTAATAACAGTGTGCTTACATCTTTCCTACCTCTGTATCTGTAACACACCAGAAGCCGAGGAGTCAGAATGTTTGCCTAATTACAGGCCTGGACTGACTGGACGTTTCATCCTTGTACTATTGGAACGACTCTTCGGAAGCCGGTTGACCATTGTTATTCTATGTACCTTACTCATGCCGTCTTCTTTATTTTGTATAAGGACAAGCCTGAAACTCGAACTTGAGCTTCCCGGAATTCCTGACTCAATACTACATAGGCGCGTTCCCCATGTTCCTTTGCATGCTTTACTTTCACAATCACATGGCCATACCGTACTCTCAAGTATTGGTCCACTGTAGCATACGCATTTCACATCCTGTTTATGAATAGACCATTTTTTTAACTTGTACTGCAACTAAACGGCTAAACAACAACACTGTAAAAAACCACATGCCATATATATAAGACATATAAGGCACATAACTCAACTCCAGAAAGAAAAAATAAGTTCAACCCAATAAAACATAACTCCCCATGTAAAAATAAGTGAAAAAGAGTGCACAACAATCCAGGTTGGTTGAGAAGGAGAAATATCCAAGGGGTTCTACGTACGACGAGCAAGGGTCACAACGGGTGTGTAGTGGTGAGGGCAAGTTTGACAGCGATAGGCGATTAGTTGATACAAAGGAGCGGCGGGACCGTGCAGCGCGCAGCGCATCACAGACATGGCGGTTTATATGTTCATACAAACAGGTAAGCAAGCAGGCATTATTGGCAATGGTGGTGAAATGACAGTGGAGTAGGCGACCCAGCCGTGGTAGTAGTGGGAGCAGCTCGTCGTGTCCGTTGGTGTAAGCACGTATAGATCAATAACAGATACGTAATTATCGGCGGAATGTCAGGTCAGGTCGAGGTCATATCTGCTATCGACGGACGTTCGGCGTCGAGCCGTTCCGCGTTAGGTCTAACGGTGGCGGACGAGGACGCACAAACGTTGATGAGCCTGATCGTTTTCGCGGACCGGTGGGTCGTGACCGTGAAGGCGAACTCTGTGCAGATGACTGAGTTAAACTATCTTTCGTCGTCGTTCGTTCCAGTTGTAACGGAGGAGGCGGAGGAGCACGCATCCGCCCACTTTTTTGCGACGATGACGAAACTTCTGAATTTGATCGCACGGGTGCAGGTGCACGTTGTTTCTGCGCTGCACGCTCAGTCATCGGCCCTTCAAGGCCAAGTGCGTTACTCGTGCTACTACTACCTATCAGACGAGGCCAATCACGTATCGGAGGCGGAGTCGAACCGTGGTCCGCTGCATTGTACGAATTACTCCGGTACACCGTTGGCGCTGCTTGCATCGTTGCCTGTACATGTTGCGGATAAAATGAATACGCTGCGGGTGGCGCCGCGACCGGTACGAACGGAGGTGATTGCTGTTCCTCAAGACTCGCAATATCCGTGAAATGCTCGATCTCCACTCGTGAGCCAAGACCGGCCCGACCGTGGATAAAAAGCGGCGGCGGTGGCACACGCCTCGGCTTAGGGACGACCAAGGACGGCGATTTTGACTTCACAAAGCGTGCCATGATGGGCGAGTTGGGTGCACTCCTGATACATTGCTTGGTCTCGAACCACGGGAACTCAACCACTGTCGATCGCCAGACTGACGCATCCTCCTTCTGGTGCATGATCGAGAATACAGTCAGGAAAAAGAAGTACATGAAAACTAATAAACCAAAGACAAAAAAATCAGAAGCATCAGTAAGTAATCAACCGGGTCCGCATTAGCGCCGAAGCTAATGGCCGCCGAAAAGGACGTACGAAAGCAAGTGTTTATCCATGCAAAGGCGATCAGTACTCTTGAAGATGAACAAGCAGAGCCAGAACTATGAGAATTGTCGCCTAGACAGCGCAAGAAGACAGAGCAGCAAGGGGATCACACGTCAGAAAGAAGTTGATTGCTGCAAAGAAAGCGTGCGTACTAGTGGGGCTGCACATTTTACTAGGTGCAACGGCTGTCACACCCGTCGCACCAGCTGTTGGCGAAGATGATGATGGTGATGAGAGTCCAGCCACGCATCGATCGTACGAGGTCTTAGCACATACCAAAGTTAAACACCCAGAACAGCGTCAACCATGCTATTTCGAACCATACACGACTGGAGAGTGCACCTCTCCGAAAGACCTCGATGAAGATACTGGATATGGACAAAAACGCGTCAAACAGGCACGACCCAAACCGCATGTCGCAAAACCTTCTTACACGGGGAAAACGACAAGGAGACCGAGAGCGCCAGCGAAAATGAGGAAGCTGTCGATATGAGCTACAAGACAAGAACATCGAGACAGATTTAGCATATAAAAATGAAAATCGGAATGATCGAGACAGACCGAGAGTTGCAAGGTGATTGGATGACTGCGCAAAGCTCAAGTTCCACGCTGCAACGCTGCAGATTACCGTGTTGCAGACGATAAAGAGCGCTAAATAAAAATTTAAAAAATGTCAGGAATATGAGCAAGTTAGTGAAATACGATGGATGAAGACTGACCAAACGTTGCAGCGCGGTAGAGGAGAAAGGGAGACAGCATGCGGTGCGGGATTGGAGGAAGGGAGGGGCAAGGAGGGGAGATGGAGGACGATAGTTGTTTTGAAAGCGGAAGGACGCCGGTCGACGGCTGGATGGAGTGGGAAGAAGGGGACTGGAACGAGAAGAGAAGGCGTTACAGCTAACACAGACGGGGCGTCCAGCGCACGAGTGCAGGTCTGGGTGATGGCCGAACACCAAGCTCAGCTGATCGTCCCTCGCATGTCTTTATAGCTCCCTCGGCTCCGTCCCTACCGTCGTCAAGTATTCACGACAGGCCACATCCGCTTAATGCACCCTCCCTCGATGATCGCCCAGGCAGCGCTAGTGGCTCAACATATCAAAATACACATTCTACTAATTATTATGTATACACTGAAATTATCATCCTCTCTAGTCAAGATACATTTTGCACAATCAAAGCAAGAAAAACAATTGTCAAGAACTGCGTCCCTCCAGATCACCAAGTCCAGGCCCAGTCCTGCTTGGACCCCTGAACCTTCCTTCGTAGTCCATCCGCGGCGGCTTTCTCACCCACCGCTCTCATCAGCAAGGCGATTCTAATCAAGTAGACTGGGAGTCCACGAAGATGGCTCTCCACACGTGGCCACCGATCTCGCCTTGCACAGCTCGCGAGGCGCCTGCCAGAAGCAGAAAATGCCCATTACAAGGCAAGTCGGGAAAAATCACCACCCTACCTAGAAGAACAAGAAAAAGCAGTATGCGGCCGTAGACGTTCATCCCATCGCTTGATCCTAATATAGTGTGTAAGGAAAACGGGTTACAATGAAAGAAAAAGAAAATTTTTGCACAGGCGCTTACCATCGACTGACGACTCCACTCATCGCCCCGACTCACGCTAGAAATCTTCATATCGTTGATGCCTGCTACAAGTGTCCTCGGCTCCCGCTTGGGAGGCGGACGCGAGAAGAGTGCCATAGAGGGGTTTGTCTCGGATACATGCCCATATGCGAGTTCGGTTGGTGGCCGAAGGTCAGGCGCAAGAATGTGTGAGACAAAGGCCCCGACATCACTGATGGGGTCCTCGCTGAGTGTGCGAACAATGGTAAGGACTCCACCAGGTAGAGTACGTGATCTGGACAGAATCTTGTCTATTAGGAGGTTTAAGCACTCCTTTCAATCGATACTTGAATGAAATTACACACCGCAAATAATACCTAAAAGACGAGCCATTCCAATTCGTACATCTGTAATCTTGTCCGAAGCGAGCTTGACAGCCGCTTGCCAGAAAACGTCATCCATGAAACGATCATAACTCGGATTGCTCGTGACCAGTGATCGTGCACACTCAACGTAACTAAATTTCAGATAAGTCTTCGGAACGCTTCGCAAGGAGAGGACACAAATGATACACACGTCAAACGCTTCTTGAAGGACTCATCGTATACTAGAGAGGATACTTCTTCCGTGACTAGTCGTAATGCTTCAGGCCGATTAAGAACGGAACCGTAAACCTGTGGATACTTCAAACAACGAATTAGGACACGATAATATGTGACGGGAATCTTTATGATACGTACAGTTTCTATGACCGCATTACGTACGGCGGCTGTAGTATCCCGTAAAGCTCTGCGAAGAACTAGTCGCAAGACCTCTCCGTCGGCTGGGAACAAAGGTGCTAATCGGTCCATACTCCTAGCCAGAACCTCACGCTCTCGCCAACCAGTTAAGTGATTATCCCATACTTCTTCCAAGCTCCCAAAAATTCGTGCACGATCTGAAGGGTTCAATGCCTGCAAGAATGTCTCAAGGGCTTCAAGCGCCTTCATACGAACCACCGCATCGCGGCCTCGTACGAAATCCCACCAACGGTATATGAGGTCGTGCCGAGCATTCTCTGGCCCAATAATCCGCGCAATCTCTCCAATACTTGCTGCAAGGGTCTGTCGAACTTTTGTAGTACCCGTTCGTGCAAGAAAGACATACAGTCCACGCAGGTCTGGCCAGCACTTCGGACCCACTGTGAGTGCTACAGCAGGGAGGTTGAATGCGCATATAAGCGGACGTGCTGGATCCGAACCAGGCGTCAGGCTGAGTGGTGATGAGGAAGACAACGCTGACGACGCTGTCGCTGTGAGACTAAATCCCTCGTTTGGACTTGGGGGAAAACGTGCACGAAATGCAGATTCCGCCCATGGTATGCGAGTCTGGACGTTTTGGGTCATTTCGAGAGCAGGAGAATCGGGGCCGTGCCAGTCTCGTCCTTCCTCTCCGACGAACAAACGAAAGATCTGATCTGGTGGCCCTCTGTCATCACCGTGAAACGAGTAAATGACCTCTCCTAGGACTTCTAAAACTCCTGTCCGAACCTGCGGTGCGGGGTCATTGGTGAATTTCTGAATAGTTTTTAGTGCGTGAGCCCTCCGCTGATCAGAGGGAAGTCGAGAAAGAATTGCAGGAAGTGCAAATAAAATTGATTGTCGTACGTTCCAAATCGTATCCTCGCAAAAGCAATCAAATAATGGCAACTGCAAACGGGGCAACGATAATGAGTCGCATTACCTTTATGCCGAATATTGAATACAAACCAGTGAAATGTAAAGAAGTTCTTCCGGCACTACTTTCGCAAGTGCTCCGAGAGCAAAGGTTGCTTCTCGTCTTACCCAATAGACGGAGTCGTGTCCGGCTCTGTCTACCTCCTTGACAAAGGCAGATTGGTATTCCCGGTCCAGCGGGCCTATCAAAATTAGACATGTCATATGTGACAATTCGAATACGATTCAAGGAAAAGGACGAAGTTCTACTCACCACTAGCAGTTACGGCAGCAATCAGACTCATGCTTGCAAGCTTACCGATGGCCGCTTGCTCGTCGTTGAATTCGTTGCCTGCCTCACCACTATCTACATCAGGCTGAGGTAAGGCAGTCTCTCCCGAAAGCATAGGCGAGCTTGATCCAGAGGCACGTTCGGGTCGCGGTGAGTTTATTTCACGCTCCACTAGATCTTTCATCACATGCTCCCGAGCAGCGGTTTCATTTTGTAACATGTGGTTCGGCTCCGCGGCCCAAGTAGGCAGAGGGGTAATATCGTGCATAGGCGAAGCGCCGTCTTTGGGGTCCGCGACATCGGAGTATTCGTCTGTTGCTGGCCGAGAAATGATGTGCGCAAATTCGGGCTCACGTTCCGGAATGACAATCATAGCTTGAACGGTGGGAAGTGGGGACGGAGGACGCTGGATGATTGCTGCGAGTGCAGCCGCACGGGAGGGCAGTGGCTCTTCCTGAGCAAGGAATTGCATTGTCGCAAGTGCTTGTGCAGATGACGAGAGAGTAGAGACTAAGACTTCGTCATCTGTAGCCGACGGGGGAGGGGGACTCTTGGCGATATCTACTTCGGACGAAGGCACGTCTAGTTGCTCGACATTAGACTCGCGCTGTACCGTTTTCGAACCCGATTCATCGACTGGAGAATTGCTGTCTAAGTGCGCCATCCCAATGACTACATGCTCTATGAGTTCGCGCTCAAAGAGTCTACGTTCGATTCGTTCAAAGGAACCCGTGTCAGAAGACTCAGCATCCCGAATGCGTGACAGTAAGTTGACGGCACAGTGCCGCGCTGGTGCATTCACGCTGGCACTAGGATTCAACAGTAATGTCCCAAGAAGCGGTGTGAACGCTTGTACGTTAAGTAACGGCACGTCGCGGGGTTCAGCGCCTTCTGGGACATCATGATCGACTACTTGACAGCGCTATTGGACAATTAGTGGGAAATTCTGATTATTGCGATGACATCGCACCGTGAGGAACCACCATATACTTGAAACTAGATCTTCTACCAGTGCCTCTTTAACAGCCTCATCTAGACGTCATACATCAGTCACGTATACACGGCATAATTTCCTTGCTTGGCAAGTAACAAAGGAAGAAGGCGGAAAGTACCGACCATCGTCCATAGCAAGCCCGTTCATGAGCGGAATAACATATTCTACTGCCTCACAAGGCGGCACTTCTGGGAGAAATAAAGGAAGCGAGCGCGAGATGAAAACTCTACATGCAAAAATTACCCATGACGTAACTATCCTTGTCTGACAAGAGGGGGGAACTAAACATACCTATGGAATGAAGCGACACTGCGCGCGAACAGGTAAATTTTCTCGAGGGCACTAAGGCCGTCGTCGTCGAAGCAAAGGTCGTCGGAGGGGTCAGGCACGGCCGCGGTACTCACGAAGCTGGCATCTACCATCTCGTGGTCCATTGTGGGGTCGTTGGCCGCCGCAACGTCGATCCGTAAGTTTGGCATTGGGGGTGGCGGAGGTGAGCTGGAGCGGGTGATTTGAGCTTGCGGTACGTCTTCTATCATTGCAACCGGACGGTCGCTCTGGCTGTAGTCTGAGGAGACGAGGAGATGCTGTCTAGTATCTGCGGACACAGAGTTAGGCACTGAGGAGTCTGATAATGCTTCAACGGAGTCCTGAGGGGAGGCCGCAAGCGAGGAATGCGAAAGCGAGTCAGTGGGGACAAGGGAGTCGAGGTGATTTGTCAAGGCGGGGGTAGTAGAGAGGTCGGAGTGGGTGAGGGGCGGACGGACATCGTCGCTACCGATGTCGAAAGGGCGGTCGCGGACGGGATGAAGAAGCGCAGAGTGATCTGGGAGGTCTGATTCGTCGTGGTCGGTCAGCTGGGCGTGCCAGGCAGTATTGATCCAGGACACTAAGATGCCCATATTTAGTCTGCGTGTTCATGAATGGGCCGCGCGAAGAACACAGAGAGGAAACGTACTCTGCCCGCGGCCGGATTGTCATATATGGGCGCTGGGAAACGGTCAAATAGGAAGGTGGTGGAGGGGAAGTCTAGGCCTGCATATGTCTATAGTTGGAGCATGCTATCTGCGGGGAGAAACAAAAACGAAAGGGACTGACGCAAGAGGGTGCTCGCACGAGGCAGCCAGGCTTCTTGTGAGCCAATAAGCCTGCCGTCGCGACTCGCCACCACTGCTGCTGGTGAGCCCACTGCCGACGAAGTGCAAATGCAAGTGCAGGGGGTAGCCTGAGAGTGGGCTATAAAAATTTGTTGAGTTGAGAGAAGGGAGAAATGTCAAAAGTCAATGTCGCAGAGGAGCGAGGCGATGGCCTAGGTGGGCGCTGGAGACATGCCGAGTTGTTGGGCGAGAATCAGGAACGGCTGAGAAGACTGAATTTTGCGATGACGTAGTGCGTTGCTGTTCCAAGTCTCGCGCTTTCGCACACTCTCCCAAACTCTATTCGCGTTTCTATATACATTTCGCCATCTCATATCTCTACAGCTCTCCGCGGACAGCCTTGTCTAGATTACTCGCAAAATACCCAATGTTCTTGCTATTCAGCCCCGCCATCGAAATCCGCCCGTTCTCCGTCAGGTACACATGTGCCTTCTCTGTCAACGCCTTGCTCTGCGTGCTGTTCAGTCCCGTGAAGCTGCAATCCAGTACCGTTCAGTCAGCTTTGCATATGATAAAAGCGGCATTCGACAAAGTAGAATGTGGCACCACCACTTGCCTGAACATCCCGATCTGGTTCACTATGTGATCCCACTTGCCCGGTGTCTTCAACTCTTCCGTCAATAGCCTAAACAGCTCCTTCCGCATGTTAATGATCCGATTCGCCATTGTTTGAATGTCCCGCTTCCACTCCTCAAACAGCCCTGAATCGTTCAGAATCAGCCTCATCTACCCAATCATGCGTGAGTGTGGATATTAACAAATTGAGAGAACGTTATTAGACACGCAATTTCGGGATACGGAATAGCTGGAAACGACATACAATACGTGCACCATATGTTGGAGGGTTGCTGATCTCGCTGCGCTGGAGCACAGACAGCTGGCTTTTTACTCTGACTGCTGCCTCCTGCGTAGCTCCAACGACGTGCAGTGCACCAACACGCTCGCCATACAACCCAGCGTTCTTAGCGAAACTCTGTCCATCTCCATTAATTACCCGTTTCCGACGCGACGATATGGGAGCTGTATACTGACCTGGCAGACAAGCATCGGTACCCCGCGTTGCACAAAATATCTCACCGCACTAGCATCTCTGTCAAGATCCCCGCTCGCGAAGCCCTGGTATGCACAATCAAAGAACGCAAAGTGGCCCTTCTGGAGCATTACGTCTGCGATTTTTTCCCACTGCTCATTCGTCGGGTCTACACCGGTCGGGTTGTGTGCACATGCATGCAGCAGGAATACGGAGCGATCTGGTGTGCCGGAAAGAGTGCTCAGGAGTCCGGAAATGTCAAGGTCAATCGTCTTCGGATCATAGTACGGATAATCGACTGGCTCGATTCCGACATTCTTCAGAATAGCTTTGTGGTTTGCTAGGTATTCAATCCGCGGTGTTAGTTGTTGTAAGAAGAGCACGCCACACAGACTAGAAGGACGAACCCCAGGTGGGATTGCTAATGAAGACCTGCTTCGGTCCGTTCCACTGGTAAAACTTGGCGAGGAAGATGGCGCCGAGATGATTTGCGCCAGTGCCAGAGATTGTCTGAACGCTATCGAGTTCATGAGCGTGAGATATGAATGATATGTTGTAGATTCGTCGCACACCTTGCAATGCGATCTTCCTTTAACGCCGCAGAACTCGGGCTGAACATCAGCCTCGCTGCCGCGGAGGTGAACTCTGGCAGGCCGGTAATAGGCAGGTACTCATGGTCAAGTGACGTGTCTTTCAGTAATATCTCATTCGCCTAAAGACCCGAATCCATGTATGTCCACATTCATATCCACATCCCGAATACCAGTTAGCGCAGCATGTAATGAGTCATACTTTATGAGCCCACCTTCTGCACGACGGGCAGCACCCATGGCTTGCCATTGTCATCTCGGTACGCCCCCACACCAAGGTTCACTTTCTGCGGAAACGTGTCCGCTTTGTATGCTGCGGTGAGCTTGAAGATGCTGGAGCATTAGCCCATCACGAAGGAGCGCATACATCCAACGAGGCGGCGGTTACATCGATCAATCGATCAGCCCCACCTCAGCTATCCACCGTTAAAAGACAGTACGAACCTATCTGGTGGCGCCTGCGCGACGGAAACCCATGGATCTAGGAGCAACAACAGCACGAATCAACACGTTGAGCGCCTCCAAATTGATAATATCAGCGACACATTGCTCGACGCACCTGATGAAGACGACATATTGATTCTTGAACCTGCAATGTGTTGGTAAACTTGCTTCGCTCTGTTCGCCATGCCGTCAGCACTCTTTCTAGCCTTGGCAACGCTCGCCGCAAGTGCGAATAAATATAAGTGTAAGGGACATGACACGCACGAGCTTGTGTTTTCGGGAGGGCGCGGGTTAACTTTAGAAGTCGGTTGACAGAATGCAAAGGCCGCTTTCACGTGAAGACACACCTAAGCACAGCACACAAAGAACTACTCAGGAGCGGAGCTCAGGTGATTGAAAGGAGAGGAGAATTCACAGGCAATTAGAGCTCTCGGTTTTCTCCTTATAACTAAACGGTAGATTGCACTCTAATGGCAACCCGCGATTCACCGCCACCGCTCAATTTCCGACCGTGCATAGCAAAACGTTCCGGTTGAACACGATTCAAGGCTGATCATGATCATGAGGTACAGTCATACTACTTGGACCCATAATGGTCTGAGACTCCTCCTCTCGATCTTTACATCTCAGGCAATAACATTTTTAGACTAGACGAGAATCTTAAAGAGCAATCTTAGGACTTGAGAACAGGTCCGAATCACGAAATTGTAAGTCCGATATCTTCGATGAAAGTCTTGACTCCCCTGAGAACGACAATAATTGCCAAGCGGGCTCCCTTTCATCAAGCAGTCCGGGTCAAACCGATTCAAGTTGCAGGTCACATTGAAGAGAGGCCCGTGGCTACCGGAAAGAAGTGCACAACTATACAACAGATTCCAAAGCAGGAGCATGCATATAAAGGGAAGAATCTCGTGCACAAACCCGGGCGATGTCCAGGTTCTGCGACACGAATACATTAATGCCAGTATTTGTCTAGACAAAACGAGTGGAGACATGGGGGGCATGGGTGTACCGATAGGTTAATAGTTCGCGACCAAGAGGATAATTCTAAGATGAAGTCGCAGATCAGCCGGTCTGTCCAAAACGATAGAACTGCCGTGTAAAACTCACGAGAAAGCAAGGAAATGCAGATAGGAGAGATCGAGGAGAAACGTCGTGCATGGAAAAATGGAAAGGGGGCAAAAGGAGAAAGAAGGCAAGTCACACGAGTTCATGCTACTGCCATCTTGCTGGCAACCGTACGCTCAGCCTCCAACTTGTCCTTGTTTCGTTGGAATGCGGCCTGCCGGCAATCTTCGAGCTTATTACAATCGTGGTGCTCGGGCAAACGGTGCTACAACGCATAGAGATAACAGTCGTGAATAAGTCTAAGAAGAGCAGCAGTATCCAGTAGGAAAACTCACATCGCCGCAGAAGTTCTGATTGCAGTGAGCGCACTCTCCTGCGAAACGCAAGGCTGCAGCCTTGCATACGAGTTCGTCATCAGATTTGAGCTGGCAGCGCTTCTTCGGGGCCATCGGACTGGAGGTACTCGGGTTTCGGGATGCAGAGGGCTAGGAAGCGCAAGTGGGAGCTGTGGGGAGGCAGGGTTCAGTAACAAATACAGGGACGAAAGCACAAACACAGGACATACGGGAAGACGGTGCCGCTGTACAAGGGAGTCAAGTGGAGGTGCTGGTAGACGTGTGGAGGTGAGCCTTTTAAACGAGGCTGAGCTGACGCGGCCCTTTCAAAGTTCAGATCACGTGGTTTTCATTGCCCTTTCTCGGCCGTTTTGCTCGCAACATATCCTTCCCTATTCTGGCAGTCTTTTGCGACACGGTAGTACAATGGCATTCTAGGGGTCAAATGGCCATGCAATAGGACACATAAGGCTGATCTCACTATTGTTTTCTTAGTTAAGTGGATTTAATTGCTCTCAACACTTGCTAGAAGGCCGTCCAAACTTTCTCGGACCGGAAGATCGGCGTCGGAGCTCCACGTGGCAAGGCCCGACTCCCGACGTCGCGATCAGTGAACCTCCGACGACCTGTGTACTCTCTGACTTTGTCCCATCTCGAATAGCTAACGCCATCCTATTAGTTCCTCCATAATCTATTGGGCGCTACGCCTTTAGGAATAGTAACCAACACATAGATAGTCGTGAAGAGAGATAAAAGCAGAAACGAATTGAAAAGAGTGTGAGACCAGGCTACTGTAGAATGAGAGAAGGAGAAGGAGAATGTCCCATATGCTTACGATGTACATCAGAAGTCGAAATAGAAAATCATGTACGAAAGAGGTATGTCTTCTCCGTTGCTGTCCAGCAACGAATGCAGTCGAGGAGGGGAAAAAGATAGCACTTTAGAGACCCATGCAGCCCGGAAACTACTCAGTTACTCTTGTTGTTGTTATTCACATTCTTCGACACTTCAACGCCAACCGCGACACCGACAATGATGAGAATGATCAATGTCAGAAGGAGGCATATCCAGCGCTTCTTGCGGTACCCGCGTGCAGACACAACGGCTTTGTCCGTAGCCACTTTGCTGTAATATTGAGGGCAAGTCAGTATATATTACCAATTCTAGCTTCGCAGTAGAGGAGGAGAGAACCCACCCAGCCTCAATGTCTCCAGCAGCATTCTCTGCATTCTGATGAATGACGTTGACTTGGTCATTCTGCTGCTCGACAAGCAAGCTCATCTATTGTATGAGTCATCAGTGCGAAGTTCCGCGTCGGAAGGAAATTTCTCAATGAAACGCACGTCGTTGAACAGCTGAGCTAACTCAATCAGAGTCCTTTCAATACGTTTAATTTCCTCGTGTCGCTGTTGCACTTCTCGATACGCTCTCTGAGAATCCGCGTATCTGTTGCCCATTGCTGCCTGAGCAAATATCTGCACATCCTGGTCACCGTTGACAACTTCCTGAACTTCTGCGTCGGTGGCATTTGGGTTCACTGCACGACGTTTCAGTTTAATGTAACGGAAACATATCTGTCAGAACAAACCAATCTTGAATTGCCTAGCCATCCGTTCCTTGTATTTATCACGGTACAGCTTTTCCTCGCCTTGGTATTTCTCAATAGCATTCTTGAACCTCTCTCGAACTAGGTCAATCTGCGGCTTTCGCATGTTTGCGGCCTTTTCATCAACCGGCTGCATCTGAAGCGCTTTGATGCGATTTTTAATCTCCGAACCCATGCCTCGTGTCTCCTCCATCAAGTTTTCCAGCTGCTGGTTGCTCCGACTGTTGCCAGGCTCAACGTTAGACAGCAAGGACGAGTGAAGGCGAGAAATTTGGTCGACGTTAGCATTGAAGGTACGGATCTCGTTTTGGATGGCTTCGATCTACAAAATACTCAGTTGTCTCATTACAAGTGAAAGATGGGTGGCAGATACATACCTCGTTATAGAACGTATCCATGTCGTTCGCAGGTAGACTGCCATACTGATTGCCATATCCGCCACCATTTCCTACTTGTTGGAGTTCATAGCTGTTTCCTTGGTTGTAGTTTCCTTGATTGTATTGTGGCTGCTGCGAGAAGAAATTGCCATCAAAAACTTAAGCAAAACTATGCAATAGACTTAGACATACTGAATAGGAGTTGTCGTTGTACGAGCCCCCGTTCTGTCCTCCATACTGATTCTGTCCTTCATCACGCTGGTCATAAGGGTTTTGGCGCCGCTGCTGTGCCGCGGGTGGACTGTGAGGTGACAGAACATGAGAACAAAATCACGCGATGTGCTTCCCTTCGAAAGCAACTAACCTTCCGTACGGATTTCCACCCTGTTGCTGCTGTTGTTGTTCCTATGAGAGTACGGAAATACAACATTATTTTCCACATCAGCGATGTAAAACACGAGGCCAACATACTCGATACCGTCTAAGTCTGTCCTGAGCCGACATGTGTGAAAAAGTCCAACAAGCGACGATAAATCAAAAAACTGGAAGTGGTAAGGAAAGAAAGGAGCACAAGGTTAAATACACAGTGTAAGTCTGCTGCGGAAGAGAGGAGGTGTAGAGGCGCTGAAACCAGTGCGCTAACTGTGCCGTGAGGTACGGTAGGCGGTGTTGCTGTCAGGAGTGGGCCACTTCCGCAAGAACGCACGGTCTCTCAAATTCTCCCACGGCCTCAAATAGGGTCTTGGCACTGCTCCGGCTAAGCTGACAGTGTAATATGCAAGTCATGTCATTTTTCTCTAAGACTATATACATTTCAAAGCAGCGTTCGCAATTTAAAATGCACTCTAGTGATGCTTTTTTAAACTAGTTTTGTAGGCTTTTGCGGAGGTTTTCTAGCTGTCGAGATACCATCTCTCTACTTGGTCCTCCAATAGCATTTCGCCTCTCTACACTCGCTTCAAAGTTGAATACCCCATGAACATCTTCCGAGAACTTATCACTCAGACGCGTAAAGTCTTCCAAAGTCAACTCGTTTAGCTGACATCTACGCGACTCTGCAAGTGCGACAGCTCGCCCCGAGATGTGATGGGTCTCTCGGAACGGAGTCTAACATGAAAGAAGCTTGAATCATCAGTGAGATAGTCTTCATCAGTCCAGCACTTACCCCCTTTCGAACAAGGTAATCGGCGAGATCCGTCGAAAGCACATCCATGGTTAGCGCAGCCTCCATCTTCTCCTTATGCACCTATTTTGAAATGAAATGAGACGATTAACGAGTGCAAATGTGAAGCAGCATACATCTAAAGTGGCGATAACACCCTCCGCGATGCGGAAGCACGCAGACATGTTGTCAACGGTGTCAAATAACGGTTCCTTATCCTCTTGAAGATCCTTATTGTAAGTCGAAGGGAGGCCTTTCAAGGTCATCATAAATCCAGCCATCTGTTCTCAAAATCTGTTCAGCAAAGACATCGTAACACGAAAGCTAAAAGGACAGACGTTGCCGAAGATCCGGCCGCTCTTTCCCCTCAGAAGCTCAAGTGAGTCGGGATTCTTTTTCTGCGGCATAATGCTCGAGCCGGTGCTGTGTGGTGAAACAGTCGTTCCTCTTAGCCGCGCGGGAAGCAAATCGAATGCATACACTAACCTATAGGCATCACTCAGTGTCACGAAACCGAACTCTGCTGTCGAATAGATAACGAGGTCCTCTGCTAATCGGCTGATATGCGTCATAGCCAGGCTTGCCCACATCATAAACTCGACGATAAAGTCTCGGTCACCAACTCCCCACATACTATTCTCCGCAATACTCGCAAAACCGAGTTCATGTTGCAGAAACTCGCGGTCGACAGAGAAAGGGTTTCCGGCAAGCGCGCCAGAACCGAGGGGGAGTACGGATATGCGTGGGACCAGCTGCTGTAAACGCTGTAGGTCGTTTTGAAGCGAGAAGGCATGAGAGAGGAGGAAGTGCGCCCAGCGAATCGGTTGGCCACGCTATAATTTTTAATCGAGAGAAAATTGCAGTTTTGATGTAAGTGTACGCCTGGAGAGGCTATTTAAATCTGATGTACCTGCAAATGTGTGTAACCAGGCATGAGGATATCTATCTCCTTGTCAGCACGTTCAGCCATCACCGTGATGAGAGCCTTCAACGCCGATTCAATTTCCTTGGCTTCGTCAAGAAGCCATAGTCGCATATCTGTTGCAACTTGATCGTTTCGAGAACGGCCAGTATGTAACTTCCCGCCCAAGGGTCCAATAAGCTCGCTCAATCTGCGTTCGTTCGCCGTATGGATGTCCTCATCATCTGGTGCGATCTTGAACTGAGAAGTCCCGACTGTCAGATCATCGTCGTCATCGTCGCGTATCTACGCTTCAAAACTTTTTTACCTGGCCATTCTCCCACTCTTTGCCAACCGCCGTGAGACCATCAACGATTCGCACTTCCTCATGTTTCGTCAGAATACCTCTGAGAGCGAGTGCCTTCGCATATGCGATTGAGCCTCGGATATCTTGGGAGTACATGCGACGGTCGTATCGCAACGACTGATTAAACTCATGCATCCTTAACTGCTCATTAAGCACATATTTTCAATGCTAGAAGTTTACTTACAGGGGATCTGTCTTCCCTGTGAATCGTCCACCCCATAACTTCTGCTTTGTAGGTTGATCCGTCATGGTAACGGTAACTGAGAGGTTAAACTTAGAGCACAGATTGGCGGGTGGAAAAAATTGACGGAGTAATGACTCAGTTTTGATATCACGTCACCCGAGATCTGCAGCCAGAAACTATCAAAGAAATCATATAATCTGGCATTCCGAAATCAATTACATGATGTAGCTATGAAAACGCAATGAAGAATGGTATCAAAATCCAACGCATGGAATAAAGAAATAGAGATGGGAGTATTAGCGAATGTTATGAGAATGTTGGAAAGGCAGGAATCATGACCATGCTGCACACGCAAAAAAAAACCAATACTTTGAGAAGTCAGAAGGAAAACATCATGAAGGGCGGGCGAAGGCATAAACAACGTAAGGATCGTCGAAGCTAGAAACGACACTGTGTCGTTTACGCAGCCGCAGCAACTGGCGTCGGCGACGGTTCGGCGGGCTTCGCTGGTTCCTCAGTTGCAGGGGCTGCCTCCTTAGGCGGAGCGGCAGCCTCACCTTCACTGGCCGGGTTCTCGAGGGGGGCAACAGGTTTAGGCTCATCGATCTTCGGTGGGTGCTCGTCTACCTTTGCAGGATGTGAGCTCTCATCCTTTGAGGACTTTGCCTTGAAAAGAGAGTTGATACGGGTAGAAAGACGACGGCCAACTTTGAGCTTCTTGTGTTCCTCCTCCTGAGATTTTTCGCGCGTCAACCACCAAACGCAGACGATCGGAACCGAGCACGAACACATACCTTTTCGGATTTCTCTGGCTTTTCTTCCTTCTTCTCTTCTTTTACCTCTTCCTTCGCAGGCTCAGAAGGTGCCGCGGCCTCCTCGGCCGGTGCCGAAGTGGATTCGCTACTACAAAGGAAATCAGAGACGTGCGATCCATTAGACGTGTGAGAACGTACACCTCCTTCGAAGGTTGAGCGGGCGTCTCCTCTGCCTTCGCGGGCTCTGCAGGAGCCGCCTCCTCTTTGGCCGGTTCCTCCGATGCAGCAGCAACAGGAGCCTGCATTGTCAATAAATCTCGTGCATTGATCAGTTACTATGGTAATTCAGATCGCACCTCAACCTCCTCCTTCTTCTTCTCTTTCTTGGGGCTCTTAGGAGCCTTCACCTTTATCTCCTTGAAGGGAGCAAGGATCTTGGACAGGAAGCTCGGGCTCTTTGGCCTGTCCTCCTTCTTGGCTTCCGTGCCCTCAGCCGCGGCCTAAACCACCGTCTTTAACTAAATGGGGGAATTGAATTGGCAAGTTACCACTTACGGGAGTCGCGTCGTCCTTTGCCGACTCTTCAGCCGCCTTAAACAAGACGTTAATCAAAGCCATTGAATCAAAGAAAATGCCATCAGGACATACGGGCTTCGCTTCTGTAGTAGCAGCAGGCTCAGAAGCCTCTGCATTTGCGGGGGCAGGAGCCTCCTAAGGGATCGAGTCATGAACTGGTAGATAGACGAGTCACAATATCACCCACCTCAGCCTTCACTTCCTCCTTGGCAGCCTCCTAGGCAAAGATTCCGGTGTGAGAATACAATCCAAATTAATCTACAAGTTGAAGAAAAACGAACAGCAACAGGCTCTTCAGCCTTAGCGGGCTCGGCGGCCGGGGTTGCCTCCGTGGCGGGGGCAGGGGTAGTTTCCTCGGTTTTCACCTCCGGGGCAGCTGTCGTAGTCTCAGGTGCAGCAGACATCACGGTTGCAAGAACAAAAAAAACTGCAAAGAACAAAAAACACGTCAGCAAAGGGAAAGAAAGAAAACACTATACAACGCGTAAAACGCAAGTTGCGACGCGCAGGAGGGGCGCGATGGAGGGAATAAGACGCGTCAGAGACAATACACTCACCTAGAGGATAATTAGATAGAGGAAGGGAGTGAGGGCGCGTCGACGCAGCCTGTGAGGATGGAGGGGAAAGAAGGGATGAGACCTTCATTTCTCCTATCAACGGCGAATTTAAACGCGGTTAAGCGCTACAAACAAGGCCAAACTGAACATTCTTCTAGGGAACTGTATCTATTTGGAACAAAGAATTCATCACGCAACCGGAACACATCATTTATCCCTTTTTTCTGGACACCTACGGGTGCATCAGCACCGCCCCCGCCCGCCTCGAGCGGTCCCTGTGCAGTCGCTGCGTCTGTTTTCCTGCGGGGATTCGAGCACTTTGGTTGCCCCTATTCGGGGTTGACAAGGTGTTCCCACGACCGGGGTGTTTCGGCGGAGATTGAATGAGCCGTTCCGTGGAATGTAGATAGCCTTCCAAGTAGACATCATCATCTGGTCGCGAGAGTCGCTCGCTTAACGATTGTCGATCACGAGCGTGTGTCCCTTCTGGTCTCTTCACCATATTATTGCAACTCGCTCGCGTGCTTGCCCTGCATGTCGCCACCATGCCTGGATAGACTCCCTATCTGTCCATCGCAGCGCAATCGAGTCATGCGGTGCCGAGCGATTCCCCCGACGCCGTCTCAACAGAGCCCGTTCAGCGGTGGCGGCAGCTTCCGGCGGATCCAACGAATGGGTTGAGGGTGCACGAGAATGGATGTTCCATGGAAGAAAAAAGTGACGGGCGCATAAGTTTGATCTTCGATATGAATTGCTGCCTTCCTTCTTGTATTTTGGACCTTGAATAGGTCCAGTCACTTGGCCCTCCTCGACAGGTTTGGCTTACGCGCTCCCACATACGATTGGCGTGACGTAATTCGTTCAATTTGATATGCTAGACCATTTTACATGGACATGGACCAGAAGATGCTTAAACACACGACTAACTTCTGCATGTCTTCGTATGCAATGTAGTAGATGTACTTCTCTCACGCCCTGCTCGAATGCAAAGTTGCCTGTAAATCAGCCTCTCGTAGCCCGCTCTCTGTCCAGCTCTGCTCCAACGACCTTTGCTTCAGCCCTGCTTTGCTCGACGCACAGACGTATTGTCCCCTTCTACCTCAACAAAATGGCCCGCATCAGCTGCAAACATCTATCCTCCTGCGCATTCAGCGCTACAACCGCCATCCTATCTCTGAGCTTGAGCTCGACTGGGGCGATTCAACGGCTAGTCCGACAATCCTGTCAAGATTTGAGTTGCTGTGACGGAGGTCAGGCGTCATGCGCCAGCGACCGCATAGCTCCTATATTGCCCCAGCCGCCCTTCTCTTGGCTTTCGTTCTTCTCTTTCTGTCATGCATTTCAGTTCCTTTAACACAATTAATCCGCCTATTCACTCTCGTCGACCATCTCACGGGAGGATCCATTAGATTTGGCCTCTGGGGTTATTGTTTATCGTGGGCATTTCGTTCATTTAATCATTAATTCTTTCACTGGGCGGCTGGACTGATGTTTTGTCCAATAGAAAACACACGGACGGCATTCCACAATGCTCTGTTCCAAAACTCGGTTGGACTTTTGATGATGTGTAAGTTTCGTTCTCATATCTAGCCCCTGGAGGAATTATAATCGACGGTTTGTAGGCCTACCCTTGTCGGTCTTGACGGCTCCATTTCTTCACATCTTACGAGTACACTTGTCATTCATCCAATTGGTTGGTCCAATTTCGTTTTAATACTTCCTCGATCACCTGTTAACTTTGTCGAACATAGCAACCGGCTTCGTTTTCGTGGTTCTCGTTTTAACTGCAGTCTACGCCTTCAAATCCTCAATTCAACGCAAATTGTCTGCCAAACTAGGGAAAAAGACGTCTTTTGACATTGTTCCACCAATACTGACTCTCATAGCAGCTATATTCGCTACAGTAACGTTTGTCATAGATGCTGTGGTTCTTGCGAAGATCAAGCGGCGTGTCAGGAACGCGTCAGGTGCGGCGAGGAATCTGAAGGCATATACTGGGGTGATAGTAAGCTTTGCTGCATGCACTATGCATTGAGCTCCTTTATTGATTCGTTGTTTCCAAGATATGGCTGAGTTTTATCGCCGCACTGGTGCTCTGGGTTATTACAATTTTGTTGTGTCTCATAGATCCAGAGTATGTCATAATGTCCGCTATGTCATGTTATAAAACTGATTGGAGTTGGCCTTCCAGCAAAAAATCCCGCGACACGAGGACACGCAGCAGAACGTCTTTAGAACAAGACAGGTCCACCGACGAGCGCGATACATCTTCGCAGATGGGCGACTCCGAACCGCGTTCTGTGCGCAGCTCATATGTTGGGACATCTTCCAAATACTATTCTCGTTCCAGGACGCCAGGCACGTCGTCGTATCGGAATGAAGACAACGATGATATGGGACAATCAAGAAGTATAACTGCCTCCAGGAGAACTCCAGAGGGTGATGGGTCGACCTACACTTCACGAACCAGATCCCGACGATCGATAGAGGAAAGTGGCTCTGTGTATATATCCAGAACCAAATCATATCGTACTGGAGGATCTGCGACTACCTATAGGAGGACCTCACGAACAGTTGAGGATGAGGATTCTGTTTCCATCGCCCGATCCAGGTCGCAACGGTCGATAGAGGACAGCGGAGCCGCCTATGGGACTAGAACACGATCGTATCGTTCGCCGCCGGGCAGCGAAACTGCACGTGGATCCGACTTGTCCTCCGGAGAGCGCGCCTCTGGTGTGCGCTCTCTACGAAGTTCCGGGCACCCTTCAAACTACTCTACTCGTTCCAGAGGAGCAAGGACTTCGCTGCGAGGCGATGACCACGACAGCGGAGTGCGCTCAACAAAAACGCACGAGGGATCATCGCGAGGGTCATTCGACGAAGACGATGAACGCGATCAGGACGACGATTCTTCACAGAAGGACAAATCAGGAGGCCTTCTAGCTGCATGCTGTCCTTGTTTGAGAAGAAAAAAGGACAAGAAGAGAGATGACACCAATAGCGAAGAAAATAGCGAAGAAAATAGCGAAGAAAATATTGAACTCGATACTGTTAGCAGTTCGAGCACAGCGCGTGAACCAGGTCCCTACGACAGTGGCAAAAGCAAAAGCAAAAGCGGTAAGCACATCATACGTAGATCTGAGCTCATCCTAATTGTTTACTTCTTAATTCACCAGTGTACACCGAACGCGAGCGCACTTCTCACCTGCCATACTCCTCGGGTGTTGATGATGGTTCGCGATATTCGAGATCTGAAAGTCCAGGAGACGTATCGAAGACGGAAGATTCTCGGTATATCCGATCAAGGACAAGAAGTAATTATCCCGCTGATCACGATCCAGAGGATAGTTATTCCTACGGATCCAGGTCACCATACACAGGGAGTGATGTTGATGATGATGAAACAATTTCCGACCCTCGGGAACGTTCGCGCACCATAACCGACGTGAGCAGAGATGGCACGGGAGCCAGAAGCTCTTATGCGCCTCGCTCACCTTATACTCGAAGTGACGAAGGTGTTGAAGATGACCTTGTCTCAGATACGAGATCAAGGTCTGTTAAAACGGTTGAAACGGAAATTGTGTTTACACGGTCTAGAACGCGTTACGATGGTAGCGATGATTATACTAGCGATGACGTTTCAGAAGAATCAGTGCGCCCATCGACACGAGTGAGGAGATCTACTTATGTTGGAAGGGACGATTCGAGATCACCTTATCCTTCCGAATCGAATTACTCGGAGAGCGAAGACTATCCAGACAGCTATGTCTCTGATAGGAGAAGAACCAAAGCAAGCTATGGTGAGTGAATAATGCTTTCTTCTCGTGTTTTGGTCCAAAAGAGATGCTCATCCTATTTGTGTGGGCTCAGTCACGGACGATCCTGCGACGCCTACAAGAAGTCGAAACGTGTCTGACCGGGGAACTATGACAGAACACCCGGGTTCTGGAACTGCAAGAGACTTCACGGAAGATTCAGTGCCGTATACTCGGTCAAGATCACGAATTAGAACTCATGTCGATAGTCCAGAAGAAGACTATTCGCGCGTGTCTAATTATCCTGTCACACGGAGCAATACTCGTAAAGATAGTTACATTTCTAGTGACATGCCATACTCTAGATCCACAATGGGCACAGAAGCAACCGAAGTAGAAACCTACGAGTCCCTGCCGCCTTCCTCCGATCATGCTGAACGGCCTGTGACTAGCTTTGCTAGAGGAACATCAGAAGTAGTTGGCTCTCAAGGATCTAGTTATCACCCCACGATGAGTGGTGCACTTGACGAGACCTACGTATCTGACAGAAGGTCTAACTATCCAACTGAAGCAACTCGGGATGATAGCGATGATTTCGTCTACGACACTAGGTCGCATTATACAACGGATAAAGGCAGGGGTGAGACGACCGCAGGTTATTCCGGATCGAGCGCTCCTTACACAAAGAGCTATGTCAGTGGCGAGACGTACGTTTCAGATGGACGGTCACTACCTCGAACAGAGACAAATCGAGAGGCCGAGTCAACATATGATTCCGAATATAATACGGAATTCACCAGTGATAGTTATGTCTCTAATCCTGCATCGCGTGTTACAGACGATGGAAGCAGGTTTGAAACGGGACGGGGCCGTTCGCAAATGTCTAGCTATCCTCCTGAAAGCGACGCTGGGGGAGAAATCTACGTCTCGAGTGAACGGCCTTACTCTGGAATCGACAAAAGTGGGGGACGAACCAACTTTGAAAGCACTTACAGGTCTCCAACACCTCTTACGGAGGCTGCTGTTTCTGACGATTATGACTCTGATCGTATTTCAAGGCCCGAGACCGGCTTTGCAACAAGCCGTCCAAGG